CCCTGTCCATCACCAACTCCCGGAGCTTACCCAAACCCATGTCCATCGAGTCGGTGATGCCATCCAGCCATCTCATCCTCTGTTGTCCCCTTCTCCTCCTGCCCCCAATCCTTCCCAACATTAGGGTCTTTTCCAATGAGTCAACTCTTCGCATGAGTTGGCCAAAGTATTGGAGTTTCAGCTTCAACATTAGTCCTTCCAGTGAACACCCAGGACTGATCTCCTTTAGGATGAACTGGTTGGATCTCCTTGCAGTCGAAGGGACTCTCAAGAGTCTTCTCCAACACCACAGCTCAAAAGCATCAGTTCTTCGCTCTCAGCTTTCTTCACCGTCCAACTCTCACATCCATATATGACTACTGGAAAAACTATAGCCTTGACTAGATGGACCTTTGTTGGCAAAGTAATGTCTCTGCTTTGTAAGTATGCTGTGTAGGTTGGTCATAACTTTCCTTCCAAGGAGTAAGCTTCTTTTAATTTCATGGCTGCAGTCACCATCTGCAGTGATAATAGACTATAACCCCATAAACAGATATACCTACAAATTGATGTATATTCCTACAGGAAAGCTGTTGTCACCTTTACAATTAGAAGAAATAATCTTGGTTATTTAAATTGTGTAAATGTGCCCAAGTACATCAATATTAAAACAACTTTTCTTTGAAAGCATTTGCCTTTATTGTTCACTCTGTTTTACTACTTCATGCTTTTGATGAATTTATCCTCCTACAGCCTCAAGAAGAAAAAAAAAATAGTGTTGAGTATTATCTTTGACGAGCAGAATAAAAAGGGGCTATTTTTAGCAGGGCATTGACAAACTGTACATTTAGGGGAAGAAAATGAGTGTACTACACTCATATTCTTCCCCTAAATGTGCAGGTTAAAGTATTTGAGCATGTTTGGCCTGAAAAGAAAAAAGTGGTGAAAGTATAGATGTGAAAGAGTTGAAGGACTGTGTGGAAGAGGTGTTAGATTCATTTCAGAGAATTCTAGCAGGATGGATTGATGGAAATACTAGGTATGTGTATCTTTTCTTAAAAGGGAAAAAACTTTCTAATAGAGCAGTTTCAATCTAGAATGGACTGCCACTGTTAGGAAGTTAAGAATTCTCTCTTAAGATTAAAGTGAAGTGTTCTCTGTTAAGATGGAAATTATGCAAATGCCAGCATGGGCTAATTTAGTCATCTGATAGGGACCCTTTCAGGAGTTTGTGAGTTGCTTGATTAAGTTTGCTCTCTTAGCATCTCATTTTCGTGTTGAAATCTTACACTTGTGAATTGTATTTCTGCCCTCAAAATGTTTTTATGTAGAATATTTTTCTTGTTCCATTGAAATTTGTAGATATTTCTGTATCGAGAAAAAAACAAACAGGTAAGAAAACAATTTGATAATCTTTGTAACAGGAAAACTCCTTAAGAGTGATATCTTAGAAAACAAAGAATTAGCTTGTCCTGTAACTCTTGTGCTTGGTCAAAGCTCACTGTGTGCTTTCTGATTTGATGTGTGTGCATGCTAAGTCACTCATTCGTGTCTGACTCTCTGCAACCCCATGGACTGCAAGCCGCTGGTCTCCTCTGTCCATGGGATTTCCCAGGCAAAAGTACTGGAGCAGGTAACCATTTCCTACTCCACAGGCTCTTCCTGACCCAGGGATTGAACCTGCGTCTTCTGTGTCTCCTGCTTTGGCAGGTGAATTCTTACCACTGAGCCACCTGAAAATGTTTTTGTTACAGTGTTGCCTTTGGAAAGCTTTTTATTTATTTATTTTTGGCTGTGTCCGATGACTTGTGGGCACTTAGTTCCCCAGCCAGGGATTCAGCCTGGGTCCTCGGCAGTGGAAGCAGAGTCCTATGACTGGACCACAAGGGCATTCCCCGTTAATCTTTTGATGAGAGGATTCTGGCATCTTTAGCATTTTACGTTGCAATAGACCATTGTTTTCACTCAGTCATAAGAAGTCAGTAAAAATACCTATTGTAAGGTAAAATCCAGAGCAGCTTAAAAAAATGGATTTTCAGAAATTTTTGTGAAAAGCCTCTACCAGAGATACAGATCATATGTCGGTAGATGCCTATTTGAAAAAGCAAAGCTAGATAACAGGGACCCTTTATTAAACCTTTTTTCTTAAAAATTTTTGTTAAGTTTGATATCCTTTTATTTATCCATGATTTAATATATCCTGTCTTCAAAATTATTGAATGTCTCATTCCTGGAGTTCTACTACATTTTAATTTATTTACTACCTTACTAGTAACAATAATATTTTCTATTTATTGGTCATTATGGCTCTGACAATAAAGAATCTGTCTGCAGTGCGGGAGACACAAGAGACTTGGGTTTGATTCCTGGGTCGGGGAGATCCCCTGAAGTAGGAAATGACAGTCCACTCGAGTGTTCTTTCCTGGAAAATTCCATGGACGGAGGAGCCTGGCAGTCTACAGTCCATGGGGTTGCAAAGAGTCGGACACGACTGAGCCACTAACGCTTTTCACTTGTCAATGATGTTTCCAGGCACTGTAACACTTAACTCTAATAAGATGCCTTATTAGAATACCTTTATTTGCTTTATAATATCTCACAGTGACCCTCAAGATAGGTCCTGTTATCCCCATGTACCAGTGAGGTGAATAAAATGGCTCAGGTACTCAGAGAGGTTGTGTCCACGTTCATATATCATAAGTGATTGAGCCCATTTAAAGCCGGATCTTTCTTAAAGCCGCCTTCTTTCAGCTCCATGAGTTTGCCTTTGAGCAAGCAGGAAAGTTAGACTTGTTCTTGTCAGCTACTTCACAAATATTCCTGATTGAAAAAAAAAATTTTTTTTTAATTGAAGCATGACTGCTTTACAATATTGTGTTGGTTTCTGCGTACATCAGCGTGAATCAGCCACAAGTGTACATATGTCCCCTCCCTCCTGACCCCCTCCCGTCTCCCTCTCCATCCCGCCTCTCTAGGTTGTCACAGAGCACTGAGTTGAGCTCCCTGTGTGACAGCAAATTCCCACTTGCTCTCTGTTTCGCATATGGTATTTATGTGTTTCCATGCTATTCTCAATTCGTCCCACCCTCAGTGAACGGATACAGAAATTGCGGTACATATATACAATGGAATATTGCTCAGCTATAAAAAAGGAACACATTTGAGTCAGTCCTAATGAGGTGGATGAACCTAGAGCCTATTATACAAAGTGAAGTAAGTCAGAAAGAGAAAGACAGATATTGTATATTAATGCATGCCTATGGAATCCTGAGTTTTTTTGAATGAGAGAAGAACTACATCACATGTGTTTTCTTAAAGTCTGGTGCTAGACATTAATTTGCCTTATGTTTTTAGTCAGTGACTATTCATGTGCAAGTGTCCACCTCCATTACAAGTGAATGGCATCTTCAGAGAGATTTAAGCAGGACAGGAAGCTGCTCTGCTCTTTTCCAGTTTGAGCTTTGATTGTCCACAGGCAAGAAGAGTGATGAGATGTCACTCAATTGAGATGATTTCTTCAAGGACCAGAATTTTAACAAAGCATTTCCACCATTTTGGTGGAAATGTTTCTAAACTACAGTACCTGTTAGGTACGGAACAGAGTTTAAATATTTCTGGTTAAAGTTCTGTGCATGGTATTGTTACAGTGATGATCTTTTTTTTTTTTTTCATTTATTTTTATTAGTTGGAGGCTAATTACTTTACAGTATTGTGGTGTTTTTTGTCATACATTGACATGAATCAGCCATGGATTTACATGTGTTCCACATCCCTAATCCCCTCCCACCTCCCTCACAATCCCATCCCTCTGGGTCGTCCCAGTGCACCAGCCCCGAGCACTTGTCTCATGCATCCAACCTGGACTGGCGATCTGTTTCACACTTGATAATATAATGGAGCCCATTATACAGAGTGAAGTAAGCCAGAAACATAAACACCAATACAGTATACTAACGCATATATATGGAATTTAGAAAGATGGTAACGATAACCCTCTATGCAAGACAGAAAAAGAGATGTACAGAATACAAAACAGACTTTTGGACTCTATGGGAGAAGGCGAGGGTGGGATGATCTGAGAGTACAGTGATGATCTTAATGTTGATTGAAGTGTCACCAAGACCATCCTCCACCAAGTACTCACACACTCTGAGTTTTAAGGTCCTATTTCTGAGTGTCATGTTTTTAGAAATCTTTCTTCGTTGCTGTACTAATTCTTCTCTTCCCACTACTACAAGCTACATTTATCTACAATTAGTATATTTTATCCTAAGCTATTGTGGGCTAGGTTCAGTTCAGTTCAGTTGCTCAGTCATGTCCTACTCTTTGTGACTCCATGGAGTGCGGCATGCCAGGCCTCCCTGTCCATCACCAACTCCTGGAGTTTACTCAGACTCATGTCCATTGAGTCGGTGATGCCATCCAGCCATGTCATCCTTTGTCATACCCTTCTCCTCCCCTTCTCCTCCTGCCTTCAGTCTTTCCCAGCATCAGGGTCTTTTCCAGTGAGTCCGTTCTTCACATGAGGTGGCCAAAGTATTGAAGTTTCAGCTTCAGCATCATTCCTTCCAATGAATATTCAGGACTGATTTCCTTTAGGATGGACTGGTTGGATCTCCTTGCGGTCCAAGGGACTCTCAAGAGAGTTCTCCAACATCACAGTTCAAAAGCATCAATTCTTCGGCGCTCAGCTTTCTTTATAGTCCAACTCTTACATCCATACATGACTACTGGAAAAGCCATAGCTTTGACTAGATGGACCTTTGTTGGCAAAGTAATGTCTCTGCTTTTTAATATGCTGTCTATGTTGGGCTAGGAAATAAAAATAATTAGAAGTTCAAGTAAAATGAGTACCTTGAATTTGAATGAAACTTGATCTCTTGTGAATAAGTGTTAATATATTGAACTTTAGTGTGCAGTCTTTGTGTTATGTATTTTAACTTTCACTGGATAGATAAAATTGTCAGACAAGTGCCATTATGTCTAACATACAAAGTGTTTTTGTGCTTTTTCTTAAACAGAGAAGAAGATACAGAAAATGAAAATGAAAAGAAAATTTGGTACTACAGCACAAAGGTCCAACTTGCAGAATTAATTGACTGTCTAGACAAAGATTACTGGGAGGCAGAACTCTGCAAAATTCTAGAAGAAATGCGTGAAGAAATCCACCGGCACATGGACATAACTGAAGACCTGACCAATAAAGCTCGGGGCAGTAACAAATCCTTTCTGGCGGCAGCTAATGGTGAGTGGGAAATTCTTCTCATTTTACTTTTTGTTAGATTTTACTTTTTGAGATAAACTCTTGGTGTGAAATCAGTACAGAATTTGAAAATGTATTAAACTTTTCAAGTATGACTAATTCTTTATAATATTTTCCCAATAGCACCTTGTTCATCCTAATTTAAATTAGGGACTCTATACATTTTAGTGTTTGGTACCTTGCCTTACTCATTACTGATATTCCCCAAATTATATTTGTTTTTTAATTCATGAATCTTATTAATAAACCTTTTAGGGAGTCCTGTTTTTAATTATGAGAAATGGTGTTCCTTTAAAATTTACTCTTTGCCTTCTTTTTTTTTTTTAACTTTCAATTTTAGAATAATTTTAGAGTTACAGAAAAGTTGCTAAGATAGCACGGAGGGTTTTTCGCATACCCTGCGGCAGGCTTCCCTTACAGCGTCTTACATCCTGGCTCAGCTGGTAAAGAATCTGCCTGTAATGCAGGAGACCTGGGTTCGATCCCTGGGTTGGGAAGATCCCCTGGAGAAGGGAAAGGCTCCCCACTCCAGTGTTCTGGCCTGGAGAATTCCATGGACTGGATGGTCCATGGGGTTACAAAGAGTCAGACACAATTGAGCGACTTTCACATTAGTGTGGTGTGTTTGTCATCACTAATGAACCAGTGTTGATATATTTAATAACATATCTATACCTTATTCAGATTTCCTCAGTTCTTTTCTGATGTCCTTTTTCTGTCTCATGATCCCTTCCAGGACACCCCACTATATTTAGTCATCCTGTCTCTCTAGGATGTCACAGGTTTTCAGACTTGACATATTATTGATGACCTTGACAGATTTTGAGGATTGCTGGCCAGGGACTTAAAAGAATGCCCTCAACGTGGATTTGTCTCATGTTCTTCTCAGAGTTAGCCTTGTGTCATGTGTTTTGGGGAGGAAGACCACAGAGGTGAAGTGCCCTCCTCGTCATCTTGTCCAGAGTACCTGCCACCAGCATGATTCATCACCGATGATGTTAACTTGGGTCGTCTGACTGAGGCAGTGTTTGTCTGGTTTCTCTATTGTAAAATTCCTCCTCCCGCCCATGCTGTGGTTTTGGGGAGAGAGTCACTGTGCACAGCCCACACTTAGGCCATGGGGAGTCACAGTCCGTAGCCTTGAGGGAGCATTGATCTACACACACGGTTTGGCTTCCTGCACAGATTGTCTGTTCTTCTCTATTTATTCAGTCATGTATATCAGGACGGACTCAGGGATATATGTTTTACACTTTGGGTTATATTTTAATTACTACCTTATTTATTTTGTTGCTCAGTGTTTTTATTCCCTGCTTTGTAACAAATAATGAATGTATATGACATTTTTTAATTTTTTAAATTCATTTATTTGGCTGCACCAGGTCTTAGTTGCAGCATGTGGGATCTAGTTCCCTGACCAGGGATCGAACCTGGGCCCTCTGCATTGGGAGCTCAGAGTCTTAACCACTGGGCCAGCAGGGAAGTCCGTATATGACATTTTTAAAAAGTAAATAGTACAGGGGCTTCCCTGTACGTCTTCAAAATCTAGTATGTTTAGTTAACGAGAGTTATATTTATTCATATCTGCTAGTTGGAAGTATCTTTTTCATTAGATCTGTTTTTTTTTAATGTGTATTTTTTCCAGCACATAAGTTTTACTCATCAGAATTCTTTGGGGAGGTTGATAATTGTACTAATAGAGTTAAGAGGATTGCTTCCTCTCTTAATTTCCTTTTATGGATCCCAGCATTGCAATTGACAAATCCCTTTTTACTCTCTTGCAGTCTCAGCTTTTAGTATAGTAATAATGAGCCATGCTATCCCCAAAAAGCAATGTGGAATGTGTTTTTATCAGGTGTTGAATTATTTTCTAGAGTGAAATATTTTCTAGAGTGAACTCGTCTGTGTACAAAATTATATATATAGTAGTATCATCTTAATCATGGGCTTCCCTGGTGGCTCAGTTGGTGAAGAATACTCCTGCAGTGCAGGAGACCCAGGTTCAATCCCTAGGTGGGGAAGAATCCCCTGGAGAAGGGAGAGGCTACCCACTCAAGTCTTCTTGCCTGGAGAAGTCCATGGACAGAGGAGCCTGGCAGCTACAGGCCATGGGGTCGCAAAGAGTCAGACACGACTGAGCGACTAACACTTCATCATCTTAAGTAAAGAACAAAGCCAATATAGGAATGGATAATCAAGATGTTTAGTGGTCTGATTGGGGGGAATGTAAAACTGAAAGTGAATTTGTGGAGGAATTGGTTAATTTCATTTGAATTACCATGTGATGGAATACTATACATTGGAGAATACATAAGGTACCATGCCAAAACAGTACCTGGATCATTGAGGTACTTAAATTCTCTTCCTGTGAATAATCAACTGGGTGCATAATCAGCTTTTATCACTAAAAAATAACTAATTAGCATAGTAGAATTATAGTAGGATATATTTCCATTTTATATTTTTCAAATTTCCTACAATAAGCATGTTATATTTCATGTAATTCAGCTTGTGATGTACTTTTAAAAATTAGTTAAATCTTTTGTAATAATTAGAAATAGAGCTTTGAGCGTTAGGGCACAGTATATTCTTAGAGATATATGGCCAAAGCTTGTGGATGGCTACCCTCTTAGTACAACTGAAGTTAATTTAAATAAGGTAAAGTGCACCTTGAATTTAATGGTGAGATCTAGACAACAAGTGACATTTTTCTTCTCTTTTTTTCTCCCCCCTTCCCCTTTTTTTTGCTAAGGTACAACCAACCTGGTACTAAAGGTGGAGGGATTCACAAGAATTGAAAATTGATGGGGAAGAGAAGGGGAAACTAACATTTTTGAGTACCTACTGTGGGCCAGGTGTTCATCTAGATGTTATACAAGCCTTTAATCCTCTCAGCAACTTTCTAAGGAATGTATTGGCAATGAATTAAACATTCAGATAGAAGAATTTCCTAGTAAAACACCGGTCTGCCACCATTATCTTTATTTGCTCTCTCTGGGAACCAAAATCTTGGCTATGATAGTTTAGGAGCATCCAGTCCAGGTAAATACCCAAAATAATATTTAGTGGTGTTCTTTAATTGGGGGTTTTATGAGATTAAAAAACAGACTACTGGGCTCCTGAAATAGCCAAGAATAATTTAGAGTATCTTATCAATGATCTCAGAATCCCAGCTTATCCATATGACTTCTCTTTTTTAACCTCACAAATAGAGCATAAATCCTTTCACATTTTCAGCTCTCTGGTTATTATATACATATATGTCCACTTTAGGAGAGTTTAATTCAGTTTTTTGGTGGTTTTTTTTTTTTTTTTTCTGAATATTTTTTGTTTTTTTTTCCTAATATTTTTTGAAATTGTCGAATATACAGAAAGTTAAATGAATTATCCAGTAAATACCCATAAGCCTACCATCTGGATTCTAAAATTTATTATATATTTGTAACTGTAAATAGTTTGTTTTATCATATACCCTTTGTGTTTTGTAATGTTTTATTCTGCTTGTTTGAAAGAAGTTTATTTTTGGAATAAATTTTTTTCTGAGAGGAGATGATTTTTAATATCTGGAAGGTTAATTCTATTTAATTTTGAAATATTCCTGCAAAGTATAGACCACTATACGTGTTTATAGAAGATGCATATTTATTACCGATCAGATACAACCTAGACCAGTTATTTCTTCTGTCACCCCTTTAATGTTTTTTTTTTCCCTCCTCACTTTTTTGGTCCGTTTCTCTTAAGGCTATGAGTAATGTAGGTCTTGAGCTGAAAATACAGACATATAGACTGATGATTATTTGTATACTTGATAGAGTAGATAACAGAATAGACTATTTAAAATTAGAACCTTTATAGAAAATCAGAGACCTTTGGTCATCCTGTATGACCACAGGTCATACCTGTGCTTTCTACCTAACTTAGGTGATCTAATTTATAGTTGTTGGTTTTTTTTTTTAACTCTATCCTCATTATGTGGTTGGAGGGAAGTTGGTTGAATGTGTAACAGTTTGATCAGGATGGAGCTGTATTTGAAAGTAAGAAATAATATGGCTCTAAGAAAAGCAGGTAATTGGTGAATAAATTTTCTTTTTCCAAATAAAAAGTTCTTTTTACAGTGATTGAGAACTTCCATTGATAGATTTAGTGTATGTAGCAAGAGTAAATGCAGTTAGGGCAAATAGGAACTGAAAGCAGTGTAGATGTATAGATAGGTAAAAGGATATAAGGAAATGATGTAAAAAAAGGATCCTGGGGTGATGGTAAAGACAGAAAATATACGTATTAGAATTCCTTCTGTTTGAAATTGTCCTATAGCTGACTTAGATGTTTCTATAATCACTGACTTAGAATTCTTACAGGATTTAGGAGGAGAGAACGTGAGAGAGGGAGAGAGAGAGAGTAGGGAATTAACTCCAGCCATCTCAAAAATAATCTTCTAAGCGGAGAGGTCAATGTTTTTCAGTGATGACTTTACAAGGCTTTTTAATCCTAGGAAACCTACAGTTTAGGAAACACTGATGACAATGAAAGTACAGAACATTTAAAGAAAGGAAGTGTAAACAAGGAAACTTAAAAATCCCAAAGGAGTGGGTTCATGGGTGCATGGCATTGTCGTTAAAGATATTTCTTCTTGTTCACAAACATTATTTCTCATAGGAGTACAGTTTAGCAATTCTGAAACTGGTTTACTGTGAATAATAGGGTTAACCAAATAAATTGACGTGTTGTAATGAAAGCAACTTCTGTCAGAGAGTGAACTTACAAAAAAACAACAGAGCCATGCTTGAATGAACCACACACGTACTCCCCACTACACACACACACATAGATACAGAAATAATAAAGATGTATATATACATGGGTTAGTATACGTGTATACATTCCCTGGGTCTGTGGGTGGTAAGAGAAGCAGTGACATCCCACTAGTAAGAAGGACACATGGTGCCTAGATCACAACTTCTAAATCTTATTCTCCAGTTAAAAAAAAAAAGTCAAGATTCCTTGAGAGGTGGTATATTCTAGGGTTAGGGCAGAGAAAACCCAAGGTGAGTCTGAAGCGTCTTGTAGTGTTGGAAAGTAAGAAAGGAGGGAGGGGAAATGTATTGAAAGGATACAGGACTCCCCTGGAAAAGCTTCCAGTGGCCAAAAGCTGGACCAGTTTGAGCAACAAAGTAAAAAATGATAGTATTATATCACGATGTAAAGAATATTAGCATCAAAAAAAAAAAAAATCAGTATCCAGGGATCTGTGTTGCTATAACTTGTGGTCTGCACCTGTGTCGTGGTCTCACTGCACCCAAGTTGAAAGGAAATTAGAACCATTAGGCTTTAGTGACTTTCAGAAAGCTATGGGACTTCAGATAGAAATGTTTAATGGGCCTTTGTTTTCCTGGTTTACACTGGAGGACTGAAGGTTAAGTAGCCTGCCCAGGCTCATGCAGTTAAGTCAGACCTGTACTAGGTCATGGGTCTCTAGGCTTTTGTCACTGTTCCACACTGCCCAGACTGTGGGTCTGTGTCAGCTTACAGTTTTTCTTATATGGCAGAGGATGTTACAGTAATCTATAGCAATCTCAATTTTAAAAGACTAATTTTCTTTTCTTTTTTAAAAAAGAAATTAGAGCCTAGAGCATGTATTTTCTAGATGTGAAGATAACCAAATTGATCAAGTTCTCTTAAGCATCAAAATGTTACTGGTAATCTTGATCCTTATTTCAGAGTTCTTAATGCATTTAACAAATTTATGTTTTAATAGCTTGTATTGAAACTCTTAAGTGACACTTGTAGTACCTTATGCTTGGTAATATGGAAACACAATTTTTCATTTCTTTTATTATAGAAGAAATTTTGGAATCCATAAGAGCCAAAAAGGGAGACATTGATATTGTTAAAAGCCCAGAAGAAATAGACAAGGACAAGAATGAGACTGAAAATAGTAACTCCAAAGATGCTGAGAAAAGCAGAGAGGAGTTTGAAGACCAGATTGTTGAAAAAGACAGTGATGACAAACCACCAGATGACGTCGATCCTGAGCAAGGAAAATCTGAGGGTAAAAACATTACTTGGTTAAAAAGAAATATTTCATCAGTATTATTTAGGACATCTTCAGTTTTACTTGCAAAATGAAGATAAGGTTGTTTTTTTTTTATTACAAACAACTATTTAATTTTACATTTCTAAAGAGATTAGTATATCCTTCCTCCTTATAACATGTATAATCATTGTAATGAGTTTTATATATTGGTGGATTTACTATGATTTTATATCCATATCTCTATACTTCTTAATAAGGTACCATTTCCCTATGAGATTTGTTGGTGAAAAATCACTGTTTTTCTGTCAGAATATACACTTTTGGGTGTGATAAAATACGTTCATTTTTATGTTGACTACTTAAACATTCTTAATAATGCCAAATATTCTTAAATACCCTTTGGATTACCTGCTGCAAAAATATCCCAGAATCTAATTGCTTCAAAATGGCCATCGAATAGAAGCCAGGTTTTTTGGTGCTCATTCATTTTCAGTAGATGACTGAATGTGGCCATTTGTCCTAGAGCAATTTTAAAGGGTATCGTTAAAGTTTTGTTGTGCATTTTACTGTAGAGCCAACAGAAGTTGGGGATAAAGGTAACTCTGTGTCAGCAAATCTTGGCGACAACACAACAAATGCTTCTTCCGAAGAGACTGTTCCCTCTGAAGGGAGGAGTCCCATGGGGTGTGTCTCAGAAACCCACGGTAGCAGCAACATGGCAGAGAAGAAGGTGGCATCTGAGCTCCCCCAGGACGTGCCAGGTACAGAGGGCAGTGTATCAATGCCTCTGTAATGGGGGGAAGTCCTTCCCTTGAGTAGTGAAAGCTGAGTGTCACCTAAAACCTTAAAGTGTGTCTTCATTCATGCTGCTTGCTTGCATCAGTGCCATCCCCGACCGCTAAATTGTCACCTAACATTTGGAGTTTGACAAATGTTCCTGCATTTAGTGCTTGAAACTCATCATAATCTTCATGCTTTTTTAAAGTTCATTTAGCTGTTTTTGTTTAATAGACTTATTTGTATATTTTATCACCAGACCGTAGTGGCAGATATTTTGGTTTTAAGTACTCACATACTAATGGCTCAGTGTTGAATGATTTGACCATTCCAGTTCTGTATGTACTAACAAATTAATTTTATGTTTGCATGTGGTCATGTAAGTTTCTTTTTAACAACATTTCAAACCATAATATTATAATAGAAAACCATTGTCATTATTTTGATATGAAAATGTAAGTCAACCAGTAATATTTTAAGCTTATTAAAATTAATACTCACAGTAAGTTATATTACATCAAGAATGTTGTTATGCCTTTCCTTTTGCCTTTTTTAAAAAAGAAAAAATTTTATCATAAGAGCTTTATGTATTTTTTTAAGAAGGCAAATTAGAAAATTAGATAAGCAAAATAAGGAAATACTGGTGATCCTATGGAAAGCCAGTGATTGTAGGTAGTACTGTGATGGAAGTCCTGAAAGAGTTTTTTTTTTTTTAGTCCTTTTAGTAGGAATGTAGGGATAGCTTATTGTGATTTGAACTTGCAGTTCCCTGGTGACTGAGGATGTTGAACACCTTTAGTGTGTGTGTGTGCATGTGGGTGTGACTGTGCACACACATGCTTCAGTGTGTGTGTGTGTGATTTGGATACCTTCTGTTTTGAAGTGCCTGTCAGTTCTTCTGTTCATTTTTTATTAAATGGTTTCTTTTTTTTGTCTGTGGTTGTTGCATAGACTGGGCTAGGTTCAGTCCCTCTTCTCTATCCTGACTGGAAGCAAAAGTTTCTACGTTGATTTTTTAAATAATGTTAACACAATCTCATATTCCTGAAATAAATACAACTTTTTTGTGACATAGTTTTGTTCTTAAATATTGTTGCATTCCATTTTTGATATTTTGCTTAGAATTTTTCCATCAGCTTTTATGAATGAAATTGACTTGTAGTTCTCCTTCTCTGATAATGTCTATGTCAGGATTTGATGCCTAGATTACATTGGCCGTATAAAATAAGTTTTTATTTTACAAGTTCCCACTTTTCCTTTTGTCTGCAAGAGTTTCTGTGGGTGGGTGTTGTTTATTCCTTAAATGTTTGCTGAAGTCTTTTGGTCCTGGAGTTTTCATTGTGGGAAAGTTATTGTAGATTTCATTTTTTTGGCAGATAGTGAAGTATTCATATTTTCTGTTGATTTCTTGTGTCAATTTTCTTAAGTTTTATTTTTCTAAGAATATACCATTTCATTTAAATTTTACTGATATAACTTTTTAAACGTCTATAGCGTCTGTAGTGATGTTCCCTTTATTCAATCCATAAATTGGTTAATCATTTCATGAGACTATTAATAATTTTTATGAGTCTTTGAAAAAAAAACTTTGGGATTCCTTTTAATTTCTTTTCATTCTTGTGAGTTATTCCTCCCTGCCTTTTTCCCCCCTTAACCACTCTGTTGAGTTGTAATTGATACACAAAAAGCTGTACGTATTTAATGTATACAACTTGATGAGTTTGGAGACAAGATGTACCCATGAAACCATCACTGTAATCTGTGGCATAAACATCTGTCACCTCCAGAGGTTTCTCATACACTGTTTATTAAATTTTTTTCTTCTTGCTTAATGGATGCTTTTGTAACTTTTAGTTTTTATTTTTTGCTATGGCTGTCATCAAGGCTGTACATTTCCCTCTGTATACTGCTGTAGATGCATCTCACTAACTTTAAAATGTTATTTTGTCTTTATCATTCAGTTTAAAATGCTTTCTGATTTCTGTTATATATTTTTTAACCCATTGCTTATTTAGAAATACATTGTTTAGCACCCAAACATTTAGAGATTTGCTAGTTATATTTTTGTTGTTGATTTCTGGTTTGACAAACTGGAGTCAGAGAACATTCTGTGCATGATTTATGTCCTTTAAGATTTGTTGAGGCTTGTTTTGTGGTCCCAGCATTTGATTAATATTGATAAACTATCTCATATACACTTGAAAGAAAGTGTTAGTCACTCAGTCGTGTCCAACTCTCTGTAACACCCTGGACTATAGCCCACCAGGCTCCTCTGTCCACGGAATTCTCCAGGCAAGAATGCTGGAGTGGGTTGCCATTTCCTCCTCCAATATACACTTGAGACATATATTTTTAGTTTTGGGGTACAATATAAAACAGTTAGGTCAGGGTTTTTAATTGTGGTGTTCAAATCTATATTTTTGCTATTTCCCCCCCCTCTCTGCAAGATACTTTTAAGTTACTTTTTTTAATGTGTTGCCTTTTTGTCTTTCACATGTTTTTAGTTTTGCATTATATAGTTTGAGCCTGTGTTATTAGGTGCACATAATTTTTATTGTTGAATTAACTTTATCTTTGTGAAATACTCTTTATTGTTAATAATGTTACTAAACTACAGTTGCTTTCTTTTGATTAGCATTTATATTGGATATCTTTTCTAGAATTTAAAATCTATTTTTAAATACAGCTACTTTAGAATTTCTTTGGAAATATATATATACACACACATAAACATATACATATATGCATGAAAGTGAAGTCGCTCAGTCATGTCCGACTCTTGCAACCCCATGGACTGTAGTCTTATCAGGCTCCTCCGTCCATGGGGTTTTCCAGACAATAGTACTGGAGTGGGTTGCCATTTCCTTCTCCAACATATATGCATATGTATATTTATTTATTTCAAGCTGTATTTTGTCAAGTCTTGTCAGACAGCACTGTCATTGTCTTACGCTAGCTGACATTATGCAGAGGAAGAATTACAAATCTGTGATATAAAAATCTAAAGGAATGAAAACAGAAAAATGGACAGATTTCATGTTGGGTATGATCAGTGATTAGAAAGATTTTATGTAGCTGAGACTGAAGTTTAAACTGAGTTTTAGGTTGTATTTTCAGAGGTTTGTAGACCTCACTTTGAAAAGTTAATCTCTGAATATCTATCCTCAGATCCCCCCCCGCCCCCCCCCCCCCCGCATCTCTACTCCAGACATTTTACTTCAGCTCATGAAAATGGTTATGTTGCCAAAAATGATGCATTACAGCAAGTATACTGTTTATTATTCAGTGTAACTCCTGTGTAGTTAACAAAAAGCTCCATTTCAGAATTATACTTTTGTTCTGGATTTTAGATTAGAAATTTTTTTACCAGAATGTCAATTTTTTCAGTTTATAAGAGAAGAGAGGGGCATGTCTTTCTAGCATCTTAACCTCAAATGTACTACAGAGAATTTGTATTCAGACCTATGATACAGACCGCATTTGTTTTTATTTAAGTTATACCTCCAGGTTTAATGCCTGGGACTAAGAAAATAGTAGCAACAGATAAAATTGGCTTTATATCCATAACTATTTATAATTGCTTTGAAAATGTTTCCATAGACATATTGAAACTCTAACATCTATAAAGTTGAACTATAAGAACATATTTATTTAATTTGTTTCTTTTAACTTTGGGGATAAAGATAGTACTTTGCTTTAGGTTTCAATTTTATTATCAGGAAACTAGTGGATTGGAGGCTGCTGGTACTGGATGCTGAACTGATCTATTACCAGTTTACCTCATTGAGTTGATTAATAATAGCTTTTGGAGGTTCTGCAGCAAAATGTTACTCTTTTGTTTCTTATTTTTTTAAATATGTTTTGGTTTTAGTTTCTAGTCTAGTTGAACTGTGAGGACTATTGGTAGGTAATAAACCTTCTTTGTGGTGTTTTAAAGCAAATGCTTGAGATTTCTTTAATCTTATAGCCTAATTAAGTAAAGAGGTCAAGAGTTCTAGAACAATTAAAAAATAAAGTCAGAATTCTAAACTGAAATGGAGGAGAACTTAAGGCAAATTAACTTGGGACAAGTTAACAAAAACGCTGTGTGTTATGAGTTACAGGAGTCCTCAGCTCATTGGCATCTTGAAAGTTTAAAGGGATAGATTCTGAGCTCAGTCTTTTCAGGATCAAAATACCTGGGGATAGGATTGATTGCCTATTCTTTTATGAAGTACATTGTAGGATTTTTTGGTGGGTAGTGTTAGGAAATAACATATTTCAGAAAAGAAAAAGATCAATTCACCATTGACATTTCAAATTCAGATTGAGAATTACATAGTTTTTTTTCTTTTTTCTTAAACACTTGTATCTCTTTTTCTTTATACTGAATGGCTTAGTTCCTAACAACAGTAGCTTAATTATATATTTGCTTTATCCTGATACAGATGTTAATTAATAATTATATATTATTACTTATAATTATTAATATACTGATATGCATTAATAACAGTAATACAAAAAAATGTTTTAAACAGCATAGAATTTCATAATACCAATGTTATTGCTCACAGTAAGATTACCTAATGGCATTTAAGGTTTTTTTTCAGCTTTTCATCTTTGTACCATATTTCCAGTAAGACTGTATAATGAAAATTGTGTTCCAAAGTCACTTGAAATAAATTTTTTCTCTGTGCGGTTATGCCAACAACTTGATGCACAATTTTTTTTGTTTCCATTGGTTTTCACTTTTTAGGGGTTGCATTTCTAACTAAATACAAAACATTTACATGATTTCAAAGTCCAGCTGTGTGTAACTATATCTATTCAGAGAATTTTTCACTTTCATCCCTTCCCTCTCTAGGTAACCATATCCTTCCTTTCCCCTATAGGTAGCCATTTTTATTAACTTTTCGTTAGTGGTTTTTTTTTTGTATATAAAGACAAAATATATCCACAAATTCTTATTTCTCTCCTTTTCTTACATAATGTTGGCATACTCTTAAGTGCTCTTCTGTTTCTTTTTACATTTAATCTTGAGATCAGTTTGTATGTGGATATAATGATCCCCTCGGTCCTTGTTATGGTACATGATATTTTACTGCATGTTCCATCTTCTATTCAGCCAGTGCCGTGTTTATGGGCATTTTCTTCTTCTGGTCTTTTGCCATCATAGTGCTACAGTGAATACCTCTGCAAGTAAGCAGTGTAGTATTTCTGCCAGTGAATTTTGGGATAGATTTTATAGACATGGGAGTGCTAGGTCAAGAGTAGTTGCAACTGCAATTTTTCTAGGTATCGTCAGTTCCCTGTTATCCACGTGGCACCCTTTTGCCACTCCCGCAGCAGTGTGTGGCAGTGCCTCTGAAGCTACTGCCTCTCTACCTGAGTGCATCATGAGACTTGGCTTTTTGGCCCATCTGGTAGCTGGGAGGTAGTTTCTCCATATAGTTTTATTTTGCATTTCTTTTAGTTTTAAATAAGTGAGCCTATTTCCATGTTTAAAGGCCATTTTCATTTCTTTTGTCACTGTTCATATATTTTCCCCATTTTTCTATCAGGTTGTTGGCTTTTTCCTTCAAAACAAAATTCAGGAACTCACAATACATTACAGATAGTCTTTGTGATATACTGTCAGTCACTTTTAATTGAGGTAATTGATATAAAGGCTACCTTAATAGCGGCAAAAGGAAATACACAAAGAGGCTCTAGATTTTTGAACTACCGAGGAAAGACACGTAGGCTTTCAGTTCATGGTAGTATTCATTTTGGTCTTTCAGCAATTATACTCTTATTGATACTGTTATATTCTTAAAATTAACAATCACTTAAGCATTACCTTGTAGTTAAATTTGGGGGTATAGAATTCAGGCAGGAAAAAAAAAAAAGAATTGAGGCAGGAAAACCTTAGAGATAAGTAATCCTGTTTAATTCCATTTAGAATACTGTTTGAAGACTTTGAGAAGTAAGAATATAAATTTCTGATTTTGAGGGATTTTTCTCCACTAAATTACTTCTGCAGTATCTGGCACATCATAACATCATAGATTCTGTGAGATAGTTATATCACTTGACTCTGACAGATGGTCTGCTTTGTACTGTGTATTGAGTTAATGCTAAGAGACTTAAAAGACAGCTCACAGGGTGTTATTTACAAATTTCTTTTCGTACATTGCATTATTCATACATGAGCAGCTTTTTCTTTTTAAAATCTGGCTTTGTAATACAACCCTAAAACAATTAAATGTCTTTTCTGACAATTAGTTATTTTTGATGTGATTTCCAATTTAAAAATCAGATATTCTATTTTTCTAGAAGAACCTAGCAAGACATGTGACAGCAATAAGACTAGTGCTACCACTGCCTCCATCCAGCCTGATCTGGAGCACAGTAACAGCAGCAGTGAGCTAAACTCTTCCCAGAGTGAATCTGCTAAGGCAGCTGATGACCCTGAAAATGGAGAAAGAGAATCCCATACACCTGTCTCTATTCAAGAAGAGATAGGTAAGGATACACTTCATACAACGAAAGGAACTTTTTTTTTTAATTTTTAATTTTTTATAATACAAGTTTGATGGGGGTGGGAAGATTTGGATTTTCTTTTTCTTTTTTTTTTTAAAGCATAAGTAACACTTGCACTCAGTGTTTTTGTTTTAAAAAAAGCAAGCACATAGGAAAAATTACATCTCTTTCACACCCCCTCCCCAAAGGTAACCAGCATTAATTGGTATTGTATCTTTCTCCGTGTAGTTACATTAATGTATGTATGCTTACAAAAAAAATTTTTTTTTTATATATAAATGGGATCATTCTGCACGTGTTGTCTGCATCTTGCTTTTTTCACTCAGTAATACATGTAGGAGTACTTTTCATGTAATAAATTGAATTTATTCTTTTTAACTGCTGCATGATATGCCACAGTTTAGATGAACCATAATTCATTTACTGTTTTTCTATTAATGGACATTTAGGCTGTTAACAGTTTTTTCCTTATTACAACTAGTGGTGCTTTTTAACATCCTCAACATATATCTTTGTTTACTTATGTAAGTATTTCTGGCAGTATAGATACAGTAAGTGGAATTGCTGGATCATATGGTAGGTACATTTTAAAAATAGTGATGGCTATTACTTAATTGTACATTAAAAGAAATTTATAGTAATAATTTACATATATATGTATTTCTTCACATTTTCACTTTTACATTTTGGCCAGTGCTATTTCATGAAAAAATTTGCATACCCCTGCTTACTAATGTGGTTGAATTTCTTTTCATGTGTTTGCTGAACTTTCTGTGAATTGCTTATTCGTGTCTTTTGCTCAGTTTTTCTCTTGACTTTTGATATTCCCTAATGAGTTTTAGGAACGCTTTATGTATTTTGGGTATTAATTTTTTATTTTACCTCTATACTTAAATAGGCATTGCTTGTTTTGTACAGAAAGTTTTTACGTTTTTTTATGCATTTAAATCTATCTTTTTCTTTAGGATTTCTCTGGATTTTGTGTCTTACTAAGTAAGGAAGACCATCTCTATCCCAAGAATATACATATATTTTACAGTAATTTTACCTAATACTTTATAACTTTGTCTTTAATCCTGCTGGTATGTAACTTTGTGTATGAGATGGAAATTTGTTTTAATGAGAACCTTCTCAATTGCAAGTGACTAAACCAGCTTAAACTAGCTTAAGTGAAAAGGGAATTTAATTAGCTCATGTAATTGGGAAGTCCAGGCCATCATCAGGCATAACTGGACCCCCAGGTATCAAAACTCTTTCCATTTTCCTCTTTCTGTCTCAACTTTTTGGATCTGCATATGTTTGTGTGTTAACCTCGTTCTCTCCTAATACAGACAGGCTTTTCCCAAGTGGCAGGGAAGATGGCCTCAGCGGTTTGTATTCATAAGTTTCCATGGTCTGTGACCCAAAGGCAAGGCCCCTACTTCTGCTCCAAATCAAAAGTCCTTGAGGAAGGAATTTGAGTGGCCTATTGGACATATTGTTCCCACCCCTGTGGCCAGGGCAGGCAAGGTATTATGATTGATGGCTCCAGCAAAAGTATATGATTGGAGTGGGGTAGGAATGGTTTTCCAAATAAAGAGAGATGTGAAGACAGGAAACAATGAGTATCCACAGTTCCACCGTAGCTCAGTACAAGCGTGTGTATTCAGATTCAGAAGTGCTTCTGCCTAATGTAATGCAAAGATCTCACCCACAACTGAAAATTTTTTCAAAAACTTCTCTCCCTAGATGATATCTGGTAACATTGTATCTAGGATTTCTGTGTATTGTGTGTACTATTTTGATTACATCTGGATGTGTCTTACCTTGATCTCACAATCCATGAGCCAGGTTGTGAGTTTAACTACCTGTAACACTCATTATCCTGATGGTGAATGGTGTTCTCTGATAAACCTGGCTGGCATTTTCTGGGAGGTTCTCTGGGAGGATGGATATGGACAAGATGTGAGAAGAACATGGCAAGATACCCCTGCTGGAGGCTGTCCTGCTTTACCAGCCTGGGTCCACCTGTCAGGGACGGCCTGCTGGAAATTGCTGTAGGTTTGAATAATTATACATCCCGTTTGACAGGCTTGGAGTTTTTTCTGGCAGTCATACCCCTTGTAGATTGCTTGGACCCCCAGCTCATACCTAACACCCAGAAACTTGGCTCAGGGTACCTGAAGGTGAACCCCCTCTACTTACCCAGTTTGTCTGCCCTAGCCCTCAGGTGAGCACAGTCTGTGTAGGTTCCTGCCTCTTGACATCATTAAACAAGGAGTTAGGGAGACTAGGGTCCAGCAGCTCTGGACTCTGCCTGCAGGTTGCATCACTGTGATTCCCTCCTTTGTAACAAGGAGAATGTGATATAACAGGGAGAATACACCTTTTTGCAGGGTGTAGTAGATAACTCCACTCTTAGCCTTGTTCCCTTTCTCTGTTCCTCCAAGTAATTCCCCCAGGGATGAATTTTCTGCCTCCTCGCCCATGTTTGCACTAAATTTAGTAAGTGGCAACAGATGGACTCTTGCCTATTGGATCCTTGGCTGTAAATCGAGTGGCTTCACTTTAAGAAGTGCCGTGCTGTCCCCTTTCTGCTTTTAGGAAGCCTGGCCTTGACTCAGTGAAGCCTAAAATGTCTTTATTGGGGAACTGCAGTGAGGGTCCCAAGAAGGAGCCACTGTAGCTCAGCATGTTGGCACAGAACTCCAGCATGGGTAGAGGCATGGTCTGAGACCCAAGAGAAAATTGTGGGAAGTCTAACCAACTGTTTTGCTACCTCACCTTGAAGGTTACTCGCTTTCCAGCCTGAGATGGCAAGATACAGCATCTTGATTTAGTCAGTGGCATTATTGTCTGCTTGGTTTTTCATTTGCCAGTGCCACCCTTAGTTTTTGAAAACTGAAAAAGGAAAATGAGGTCTTGTTTAACTATCTGGCCAATGGAAATCAGATGGTGATGCAATAGTTTTAGAATATACAGAAATTTTCAGCTGAAGTGAGATTCATTTAAGAGCAGAAGTTGCTCCTTGGCGATTAAATCCATCACTTTAAAAAATGGATGTTATGAAAATATGAGAGGCCTTTACTATATTTAAAAAAAAAGTAATGCAGTTGATTTTCACCTGTACATTGTCTGCAAACACAGACAATTACCTAGATTCCTTAGGAGAAAATGCAGTTTATGTTTATAAGCTTTAAACGGTTAGGTATTTGAACAGACTTTCAGTGGAAATATTTCTAAAATTAATTATATCCTTTTAATACAGAAATCCACATTGAATATATAAGGCAATATTTTATTAGTTTGCATTTCGAGTTATGTTTGTTCCTTGTTAACCTGTAGCAGCCCTTCCCCCTTTCTGGTAGATGAGCTTTACAACAGATAACCTGGCATGTTTGAATTTTCTGTAAAATAATGACTCATAGTGAAGTTCTGACATACTTTCTTTGGAGTAAAACTTTGAAGAATTAATCCATTTGGCTATTCAAGAACTTTTTCTGTTTGTTTTCTGGCTCTTAGTTGTCTACCAGATAGAATATTTGGATTAGTAAGATATTATTACTTATTATATATAGTCTACTTACTATTAGCAATTACTTTTGGCTTTTCTTTTGATAACAGGTGATTTCAAATCAGAGAAGTCTAATGGGGAAGTCAGTGAGTCTCCTGGAGGAGGAAGAGGAGCGTCTGGTTCAACTCGGATTATCACCAGGTTACGGAACCCAGACAGCAAACTGAGTCAGCTGAAGAGCCAGCAGGTGGCCGCCGCAGCCCATGAAGCGAATAAATTGTTTAAGGAGGGGAAAGAGGTGTGTTCTTTCTGTTTAAAACAAACATCTCTGGGAGGTAAAATAATTTTTAAAATAGAGGCAGGATGTTTGCAGACATATAGTTTTGAACTGTATTTTCCTCACTTCGAGAGTGTAAGTGCGTAAGAAGATTAAAAGTGTTAGGTTTATATTATGATAAATGTATACCCCAGTTTCAATCCATGCCTAGAAATGCTGAACATGGATAATGGATAGTATACTTTCTTATATATGGTTGGTTTTAGTATATGCAGTTCTAAAGAGATAGAGGCTTCTTTTTCACATATGGGAACAGGTAGGCTCTTTGTGAGCTTTATTAAAGGTTTAATGCTCAGATCTGACTCTAGTCATTTTAGGTGAACCTGCAACTAAAGGATGGGACTTAACCTGTTGACAACAGACAGTAGTATGTAGAACATTGTCTTAATCCTGATTTTGAATAAAAAAATTGAAGCTAAGACTCAGTATTTCTGTCCCCCAGCCAGCCATGGTGATTGAATAAGGGTCACAGTTGTGTCTTTCAGATTTGAGAATTATTTGCAGGGTAGATATTTGCAAGAATATGCAGTGTTTGTAACATCATCGAAAAGACTTTAAAGCAGAGGTTTTCAGGCTACTTTTCACTCTGAGCCTCAGTAAGACATTTTCCATAGCCCAGTGTGCACATGCATGCTCAGTTGGGTCCAACTGTTTACGATCCCATGGACTGTAGCCCACCAGGCCCCTCCGTCAATGAGTTTGTTCTGGAAAGAATACTAGAGTGGGTTGCCATTTCCTCCTCCTTCAGGGATTGAACCTGTGTCTTCTGCATTGCAGGTAGGTTCTTTACTGCTGAGCCACTGGGGAAGCCCTGAGCAACCCAGTACATATATTTAAAAGTTTCCTGAAAGAGTATTTTACCTTACTGTGTAGGAAGCGCTCTAGTATTTTCTTTTCTAGTCTATTGTATTATAGTTCATTTTTTTTTAAAGCTGGATAAGGCCCACTATTGATTTCATAGGCCACTAAAGGGTTGGAACCAACTATTTGAAATACTGTTTTAATATATCTATGGGCTCTTATCTAAAGCTGGAATGATAAAAGGAGCAGAATAAAATATATTTTTAGGAATGTATTTTGGAGGGGAATAGTACATGTAATGCCCTCATGCTTAACCCTAACCCCTATATATTGTAAGCTTGAGATAATGATTGTTGAATGATTTATATATCACCCATTTGGTTTTAGGTGTATATTTGAGATATATAAAAGTACTTACTAATGTCCAACATATAACAGGCACTTTAATAAAACTTAAGTTTTTTTCTTTTTGCAGGCACATCTTGGTTGTTTAATGATAAATAATTTAGCTTTAGCTTATAACTGGGCTTTTAACTTCAAAAGTGTAGTCATAAGATGTATTTTAACTTACTTTGAATGATAAATTAAAAACTGTTGAAAGACAATTGATCAGATTTATGCATTTGACACAAAAAAATGGAGTCTTTTTTTATTTTCTTGGCCAGGTACTGGTAGTTAACTCTCAAGGAGAAATTTCACGGTTGAGCACCAAAAAGGAGGTGGTCATGAAGGGAAACATCAACAATTATTTTAAGTTGGGTCAAGAGGGGAAGTATCGCGTCTACCACAATCAGTACTCCACCAATTCATTTGCTTTGAATAAGCATCAGCACAGAGAAGACCATGATAAGAGAAGACATCTTGCACATAAATTCTGCCTGACTCCAGCTGGAGAGTTCAAATGGAATGGTTCTGTCCATGGGTCCAAAGTTCTTACCATATCTACTCTGAGACTGACTATCACCCAGTTGGAAAACAATATCCCTTCCTCCTTTCTTCATCCCAATTGGGCTTCGCACAGGTAAAGGAAACCAAGGTTTGTTTATTGCTGTGACTATAGTAAATATTTATAAAATGATTATTGCAGTTGCACACTTTAAACTGTCATTTTAAAAAACATATTAAAATTTAAAATAAATATTAAAAAAAATTTGGCTACACCAGGTCTTCACTGTGGCAAGCAGGATCTTTAGTCATGGCATGTAGGATCTGGTTCCCTGACCAGGGATGGAACTCAGGCCCCTTGGGTCGCGAGCATAAAGTCTTGGCTACTGGACCACTAGGGAAATCCCTAAACTGTCATTATAAATGAATTGAATGACATCAGTTTAGTCAGCAAAACACTGAGGATGTTACGAATATGAGTGTACTTCTATAGTTACTGAACCAAGACTTCCCTGGCAGTTCAGTGATTAAGACTCCATGCTTCTAAGGGCATGGATTCAGTTCCTGGTCAGGGATCTATCCTGCATGCTGTCTGGTATGACCAGTAAATTGATTAATTAATTGGTTAATTTAAAATACAAAGTTAATGAACCAACACTGACATTTGGAAGATTTCTGGAAAGCAATCTTTATTCCTGGAACCAAATGGAATCCCAACAAATTTGGGACATCATAGAAGCTGTAAGGATTTGGAGGACTAACTGACCTTGAGATTCCTCCAGTGTTCAAAATCTGTGATTCTGTGAGGTAGAAACTTCCAGTAGCAGTGTATTTTGTACTTGATTAGCCTAGAAACATATGCCTTATATACATGCTTAGTCATTCAGTCATGTCTGACTGTGTGTGGCCCCATAGACTATAGTCTGCCAGTGTCCTCTGTCCATGGATTTTCTAGGCGAAAATACTGGAGTGGTTAGTCACTCCCTTCTCCAGAGGATCTTCCCAACCCAGGGACTGAACCCAAGTCTCCTGCATTGCAGGCAGATTCTTTACTGGCTGAGCCACCAGGGGCTCCCCTGGATAATCCCATGGACAAAGGAGCCTGGAAGGCTACAGTCCATGGGGTCACAAAGAGTTGGATGTGACTGAGCAACTAACACTTTGACATGCCTTATAAGGTAAAGTTGTCATAAATTACTACTCTTGTGCTTTTAATTTAAGATCAACAAGATGAAATGTTGTTTTCCGCCCCCCCCCCCCCCTTCTGAAATATAGGGCAAATTGGATCAAGGCTGTTCAGATGTGTAGCAAACCCAGAGAATTTGCATTGGCTTTAGCTATTTTGGAGTGTGCGGTTAAGCCAGTTGTGATGCTGCCAATATGGCGGGAATCTTTAGGACATACCAGGTAAGTGAATCCTGAGCCTTATGAATAGTGTGTTAGACTCCCTTTTGGAGTATTAGTCCATTAGTAATGAAAGTTAGTGTCTTTAAAAGGCCATATTAAACTTTACTAATCTTGACCACAAAGAGTCGAACACAACTGAGTGGCTGAACAAGCTTGGCCTCATTTTCCTCCTCTCTAAGCTATAACTCTGAATGAACATTAGTTCTTATTTATGATAGAGGATTGTAATGAAGATCAGAAGAGATCAGGTATATAGAAACTAAAAAAGCAACATCAAGCGAAAGCATTTTTATTGAATAGAAAGAGTGCTCATGTTTTTTGAATATTTATTCTGGAATGTGCTAGAGATCTGATATATTTAGAAATGAGTACTTGGCCCAACATAATGTAGCTCCTAAGTATTCCAAGAGTTACGTGACTAGCGCCTGGTTAACAAAAAGGATAACTGTTGTGACACGACTCTATTTTTTACCTTGAGTGGATTTATTTTTTGTAACTTTAATTTTTGAAAGTTCTTATTGTAAAAATAATATAAGCTTACAGTGAGAAGCATAAATTTTTATTTAATGTGATAAGTAAGACTCCTTCTGAAGAACTATGGATGGAGGTTCATGACATTGTACAGGAGTCACTAATCAAGACCATCCCAAAGAAAAAGAAATGCAAAAGGGCAAAATGGTTGTCTGAGGAGGCCTTACAAATCACTGTGAGAAGAAGAGAAGTGAAAGGCAAAGGAGAAAAGGAAAGATATATCCATTTGAATGCAGAGTTCCAAAGAATAGCAAGGAAAGATAAGAAAGCCTTCCTCAGGGATCAGTGCAGAGAAATAGAGTAAAACAATAGAACAGGAAAGACTAGAGATCTCGTCAAGAAAATTAGGGATACCAAGGGAACATTTCATGCAAAGATGGGCACAATAAAGGACAGAAATGGTAGGACCTAACAGAAGCAGAAGACATTAAGAAGAGGTGGCAAGAATACACAGAAGAACAATACAAAAAAGATCATGACCCAGGTAACCATGATGGTGTGATCACTCACCTAGAGCCAGACATCCTGAAATGTGAAGTCACGTGGTCCTTAGGAAGCATCACTACGAACAAAGCTAGTGGAGGTGATGAAATTCCAGTTGAGCTGTTTCAAATCCTAAAAGATGATGCTGTGAAAGTGCTGCACTCAGTATACCAGCAAATCTGGAAAACTCAGCAGTGGCCACAGGATTGGAAAAGGTCAGTTTTCATTTCAATCCCAAAGAAAGGCAATGCCAAAGAATGCTCAAACTACCACACAGTTGCACTCATCTCATACACTAGCAAAGTAGTGCTCAAAATTCTCCAAGCCAGGCTTCAACAGTTTGTGAACTATTAACTTCCAGATGTTCAAATTGGATTTAGAAAAGGCAGAGGAACCAGAGATCAAATCACCAACATCCGTTGGATCATTGAAAAAGCAGGAGAGTTCCAAAAACACATCTACTTCTGCTTTATTGACCATGCCAAAGCCTTTGACTGTATGGATCACAATAAACTGTGGAAAATTGCTCAAGAGATGGGAATACCAGACCACCTTACCTGCCTACTGAGAAATCTATATGCAGGTCAAGAAGCAACAGTTAGAACTGGACATGGAACGACAGACTGATTCCAGATCAGGAAAGGAGTACCTCAAGGCTATGTTGTCACCCTGCTTATTTAATTTACATTCAGAGTACATCTTGAGAAATGCTGGACTGGATGAAGCACAAGCTGGAATCAAGATTGCCGGGAGAAATATCAGTAACCTCAGATATGCAGATGACACCACCCTTATAGCAGAAAGCAAGGAAGAACTAAAGAGCCTCTTAATGAAAGTGAGAGAGGAGAGTTAAAAAGTTGGCTTAAAACTCAACATTCAGAAAACTAAGATCATGGCATCCGGTCCCATCACTTCAGGCAGATGGGAAAACAGTGGAAACAGTGACAGACTTTATTTTCGTAGGCTCCAAAATCACTACAGATGGTGAGTGCAGCAATGAAATTAAAAGATGCTTACTCCTTGGAGGAAAAGTTATGACCAACCTAAACAGCATATTAAAAAGCAGAGACATTACTTTGACAACAAAGGTCCATTTAATCAAAGGTATGATTTTTCCAGTAGTCATATATGGATATGAGAGTTGAACTATAAAGAAAGCTGAGTGTGAAGAATTGATACTTTTGAACTGTGGTGTTGGAGAAGACTCTTGAGAGTCCCCTGGACTGTGAGGAAATCCAACTACTCCATCCTAAAGGAAATCAGTCCTGAATATTCATTGATGGACTGATGCTGAAGCTGGAGCTCCAGTACTTTGGCCACCTGATACAAAGAATTGACTCCTTGGAAAAGACCCTTATGCTGGGAAAGATTGAAGGCGGGAGGAGAAGGGGATGACAGAGGATGAGATGGTTGGATGGCATCACCTTCTCGATGGAGATGAGTTTGAATAGGCTCCGGGAATTGGTGATGGACAGGGAAGCCTGGCATGCTGCAGTCCATGGGGTTGCAAAGAGTCAGACACCACTGACTGAACTAAAGACTCTTCTTACCTTCCCTGCCCCTTTGGGCCCATTCTGAAGGTATAATGCTATACTTTAAAAAAAATATAAATATATTTTGTGTTGCTTTTTATAGCTGTTGTTTTACCTTATAATGAAAAATTTTAAAGAAAAGTAAGTGTGCCTGCTAAATATTTTTTATCTGTCAAAGGTTGCTATAAGTTTTCTGTAGTCTTCCCTACTCCTCCCCCGCCGGCCTATAAATCTTACAGATACTTTTTTCCCTCTCTCATTTCTCCCTATTTTGAATGTAATTGCTGCTCCTGATAGAAGCTTACACAAATGGAATGGACTTAAATTCTTCCTAGGATTAAAAATAACTTAGATACTTTTACAGTTTACTGATCTCTTTGAGATTATCAGGTAAGGTGAAAACAAAAAGGGAGAGGTCAAAGGACAAAAAACCAATATCCAGAACATTTCTGATTCTCTGTCACTGATACTGGTGATTTCAAACCTTCAGAGTCCACTGACATAGCATTCAGGCTTCCTACATCTGTAGAGAAGGCATCCTGTTGAATGCCTTGTTTTGAGTGGGAGAAGGGTGGGGAGGAGGAGTTCCACGGGTCTCAGCCGTTGGCCGTAGGGCAGAGGCCATGCTCTTAGGCAAGAAAAGAATTTTTGGTTTAGTTTGGAGGATATCACTGTGCCTATCAGAGTAAGGATTTGGGCAGGACCAGATGATTTCATAAGGAAGTTTTTCAAATTTTAGGAGACAGATAATTCTATTTTGAACTGCTCCATATAATGGGAAAGAAGGAAATCTTGTGCATTAGTTCTATCAGTGTTATAACTTGATAAATAGGCAAATAAATGGAAAAGTTAGATCCTGCCTCATTTATTAATATTTACCATTGACTAATAATAATAGCAAATAGAAGTGTATGCAGGAAATCTTAAAGCATTAGGAAATCTACTCAGGAGTAAATTAAAAGAATAATAAATCATGACAAAATTGACTTCCTCTAGGCATGGAACATTTGTCTGTTTTTAGGAGATTATTAATACCTTGCTATCTTAAGAAGTCAAAGAAAACTGATTTTCTCTTTAGATGTCAGGAGGGTATTTATTAAGAAGATAGGAGTTCATTATTAATTCTTGTATTAAGTATTAAAAAATACTTAAGTAAATAGAAATAGATGAGTGACTACCCCCACCCACCCTGCTTTGTTGTAATGATTCATTTCAAACCATACCATCATGTTTTTTAATGGAACTCTTGAAGTTTTCCCATTAACATTTAGGTGGAACAAAACAAGAGAATCCCCACTGTTACTGTTAACTTTTCCTAAAAGTATTAGTTAATGCAATTTGCCAAGAGAAGTAAAACATATATAGGTAAATGTAGGGATAGTTAGGAGGAGGCAATGGCACCCCCACTCCAGTACTCTTGCCTGGAAACTCCCATGGACAGAGGAGCCTGGTAGGCTGCAGTCCATGGGGTCGCTAAGAGTGGGACACGACTGAGCGACTTCACTTTCACTTTTCAGTTTCATGCACTGGAGAAGGAAGTGGCAACCTACTCCAGTATCCTTGCCTGGAGACTCCCAGGGACAGGAGCCTGGTGTGCTGCCATCTATGGGGTCGCACAGAGTCGGACGTGACTGACGTGATGCAGCAGCAGCAGCAGCAGCAGCAGCAGCAGCAGCAGGGATAGTTATTTAAGTTGGTTTAATTATATACTTCATTGACTAAAAAACTATAAAACAATATGAAAATTAAATAAGGGGGCCCCTATACTCTACAATAGGATTTATATATACAAATAGTAACCATGAAAAAAATACAGTGGGAGTTCTGACTGAAAATAACAAAAAGCACATTTAGTTTTGTTGCCTACTGAACACCGCCATAGCTATGGCAAAGGGATTTTTTTCAAAGCATAAACCAACAGGGACAAGGGAAACCACAGAGAATGCAGTGCCGTATAGCTGTGGAAGCAATATTGCAGGTGAACAAGGGGGACCCTAACCAAGAAAGGCAGATCCCAAGTCAGTGGGGGAGAATTGAGAATTTTCACGAGTCACACCATAGAACCCTTGAAAGGCACAGAAGCAGCAAGTGTAGAGCAATCTGCTTGGGATTCTTTCTGGGCAGTGCAGCTGTTTACACCCAGTCCTGCCAGGTTCCCTGAGTGTGGTGAGTCTTCTAGAGCTTGCTGATGGCCCCACCCTGTGATTGTATCACAAGACGCTCTTAACTTGTGAACTGTGATCCGGAGACAAGTTTATTTTTTCCTGGGATGCTTTTTTTAATAGTGACAGTATTGCTCTTGCTCATGCAGCTGGTTTTATTCTTGCTTCTGAGTTTTCAGGACACACATGTAGGTGCTGGTAAAACTATGAAGAAAAGCAAGGAAATGATAGCACGGCACAGAAGTCAGCATATTGACTGCCTGGGATGGGACATTCTAGCTTTGGATGTAGTGGTTATTGATAAGGGTGTGTTTCTTAACCTGGTTACAGTTTACGTGTTTTTAAAGATTATAATGAAGAAAATATCCAGCAATAACACAATACTTCAAACCAGGAATAAATTTAATTCAGGAGCATGTAAAGAAATCATTTAAACTTTACTAAAGATATAAAAGCTACCTTGGGATTCCTCAGCAGTCCAGCTGTTAAGACTTCACACTTCCATGGTGGGTTCAGTCCCTGGTTGGGGAACTAGGGTCCACATGCCACATAGCGGCAGCACCCCCACCTCTGCCCACCCCCACCCTGCCAGAAAGAAAAGATATAAAGGATATACTTTGAGTAAATGGAAAGATACATCATATGCTTCCATGCAGTATACTAATTATGCTAATTTAATCTATCAATTTTAATATTCATTTGCAATGTGAATAGTTTTCCCTTTGGAGGGTGAAGGAGACTTGACCAAAATGATACTATTTCCTCTAGAAAAATTAATGTGTAAGAAAAGGAAAACAGGTATTACAGAAAATGGAATAGATATTTAGAATGTGTTTTGAAGCTACAATAGTCAAAATACTTTGTCCTAGAGAAAAAGTAGAGCAATGGAATCAAACAGAGAATCCAGAAATAAACCTAAACACCTGTGGAAATCTACTGTGATAACTTTTCCTGTCAGACAAGGAAAGAGGGCGTGTTTGGGGAAAATATCATCCAAATCTCTACTTCAGCAAAAGCATTCATCAGACAAATGAGGATTGAAAAGAAAAACAACATACTGTTAAAAACAGTAACAAAAAGCTTAAATAAGAAAGCATGGATTAATTTATATTTTTATTGTGATACTTTCTTTTCAAACAGATATAAAACCCAGATGCCATTGATGAAAAAAGTGGATATATGTATTTAAAATTCTCAGTGGAAAAATAATATAATCAAACTCAAAAGACAGCTGACACACTGAGGAAAAATATTTGCACCACAAATGGAAACTTTCCTTTAAAATGAAAAAGACCTTTTATAGATGAAATATCCATTACTGACAAGACATAGGATTTGAACAGGCATTTGGCAGCAAAATAAATATGAAAGGCCAGTAGACATTTTTTTAAAAAGTGGTTACTTCTCTCATAATTAAATGTAAATAAAAACAATGGAATAGTATTTCTTCTCTCTCAGTGGGGCTAATAATTTAGAAATTTGGTGCTGGCTTGAGTGAAGGTGTGGGAAAGCAGGGGAACTGTAACTGGTGGCAGTGTGAAGTGTATCATTCTGCAGAGCAGCTGGGCACTGTCAGCATTTTAAATACTATACCCTTTGGACTCAGCCCTCCTACCAGTGGGAAACAGAAGGGGTTACTCCTCATGTTTACGAAGAAATAGGAAGACAAGCACAGCAAAGCCCCATGGATGTGGGGAATAGAGTGGAAGCTCATCTCGCACTTGGTGGCCCGGCTCTCTGTGAACTGAGAACGTATGGAGGAAGCCCCTGTCCCCAGTGTGCCCTCCAGTGTGGAGCAGCCTGTGGAGGCTCATAGTACCAGCCTCCTGGGGCCACCAGGCTGCCAGCAGTAGCCAGGGTTTCTGCCCAGCCACGTGCAAGTGAACCCCTTCATAGCTCACCTTTCTTGCTGCTTTTTCCCATGAGGATTGTCTCAGAGGTGTTGAGAACAGTAGAATCTGCTCTGGTAGAGGGAAATCGTAGGTTAGCTGTAATACTACCTCACTGGCCTGGCATCCCCAGCGAAGAAAAGCATTTGTCTTTGGTGATGAAGATGGCCCTGTTCCTCACATGAACCCCAGAAGCACAGGCTGAGTGCCAGGCGTGTTCCCAGAGTGTCCGTGCACTGGTGTTCTCCCCAGACAGTGCTTCATCTCTGGCCACTGTCCGTGAAGATGGCTCAGTTGCTGTGCCAGACCTGGCCTTTCCTAGGAGTTTAAAGCTGAGCCGGCAAAATCCCTGTTGAGAAATACTACTTGATTGTGGCACAGTCCCTTCTGTAGTCTGGGGAGCTGAGGCTGTCAGGTTTTCCACCAAGCTGTGCCTGCAGAGCTTGCCCCACTCCCTGGTTCCAAGAGTGGCTGCAAATCTATGGTATTTGAGACTAAGTTAGTCCCCAGTGAGAATTTCCTCCCTTTCCTCTTCTCCTGTCATTTGTGAGAGAGTGAAGAATCTTTGCTGTACTAGTTGTGTGCACTTAATGGATTCTAGGGTCCTGTAGCCATAGGGACATGAAACTTGTTTCAAAGTGGAGATAGAAGGTTTTTGGTGGAAGGATGGAGAAATATAAAAGAACTAAATCCCCTCTCACATCTTTGTAGCATCTACCGCTCCCTCAGTTAACAAAAGAGCTCGCTCTTTCCATATAGCTGTGCATTTGAAATTAGCTACTTCTTGAGTAGGGTATGATAAAAACAATTCTTCTACCACTAGGGCTTTTAGAGACAGGAGCTCCTTTGTAGATTTTGGTTAATGTTCTTTTTTATGGGAAATACTCCCATTCACAGAAATCTAGTGTAGTCAGCTTAAAGTGAAACCTCATCACAGACTCACCCATCTCCTTACAGATAGGTGCAGTGGTGTCTGATTTCCTGCCTGAAAAAAGAGCATGGTCTCTGATGATTATTGCCTGATTAACGTGGTCCTTCCTGCCCAACCTTTCCAGTCACCCAAAAGCAGGGTCCCTGTCCCTCTGCTTATAGGAAGCCGAAATTCTGTGTTAGTGGACCCTGTGAAGACTCTACAACCCCAAGTGCTAAATAGAAATGTTGGTTGATAAAAGTTTTGGGTTTTGGGACTTGTTGACCTTTTGGTGGGGAGGCAAGACGATAATGTATCTTAGGGTTTGGAAAGATCTAGTGCAGTTTTCTGTTGATTAAAAACTGTACAATTGTATTTGTATATAACATCCTTTGTGTGATTATAATGTTGGTATATGTGTGAAATAAGTCATAAGTGAGTTATTTCTTATGGAGAGGCATATAGGAAGGACAGCATGTTTTATTTTTGCCTTTTTGTACTGTTTGATTTTCTGCTATTACATAATTATGTATCTGCTTATTTTTGTGACTTTTCAGTTTTCTGGGTTGTGGAATTATAATCATTCTTTGCTTTTACCTTCCTAATCTTCAGTACTGTATTTTTATCTTTATTTTTTAAATGTAATTCTGTCTTTCTATTCATATATTATTAGGTTACATAGAATGACATCAATTGAAAGAGAAGAAAAGGAGAAAGTCAAAAAAAAGGAGAAAAAACAAGAAGAGGAAGAAACAATGCAACAAGCTACATGGGTAAAATACACATTTCCAGTTAAACATCAGGTAATTTTTAGTATGATCTTATTAAAAAGTGTTAGACATTTGTGAGACTTTGATTCTGCAATTTTGAATACTTAGTAATTTTATTTCACTTTTGATACACTCTTAATTAACATGGTTTGAATGAAGTAAATCTTTTAGCAATTTTATAAGCATAGGTTTTTAGTAAAATATATGTGAGTCATCAGACCAATTTGTAGAAATTGTTATAAAATGTAAAATTGTTTTTTACATTTTTTTGTATCAGGAATATTTAAGTTTCTTCAGAAATCTTTGATTCTGGGTGAAAATAAAATTGACTGGCAAATTAATTTGCCTGACTGTTGATTTTATTTGATAAAAATATATAAAACCACATGTGCTTTATAAAACATTCTCATTCTTGTTTAATCACCATGTTTTTATTTACACCAGGTTTGGAAACAAAAAGGAGAGGAATACCGAGTAACTGGATACGGTGGTTGGAGCTGGATTAGTAAAACTCATGTTTATAGGTTTGTTCCTAAATTGCCAGGCAATACCAATGTGCATTACAGAAAGTCAGTAGAAGGAGGTAAGTAATTGAAGCTATTTTCCTGCATAATTGTTTCTGATCTGTATTCTTACAAATTTGTAGTATATTGACAATATTTTAGATAAAAGTTTTTCTGAAATTCTTTCTAGAATGTGAAAAGTTACTAATGTAGTTTAACAAGCTCTCATATTTTTAAAATTACCTTTATTCACTGGATTTTGATACTTAGGATTCTAGCTTAAAAAGGTGAGAGAATAGAACTTGTTGAAAGAAAGAAGACCTCAGCTACTTAATTGTCTTTCTGAAATCTTAAATTCAGTACTACTTAACTTCTTGAGGACTCAAATATTTGGTGACTTCAGCATTGTAGCATATAACAAAACCAGAAATAAAGCAACAGAGACTTCCATAACACTGTCATGTAAAGGAGATATTAATTCAGTTTATGCCACTGGCTGATGACTTCAGTATTTAGAATCACAGAACTCTAGAGGTAAACTGTCCTTTTAGGAGACCATATATTTTGAAACTCATGTTACATGAACAAATTATTTCATGAAGATGTTAAGGGACATACTGAAGCTCACACAGATGAAGAATAATAGAATCCTGGCTAAAACCTATGTCTCCTGGCTTCCACTCCCCTTTTTGCATTCTACCTTGTCGTCTCCTTTGTTATCTAAGTGATTTTCAAAAGCAGTTCTGTTTGCTCTGCAGTATAATTTGCTGATTTATGGTGTGGTATGGTCTTTGTTGTGAAACTTGTGTTGTAGGCCAAATAAGTACACACTTAGCTAACTAATTTGGTTTACCTGTGAATGGTTCTCGTGAAACCTAGACTGGTAGATTTTTGAAACTATTAAAGTTGTCATTGAATTACCTTTAGTAGATGCTCAGTAACTATTTGCTAAATAGAAATATTAAGTATTCACTTACTTATCTGATTATATTCAAGCTCAATGTCCATTATAATGACTTCCAAAAAATTATTTTTAATTTTTTATTATCATTTCATTGCTCTAGTTATTGTGTAGCACTTAGAATTATGGAGAGCTTTTACTTGTGTCTGACCTGTTTTGTCCTATGTAATAAAATCCAGATTATCAATATATAAAGCATTTAGGCTTTTGCAAATTTATTTTGTATCCACTTTCCTTAGCGTGGGGTTTTCTATTGTCCTAATGCTGGGCCTTTATCCAGCAGGTACCATGTTGGTCTTGGAGCATCTTTTGAGTCTTTTCTTCCCAGTTGCTAGCAGGGGAAAAAACTAGTAGTAAATCAGATCCAAACAAAGCCACACTTTGCATTTGGTTATTTCTCTTTTCAGTGACACAGACTTAAATATTCTTAACCTGGGAGTCCACAGATAAACTTCAATTCTATCTAAGAATCCATTGAAATTTATTACAAAAGTTTCTGTATGTCCTTTTTTCTAGATAGGGAATCATAGCATTAATCCAGTTCTGATATGGTTCTGTAATACAAAGTATGTTAGCAACCACTGATGCAGACTTTCTGGGGTCAGTGAAGAGGGTGAAATAGTCTCCTATGTGAAGATTCCTGAACTGCATCTAAAGTGTAGTCATTACTTCTATGGTTTAAGTCAGCTGAGCATATAAGAAAGTATGTAATATATTCAATTTTTGTTTTGTGAATTAAAAATAAGGTATAAATTGCTGGAATATACTTCATAAGTTCCACTAAACCAGGTGTATTAAAGTAAATTGCTAATATTTGACATACTTGTAATTACTATGTACTTGGTTCTTTTTAGTTAAAAATAACATGGATGAAAATATGGATGAATCAGATAGAAGGAAAAGTCCACGAAGTCCAAAAAAGATAAAAACAGAACCAGATTCTGAGAAAGGCGAGGTAAAAGACTCTGATGCTGCAAAAGGATCAGACCAAAGTGAAATGGACATTTCAAAGGTTACTGAGAAGAAGGATCAAGGTAAGGAGTCAAGTGTGGAGGGCACCTGGGGTGATAAGAAAGCACTGGATCTAGTTGGCACAGCAGGAAAGGTACTGCTTTGTCTCTTTTCAATAACAGCATTATTGAAACATGATTCATATGCCATATAGTTCACCCACTTAGAGTGTACAGTTCACAGAATTGTTCAGCAGTCACCACACTCAATTTTAGAGGGTTCTTATCACCCCAGACAACAACCTCATATCCACTAGCAGTTGGTCACCTTTCTTCCCTAAATCCCAATCTACTTTCTGTCTTTATGGATTTGCCTATTCTGGACATTTCATATAAATGGAATCAGGTAGTATGTGGTCCTTTGTGTCTGGCTTCTTTCACTTAGCATATTTTCAAAGTTCTTCCATGTTGTGGCATATTTTTTTATCAGTAGTTCATTCCTTTTTATTTACAAGTAATATTCTATTGTATGAATACGTCATGTTTTGTTTATCCATTCGTCAGTTGAACTTCTGGGTTGGTTTTTTTTTTTTGGCTGTTAAGAATAATGGTAATAACATTTGTATAGAAGTTCTTTTGTGAACATATGTTTTCATTTCTCTTGGGTAAATATGTAGGGGTGGATTGCTGAATCAAAGATAACTCTGTTCAGCCTTTTGAGGAACTTACCTTGTCTTTTGTGAAGTTGTTTTTAAAAACTAGATGAGTTAGATAATGCATAAGCCTTAAGATGTTTTATAAGCCTAAAATAAATGAAATCTTACGTGAAGGTACTGGTATATGCAATAGATATCACGTACTAATTTTTCATTGTGACATTCCATCATTTTTAGATACTGAGAATCAAAATATTTAAATATTTGGTATGTATGTGGTTTTTAACCTTTTATAAAGTTTAGCCCTGTCCGTTGACCTATTTTAATCATATTAGGAACTTTAAAATATATAGCTATTTATAGTTAAGATTTTGAATAAAAGTAAGAAAAACTGGTATTTTTTTAAAAATAAAAATATTATCATGAATTTCACATTTCAGACTAAAAACTACATTTGTATCAATGTCTTTGTTTCACAGATGTAAAAGAAGTTTTAGATTCTGACAATGATAAATCCTTTAAAGAAGAACCGATGGATATAGATGATGATGTGAAAACAGAGTCCCATGTAAATTGTCAGGAAAGCTCTCAAGTAGATGTGGTCAATGTCAGTGAGGGTTTTCATCTAAGGACTAGTTATAAAAAGAAAATCAAATCATCCAAACTAGATGGACTTCTGGAAAGGAGAATTAAACAGTTTACACTGGAAGAAAAACAACGCCACGAAAAAATGAAGTTGGAGGGTGGTATTAAAGGTTCGGGAAAGACCCCTACAAGTTCTGTGAAAAGTCTGTCTGAGTCACCAGTCATAACGAAAGTAAAAGAAGGATGTCAGAGTGACTTGATTACACAAGAACAGAGCTCTAACACAAGTAACGATAAATCCGAAGACTCAATTCGGGAATATTCACAGAGTGATTCCTCAATTCTTGGAATCAGTGACCCTGATCATACAGCAAACAAACTTTATTCAAAAGATCAAATGTTAGAGGATGTCTCCATTCAGAGCACAGAGACACAATGTCAAAAACAAAATTCTATTCGAAATGACATGGATGAGGGTCTCTCTGACCCTGCCAGTGAAGGCCAGGAGCCCAGTAAGATTAAAACAAAAGGAACTGATTTTCTCATTGATGACTCTAAACTAGCCAGCACAGATGAAATTGGTACTTTGATCTATAAGAACAGAAAACCATTCATACAGGAAGATAATGACACCACTGTGTGTCCCTCCCAGAGCCCTGTGCTTCCATCAGTACCTAAAAGTAGTGATGATAGAGAGATCCCATCTCTGTCAAAAACAATAGACTTTGAAGGAAAACTGGGATGTGACTCTGAATATAATAGCACTTTGGAAAATAGTTCTGATACTATGTCTGTTCAGGACAGCAGTGAAGAAGATATGATTGTTCAAAATAGCAATGAAAGTATTTCTGAACAGTTAATAACTCAAGAACAAGGTAGTGAAGGCTTTGAACCACTGAAACGTGAATTTGTTTCAGATAATACTACTGGAAGCTGTGATGACAGGCTGCAGGGTAAGGTAAATGATGCAAATGGTAGAAAGCTAAGTCAAGATCAGAAATTAGAGGAGAGACCACTTAATAAATGTATTGATCAAAACAGTCTGAAAAGTGTCACTGATAAAAAGAATAATGAAAACCGAGAGTCTGAAAAGAAAGGACAGAAAGCAGGTACCTTTCAAATAAATGGAAAAGATAATAAACCTAAAGTATATTTGAAAGGTGAATGCTTGAGAGACATCTCTGAGAATAAAATAGGAAGTGGTGACGTTGAACCAAAGGTTAATAATATAAATAAAATTATTCCTGAAAATGATATCAAGCCTTTGACTGTTAAAGAATCTGCTGTAAAACCATTCATGAATGGTGATGTCATCATGGAAGATTTTAATGAAAAAAATAACTTGGAAACAAAATCACATTTACTGAGGTCTTCGGATGCTGAAGGTGACTACCATGATAGCCTGGAGACACTGCCATCAACCAAAGAGTCTGAGAGCGCCCAGGCCACCATGCCTCTGCCGTCTTGTCCAGAAGGCAGTTCATCCAATCAGGTAGAAGATATGGAAATTGACACCTCCAAAGTTAAGAAAGTTACTTCGTCCCCTATTACTTCTGGAGAGGAATCTAACCTCAGTAATGATTTTATTGATGAAAATGGCCTGTCCACCAACAAAGATGAAAATGTCAATGGAGAACCTAGAAGAAAAACAGTCATCACAGAAGTCACCACCACGACATCCACAGTGGCCACAGAATCAAAAACTGTAATTAAGGTGGCGAAGGGTGATAAGCAGACCGTGGTCTCTTCCACGGAAAACTGCGCCAAGTCGACCGTCATGACCACCACGACAACAGTGACCAAGCTCTCCACACCCTCTGCAGGCAGTGACGTGGACATCATCTCTGTGAAGGAGCAGAGCAGAACTGTGGTCACCACAACAGTGACCGACTCGCTGACCACCGCAGGAGGCACCCTGGTAACGTCTATGACCGTGAGCAAGGAATATTCCACCAGAGACAAAGTGAAACTCATGAAGTTTTCAAGACCCAAGAAGACTCGTTCAGGTACAGCTCTGCCATCATACAGAAAGTTTATCACCAAGAGCAGCAAGAAGAGCATATTTGTTTTGCCCAATGATGACCTAAAAAAATTGGCCAGAAAAGGAGGAATCCGAGAAGTCCCTTATTTTAATTACAATGCAAAACCTGCCTTGGATATATGGCCATATCCTTCTCCTAGACCAACCTTTGGTATCACTTGGAGGTATGTACTTTCAAATGCATTCGGGGGAGGGAGAAAGTCTCTGAAAAATTGTTTAATAAGAATATCTCATTTATGAGATAATAGAAACAAGACAGGGAAGTATATATTTAATGGGCATGTTAGTATTGGAAATAAGATACAGAGTTTTTAACTCGGCCAGCTGGTAGGTACTAAAGCTTGCTTAGGGAAAAAAATGTTTAAAGACTGCAAATGTAAGGGAATCTTTTAAAATGAAACTCAACTTCACTTTTTATAAAACACAAGAAATGTGTCAAACATAGTTGTTTTTGTGGTCTAACCTTCCAGGTTTTGCCATGTGTTTGCTTTGGGAATGAAATAATCACAGAATTAGATACTCATCAATGTTCTGGAATGTTTGTATTTTATTAAATATTTTTATTAGATAATTCATAAAAACAGAAGACATAGGAGACATCCCTATGACTCACACAGGTTCATCATAATGTAGAAATCTTCCTGAATGTAACTTACTTGCAATGTAAACATTTGTTTTGGAGTTCTGTGTTATTTTTGTGAGGAAAGGTAATCTGAGATTCCTTAAAGAGTTTCTTTAAACCCAGAAATAGTCTTAATTTAAAATTTTCTGGGCATTAAGCTTTGGGGATGAGTCATAAGTACATAGAGTTGGCAGTTGTAAAATCATGTAGTTTTAAATTGGGGAAGGATCTTAGAAATTTGGATCTTTTTTTCGACATGTAGTAACTAACTTGCCTCTCGCCACAGAGGGAGTTAGGCGCAGTGCCTAGTTTTCCTGAATCTCAGTCCAGTCCTTTATCTGCTGTGCCAGTTTCACATATCTGCCCCTTGCTTTGTCCTTTTCCATGGCCTTGTCTTTTTATCTCTTCATCTTTACATCTGAAAAGGATGGAACATGAACATAAAAAACAGGGAGTTCTATGGGACAGGCTCAGAAACCAGAAACGGTCTTATTTGAGTTCATTTTCGCCTAAGATCCCGAAGTTCATGACGTCAGCAAGCTCCTGAGCAGACTCCATTTCACTTTAGGCTTCATGTCTTTGTGTCTTTAATGTGGTTTCTTTAAGTTGAAATCATACTTTTTCAGTTTTCTTTATATTACAGTTAGCATAAAAAAAGACTAATAAAAAAAAAAAGACTAATGAATACTCTCTATGAAGGAATTAATATGACCAGTCATAGTTGGTTTGACCAAGTTTTTTTAATAACTCATCTTTTGATTTGAATTACATATCATCACTCCATTACACATTCAATAGAGACAGCTGAAAAGTACAATTTCTCTGCAGGGCCTGCAATGAAGGATTTGCAGAATCCTGCAGGGAATCAAGGAACTCTTCATTACAGTTCATGGATTTGTAGGATTATTCTGCACTTTTCTGCTTTCTTCATTGAGAGCGGTCCCCAAATGTATCCTTGACTGTCCTGCAGGTAACTTCTTTCCCACTGGAAAAGTTACTGTGTACAAATACTTTAATTAAAGTGGCCTGGCACTTGTGGAGGCCGACCTTTCTGATCTTTTATTCTGAAATGGAAGGTAGGCCTGACTGGGAAGCACTGTTCTCTGAACCAGTGCTGTTCCCATGTTGCCCAGGGCCCCTCTGCACGGCTGGGTGTCAGAAGCCTTGTACTGTTATGTTTTAATATGCACTGGGGGCACAGTTTGTATCTGTTTAGTTCATTTCTCATTTTTCAATGGACGGAAATACCTTCCTGTACATTTGAAACAGGTATTGCCTTCAGATATATGCTAATGTCTTAATTTGCTGAGGTTGAGAGAACCACAATCCCTTTTACCTAACAGAGGCATGGGTAAAAATGTAATTATTTTTGACTTCAGAATGCTTTTTTTAAAAAAATATATTGCTATAAAAACCATGCATGTGAAATGCATTTTTCTACTCACACTTGAATAAAAATATGTCTGATGCTTAGAGTAGGAGCTAAGAATGCCAAAGGCACGCATGTTTGGTCTTTATTAAATTTAATGTTAAGGCTGATCAATATTGAAAAAGTGAAACTTGTCTCATTGACTCATTAGGGCCTTTTTTTTCCCTCTACACTGTCCATTCCCATACATTCTTTTCCCTAGGCCCTGATTCTGTGCATCATGATCACTTTGAACCCACAGTGCTATTAGAAGGATCCTTCTAAAACACAAATCTATCCTGTGATTTTTCTGACTAAGCTGAGCAGGCAGGTGTGTTGGGACTTCCTGGTGGTTCAGTGGTTAAGACTCCCCATTTGCACTGCAGGGGACATGGGTTCCATACCTGGTCAGGGAACTAAGATCCCACATGCTGCACAGTGCGGCCAAAAAACTTAAAAAATCAAGAGGACATGTTAACTACCGCAGGGCTGGGAGGGGGAGAGTGTTTGTCACCTGTACTCCCCTTTACAACCTGTGCAGAACTATGTACATTTTAGAGATCTCCTTACAGATGATCTCTGATGTCCTTGAATTCTTCTGTTTGGTGTAGCACATTCTGGCTTCCGCCTTCCTCTCTGATGCCAGCTCCATCTCTTGCTACACCTCCACACCCCTTCCCTCCAGTCCTAGCACACCAGATGTGGTTTCTAGGAAGAAGTGTGAGCCCTCGTACACATTCCTCCTAAGCATGTGTGTGCCCCCTTGCCTTTGGTCAGCTGCCCCCACACCCTTGTCTTTGAGACTCCAGCAAAGCTCTCATCCCCATCCCTGATCCAGATCTGATAACCGCTTCATTGTGCTTTCCTCTGTTAACAGCTTCTGAGGATGTAGGAAGAGATTAAAATTCATGTGTCCCCAGCTCCTTTCACTTAGTTGAACACATAGATGACACTCAAGTGTTTTTTGGGTGTATAAATGAATGAACAGGCTCTAATGCATGGATGTGTTCCCCACCTGGTGGTGTTTCCATTGTAAAACCAGAGATACTTTCAAGTTGTTTGTTGAGAGTGAGCAGAGGAAGAAGAGAGAGAAGGAGAAAAACCTCCAAATAAATATTTGATTGCTCCCATGAGTCCAAGGTTCCCTAGGCATCTCTGTAGGGGGTGTGGTCTGAAAGCAGCACATGCCCCCTTGCCTGCCCTGCGCTGCTTAACATTTCCTCTAATTTAAGAACTGTCTGTACAAGTCAGAAGGTTCACACGCTGATAGTACAGGGAGGAGGATTATAGGTGGAGAGGGCAAGTTAAGAAGTGGCAGCAACTTTTTGGCTAGAGCTTTTTCTTTCTCACATTGTTCATTTTTCTGACTTAACATTAAGAATGGAAAGCACTGCTTTTCAAATACAAATTGTTTAAGATTTACCTGTACCTCCGTTAGAGGAGGAAATTAATTTCATTCCATAGTTCTTCTCTGCAGTACAATCAGTGTATTCATTTTGGTATGCGGAAATGTCAGTTAAAGACTTAATTACATAAAACCACTAATAGAGAATTGACAGCCTAGAGCTGCTTTAAAATATTCTGTCTTTAAGACATGATACTCATTGCAGTTGTAAATTCATTCTGGAATGCATTTTTAATACTGTCTTTAGAATAATATCTAATGTGTTCAATAACATTGTATATAGTGCTTAGGAGAAACCTAAACACAGAGATTCCTTTGTCTCCTGACTAGTAATAAATACAGTAACGTCCTTTTTTTAAATTATTCATTGTATCAAAGAATTCCAAAACTATATTAATGTTGCTAAAGTGATATTAGTTTTAGCAGTATTTATCATTCAGTAGTTCCATGTTTTGCAGAATCACCATTTGAATACAGAATTTCAGTCCATCTGGAAAGCTCTTGTTGGATTTATGAGGTCTTTTTGTTTTTGTTTTTGAGAAAATTAAACATTTTCAGATTTGTTTCAGCAAAAATCAGTCAAGATTTTATCCTTCAGATCACTTATCATACTATGACATTATTTCTTCATGTTTATTTTCTCTCATAATTTTTCTAACACATATTTTAGAATTAGGCTAAATTTATAAAATCTGTATAAATTATTGCCATATCAATCTCACAATGAAATATTCTTGTTTTACAAATTTATACAGCATTTGAGGTGACTGCAACCCCCTTTTAAATTGTTAGATGCATGTTATGCCTGGGAATAAAAAAGTTATTAAGGGACACATAATAACCAAAGCGCTTACAAAGCCATATTATAAATATTGAAGTCACAATGAGGACAAAAAGCAGTCCTTCAGTTTAACACAGTGTATGTATGTGTGTTTATATACATACATGGTTTTTCTGGGTTTTTCTTTCAGGTATAGGCTTCAGACTGTGAAGTCCTTAGCTGGAGTGAGTCTCATGTTACGGTTACTGTGGGCAAGTCTGAGATGGGATGACATGGCAGCTAAGGCTCCTCCGGGAGGAGGGACCACACGGACAGGTAAGGGTTTTTTTTTATTTTCTAATTTAAGTTTAAAAGAGAAAATCTCTTGATAGTTCATTGTAAGCGTATCTGTTATTTATTAAAAGATAGTGCTAGTATTTTTAAAATGTGCTCAGTTGCTCAGTCATGTCTAACTCTTTGCGACCCCATGGATGGTAGCCCACAAATCTCCCCTCTCCTTGGGATTTCCCAGGCAAGAATACTGGAGTGGGTTGCCATTTCCTTCTCCAGGGTATATTCCCAACCCAGGGGTCAAACCTGCATCTCCTGCATTGGCCAGCAGATTCTTTACCACTGAGCCACCTGGGAAGCCCATTTTAAGAACACAGCTTTGGTAAAGTTTGGCAGCATATGCTATAAAATCTTGGGGGTAGGGAAGGGGTTTGAATTATAAGATGAATCACTAATGTGTGAACCACTGCGAAGTTTTAGAAGTTATTTCTTACCGTACACTGGGACACCTGGATCTCTGTGCTTGCTGCTGCTTTCCTAGGGTTTTTATTATTTTGACTGAATTTTACCACCAGGAACTAAGCTGTCCCCAAACATCATTTTGCTCATTTTAGAAATTTTCAGTGAGGAGGACACTCAATATTGTTGCAGTCTGGTGATGGTGCTGCAGCTCTTCATTAACCAAATGTTTGCAGAGGTTCAGTCCATGTGTGTCTTTTTTAAAGCACCAGATGTTGTACTTTTTTATTCTTTGAATATTTTGGGTGGTTATTAATAACTGTGTGAATCAAATTTCCATAGAAACATCAGAAACTGAAATCACAACAACAGAAATAATTAAGAGGCGAGATGTTGGTCCTTATGGCATTCGATCTGAATATTGTATCAGGAAAATCATTTGCCCCATTGGAGTTCCAGAAGCACCAAAAGGTAAGGAGTAGAAAGAATTCTGTTATTATTCACCTGTTAGCCATATCTTTTATGAATTGAAATTTGGTTCTCATTACTTTTTAATAGTTCATTGTCCATAGGTTCTTGTGGGAGGCACCTTAAAATGCCTTTTTAACAAAAATGTATTGTTAGTTGGAGGATGATTGCTTTACAGTGTTGTGTTGGTTTCTGCCGTGTGTCAGCGTGAATCAGACATAGGTGTACACACATCCCCTCCCTCTGGACCCTCCCTCCCACTCCATCCCGCCCTCTAGGCTGTCACAGAGCATCAGGCTGAGCTCCCTGGGCCACACAGCAGCTTGCCGCGAGCTGCCTGTTTGACACATGATAGTGTAAATATTTCACTGCAGCTCTCTCAATGCATCCCACCCTCTCCCCCAACTGTGTCCATAATTCTGTTCTCTATGTCAGAGTCTCTGTTTCTGCCCTGGAGTGTTGCTTTAACTCTTCATTCAACTTTTGAAAGCAATACTTTTTCATCACAGACAGTTTCATCTTTAAAATGATACTTAAGTAATAAACATAGCAATATTGCCCTGGGCACTGTGATGCCCACAGTCAGCAGTGCCCAGCAGAGGAAGGGTACAAATACCTCTTCTAATTAAGATGTGGGGCAGTGGTTGACCCCAGACCATCAGCTCCAAGACTCAAGCCTTCCGAGTGTGTCTGGTTGTAGTCCTGGAGCCTGCTGCAGAATCTGACACAGAAGTGATCAGTGAAGATGTGTTGGCTCAAGGGTTCAGGCTCTTGTGTCATACGTAGGTACTCAGTGTAGATTAACCTAACAGGTGTAAAGAGTTAACTCAGGAAACAGACAGCTTTATGATAGGTACTAGGTGGCAAATATATAGAAGAATGGGATCCAGCCCTATTCTCAAGGAAGCAAAAGGTATGATAGTACTATATTGAAAATCAAAACTATTAATACTAAAAAGAGTGCAGTAAGGTGTCCAGATTCAAGATTAGACAAAAGTCAGTAATTTTATTTTATATGTGTAGTAAAATTGCTTAAGGAAAAATCTCTTAAGAAATGTGTAAAAAGAAAATGCTGTTTATAGATAGAAGCTTACTATTTTATAGAAGTTAATTGTCCCCAAATATATAAAGTTAATTTTTTGAATCTTGATTGAATTAACTCAAAAGCTCATCTTGGGGAATAAATAGGAATGACTTTTTTGAAAAGAGTACCACCAACGAGGAGGGTGCCTGTCCTAAAAGATGATGGAATACTAGTAGAATTAAAGCAAGGGCGTCCTGGAACACTGATAGGCAGAGGCACACAGATGGAAAAATATGTTCCTGACCAGTCTCAACCTCAGCCATTCATGCAAACCACTGCCAGTCTTTTGAAATCACTCTTCTTGTATCACTGCATACAACCCAGCTCCTGCTGCTGTTTCAGTTTCCTTCTGTTGCTTGCCTGTGATTCTGCTGCTTCTCTTTTTCCTGAACATATGGGACGGTTCAATGCTTGTCTGTCCTTACTTTTTATTTTTAAAATCTTATCATTGGAAATTATATCTATTCTTAATAGTTTCCAATCCCTTCTCTCCATTAGTAACTCTCCAGTCCCTCTTCTCGGTGCCATGATCGGGAAATACAGATTGCCAGGGCTGCACATGTCAGAGACCCCCCCCAGCCCACATGGGAGGACAACGCCGTGCTTCTTGAAGGAAGTTGGTGTCCATGTTGTGGTCTGAAGGATGGTTAAGCAGCAGTCAAATGAGGATGAAGGGAGCTAGGAATAGTGTGCAGGCAGAGGGAACAGGCTGGGTAAAGGCTCATAGGACTTTTATATCAGGGGCCAGCAAATGACAGCCCATAAACTTTGACCCACCATCTGCTTTTGTTAGTAAAGTTTGATTGGAACACAGCCGCACTTACTCACTTACATATATGTTGTTTTTGGCTCTTTTTATGATACAAAGGCAGTGTTGAGAAGTTGTAACAGAGACCATCTGGCCTGCATAGTCTAAAGTATTTACCATCTGGCCCTTTAAGAGAACTTTGCCAATCCCCGCTTTTCATGATATAAGAGAAGATGCCAGAAGTACTATAATTTTAGAAGCTATATTGCTTAGAATACTCTGGTTTCTTTTCCAAAGAAACACCTACACCTCAGAGGAAAGGCCTTCGATCAAGTGCGTTGCGGCCGAAGAGACCAGAAACGCCCAAGCAAACTGGCCCTGTTATTATCGAAACCTGGGTGGCAGAGGAAGAGCTGGAATTATGGGAGATCAGGGCATTTGCTGAAAGGTAAGGAAATGGCTTACATATGATCAGATATTGAAGATTTCTATCACTTCAGAATTCAAGAATTACTTCTTGAGTAGTTTATTCAGTATGTCCTAATTTTGATCCACATTTTGATTCTCTAGCTGTGTGTTGTTTATTAAAGGCCTCTTCCTGATATTTATGAGCTATCACCCACTTGTCAGTTGTGAATTACCTTGATTTATTGTTTTACTTTTAAATTGAAATAATTTTATACTTTTATGACATTTACCCAGATTTCACTTAGTATTAGATTCCAGATGCCTGATAGGATACAGGCTTACTCATTTTCTTGCACTTTGCAGATGACTGCTTTTTTTGTTGTTTTTTGGTTTTACATACTGAAGGTTTGTGGCCCCCCTACCTTGAGCAAGTCTGTTGGCACCATCTCTCCGACACCATTTGGTTACTCTGTGTCTCTATGTCACATTTTGGTAATTCTTAGAATATTTTGAAATTTTTTATTATCATATTTCTTATAATAATCTGTGATCAGTGATCTTTTTTTTTAATTGAAGGATAATTGCTTTACAACGTTGTGTTGGTTTTTGCCTACCACAGTACGAATCAGCCATAAGTATACATGTATCCATCCCCCATTTCCTGAACCTTACTCCGACCCCTGTCCCCACTCCCCATCAGTGATCTTGGATGTTACCACTGTACTCACCGAAGGCTCAGGTCATTATTAGCATTTTTTAACAACAAAGTATTTTTTAAATTAAAATATGTACATTTTTTAAAGACATAATGCTTTTGCACACTTAATAGGCTACAGTAATAGTGTAAATATCACTTATATGCACTGGGAAATCAAAAAAATTCATGTGACTCACTTTACTGCTATATTTGCTTTATTGCGGTAGTCTGGAACCAAACCCACAATGTCTCTGAGGTATGCCTGTAGTTTCTGACAAATTCCTCCTTTCTTTCCCTGCAGAGTGGAGAAAGAAAAGGCACAAGCAGTTGAGCAACAGGCTAAGGTTAGTGAACAGAAGAAGGCAGAGGACTTCAAGGCCCAAATGGAGGCTCACCTCAAACAGCAGCGATTGGCTGCCCAGCAGGTGGGGGAGTTGGTACTGTCCCACCTGGCAACGAATTGACATTTTTAGCCAAATTCATGCACGCTAAAAGCACAGTAATTATATGTTTATGTGGTTTTGTTTTTATGTGTATCTCACACATGTATCTTAATTTCAGTACTTGAAAGTAATTCTGTGGATATACCAAGCTGTGGTTTTGCAAAAAGTGTACATATTTGAAGAACACTGAAGTCTAAGCTCTTCTTTGTTATATTTCAATGAGTAGGTTCTTTTTTTTTTCCTGGCTGTGTCATGTCGTGTGACAGGTAGGATCTTAGTTTTCTGACCAGGGGTTGGACCCTCACCTCTTTGAGTGGAAGCAGAGTCTTTTTTTTTTAACTTTTTATTTTGTACTGGGGTATGCCCGATGACAGACACTTCTGTCGTAGTTTCAGGTGAACAGTGAAGGGGCTCAGCCGTACATAGACGCGTCTCCATTCTCCCCCAAACCCCTCTCCCATCCAGGCTGCCACATAACATTGTGGAAGCACAGGTCTTTAGCCACTGGACCATTAGGAAAGTCCTGACAAGGAGCTTCTAAGGATAATTTTTTCCTGCAAAATTGTGAGCTATAAAATCTCCGTAGCCTATGAAAAAGCAAATTGTGCCTGATAACTTAGGGACCTGCATAAAAGATAGTTACTGCTTCATATTGTTAAGAAGATACTATAAAAGCTTTTAGCCAAACTTGAATATATAAATTTTCAGGATATAGATAAAATAGATACCATGAGCTTGGTGACACAAAACTAAATTAAAAATTAAATATTAAATCAGATTCTTAATTTCCTCACATTTTACCTTGGCCCTCATATTTTATAAGACATTTTTCAGGTTCTTACATATCTTTTACAGTGGTTTACTATAGGTCATCTTTACTTAGTTCAAAGTTTGAGATAACAACACTTCGATTTTGTCATGTCTGTCCACTTATGGAAAGACTGGCTGGTTGTTTTGTTTTTCATTTTATGGATGTGTTTTATCATCTCCTAGATGCAACCTAAGGTTTTGCTTTGGTTGTGGGAGTCGGGGGTGGGCAGGGAGTCAATTTCTATAATTTGATAACGAACTTTTCTCTGGCAATTGAAAATCAGAACCTGAACTTGATTTATTACCCATTTCAGTCCCCCAGGAACATTGTTTTCTCTGTTTTTCCCATGTGTGTCAGTTTCTGAGGTGTTGGACATACATCCTGGATATAGCTTAATTGAACAGAGCAGGATATACTTAATTTATACATTACTTCAGAATCTTTATTCAGAATATTTCTTGAAACAGGTCAGTCTTCATTTTAATATACTTTTCAAATTTAGCAGTGAAGATGATCTTAACTTTTTTTTTCATGCAGAAATTAGGTACTAATGACAGCTAGAATTTAATGACAGACTTGCCTTTTTGAATATGTGTACAAACCCAGCAGATTCTTTGGACATATAAAATCTATGATTTCTTTTACCTTTGTAATTTTTTTATACAATTTTAAAGGTTATGCTTCATTTACAATTATTACGAAATATTGGCTGTATTTCCCGTAAGTCTACATTTCCAATATATAAAGTCCTAGACCCAGAAAATAGCTATGCGTTTAGGGGGATGTGTTTGGTCTCCTTTTTTTTAAAAAAAAAAAATAATAATTTAGTCAGATGAGATTTCTAGGAATCTAAAACTAAACTCCTTTTCTTCTTAGAAATGAGAATTTATATAAAATACCTCACTTTATTTTCAGGCATACAGGACATATACAAAAGTAACAGTAAAAAGATTGAGTGTGCTGTCTTTGCTGAGCCGTTTTCGAGGACAGGAAATACTTCAGCATTGAAATTTGATCTTCGTACACAACTCAGCTCCACCATGTACTAGCTTTGTGACCTTAGACTAGTTTTACAAACTGAGTCTCAGTTTCCTCATCTTTAAATCATAATTTAAAGATCCAAACATTAAATAGGATAATGAAGGTAAAGGGTCTCCCACCAGGTTTGTAGTCAACGCCATCTGTAGATTTTACATGTGTAAACGTAAGCCATCATGTCAGTAAGCTGTCAGGAAAAAAATCTATGGGAAAAGAAACATTGTCTTTGATAACCCTATAGTCTGAAAGATCAGATTATACCATTCTGTATAAAATAGGCTTAAGGATTTTTATGTAAAAATACTTGAACTGAAAAATATAAGTCTAGAAAAATTGTTTATAATTTTCAGCTTGCGTGATTGCAGGTTTGCCAACTTGAATAGTGATATTTAAATATTGATCTGTTCTTGGGGACTTCCCTACTGGCTCAGTGTTTAAAACTCCACTCTTCCACTGCAGGGGACTTGGGCTCAATCCCTGGTCAGGGAATTAAGATTCTGCGTGTCACATGGAAAAGCTCCCCCGCCCCCCCCCCCCAAAATTGACTCATTCTATATTATTGGATAAATGAGCATCATGATAAAACTGAATCCTTTTACAGGCCCATCATTTGCTGTCTATTCTAAACCCCACCACCGAGTCACACGATATCCTTGTGTCTAGTAAGATCACCCGTGTCTCTTGTGTTTTCAGTCTGAAAGCTTGGACCTTTACACGGACTGGAAAAACATGATCATTTCAAATTTTTGTTGTGAAAAGCTATTTTTAATAAAGTATATGTGATTTAGAGTCACAAAAGTATTGCCTTTATATGAGCACATTTTTAGAAGTAAAGTATTTTTAGAAGTTTGCAGTGCAGTTTCTTAGATAAGAAGGAATTGTGACTGGACTTCTTACAGAATGGTGTTTTTATTTGAAATGATTGTTGTTCATGATTTCTCTCCCTGACTTTTCTAGAAACGATTGGAACAGCAGAAGCCTACAGTGATTGCAGCTTCTACTACTTCCCCAACAAACAGTACAACTAGTACCATCTCTCCAGCACAGAAAGTCATGGTGGCCCCCATAAGTGGCTCGGTCACAACCGGAACTAAAATGGTACTAACTACTAAAGTTGGATCTCCTGCTACAGTAACATTCCAGCAGAACAAGAACTTTCATCAAACCTTTGCCACCTGGGTTAAGCAAGGCCAGTCAAATTCAGGTATGCACCTGTGATTAAATAAAAGATTGCTTTCATTCAAGAGAAAGAAATTTCAGTCCTTTACCTACTGAAATATACTGAAATGAAACTTTTCTTAAGAAAATTCTTTTTCTTCTGCAGCCGGTTGAGCAAACCAACTATAACAGTAGGTTTGTTACAGATAATGTTCCTAATATTACATTAGCAAAACTCCTCTCTTACATTATTTCACTTTCAACATTTACATGGTTCACTTACTTTGAGTGGAGTGCAATGTTTTTCTTAAAAATACCAAAATGAGCCACATTTCATGCATTGGTGCCTTCCTAGAAGTCACTGCGTTGCTGGTTATTTTAAATCTGAAGCTTATCGAATGTCTTATGCCCCATTAGCCACCAGCACAGCTGCCACATCTGCTACAACCATTGCCAGCACAGGTCAGACGTTCCAAATTACAGGCAATCCAGTCACTATGGCAGGAAAAGTAATTACCAAACTTCCACTTCCTGCAAACAGCAAGATTGTCGCTGTAAATGTGCCAGCAACACAAGGAGGTAAGGGAAATGTGGAGAGTTTTAATTCACATTTGCCAGATCATACTGTTGCCATTATTTTTCATTTCCTTTTCACTGATTTCAGTCTTCGGATCTCACATTTTATGTAGCCCACTAAAACCCCCCGCCACACCTAGTTTCTCCTCAGAAACCGAGCAATACCTGAGGTGTTATTAAAGAAGCAGTTATTAATGACTTCTTCGTCTTTTTTTTAAGGCGTTGTTCAAGTACAGCAGAAAGTCCTGGGTATCATTCCATCGAGTACAGGTACAAGTCAGCAAACCTTTACTTCATTCCAGCCCAGGACAGCAACAGTCACCATTAGGCCCAATACCTCAGGCTCTGGAGGAACCACAACCGCTTCCCAAGTAAGAGTCCTTTACAGGGTTATTTGATGTTAATAACCACATTGGTTGGAGTTTTTAGAATGGCCTCCTCCCGGATTAATCCAGCTCCTAATTGTTCTTTGCCCTTTACTTTCTCTGTGACAAAAGTATTGATTTTTTAAAAAATCTGTTAGTTATATTTCTAGTGAACTATTCATTTTTAACATTTTGTTAATAGCACATTAGTACACTTATGAATCATAAAGATTGCTTTTCCAGGATTTTACAAAAATGTTTCTTAATTGAAAACAGTGGGGAACACTGGATCATCCAGGAGAACATTCAGTACAACGAAGTAGAGTGAAAAATACTATCCACAACCCTGAAACTAGTCTATCAGCTGATACGCATACATATTAGATACATCATTTCTTTGACACTAGTATTATGAAAAAGGCTTAATGTTTTGCAGACTTGAGAATGTTTTAAACCTAACACTGAAAGTAATATGCTCCATAGTCTTTCTTTTAAAGTATGAAAGAGCTTTTGGCTTCCGATCTTGCTCTTGTGTTCTCTGGGTTACAGATAAGGATTAATGCTCAGGAAAAATAGGACTCCTCGTTTTCCTGTGAGCAACTGTGGTGGTTATAGAGCAAGCTTTCCTGGGTCTTGTTCTTTTCTTTTAGTCTGTAGGCTATTCTTGGTATCAGTGATGAGGAATGTTGTATGATCTGATTTGAATTCTATTTTCTCCCCTCAAAATTTTGTCTTTATTCTGATGCTTCATATAATTTAATATGTAACGTCCAAGAGTCTCTGTCATTTCTGTAGACATGTTTATCAATATAGAATGTTTAAAGATCTCTGTTCCTGAGTCCATCATGCTGTAGTCTTTTAAAAACATTTAATTCCTTGTCCTTTGTGTCATTTGTAGGTCATCACAGGGCCTCAGATCCGCCCTGGTATGACGGTGATTAGAACTCCACTCCAGCAGTCAACACTAGGAAAGGCAATTATTCGAACACCTGTGATGGTACAGCCAGGTATTCATCCACCCCAGCGTTATCATTTTACATCTAAATAGCCAGTGTAGGAAATCTATAATATTCTGTATTTGGCACTCCACATATTTCTAAATACCAATATGAATTAAGATTTCAAAGCATACTAAATTTCTGATTTATCATGGGATGTCCCCATCGATTTTATTTCATTTCTGGCATTGTCCATAAGAGAAAAGCAGATTCAAGTATACTTGTTTAAAATGTTCTTAAAACCTCTATTTAATGGGATATATAGATTGAAATCATTGGCGTAAAGAGAATGAGCAAAGAAATCAGTTTGTGTGGTAAAGGACAGATAAAATCAAAGAAATGGCTAAGAAGCATTTAAATGGAAAGCATGAGACAAAATTACAAAGGCAATCCCTGCCCTTTTTAATGTAAATGTTAAACCTCAAATATTAAAAGTTGAAGCCAATAAAGACTGAGTGGAAGAACTTTTATGAGAATGTACCTAAAAGCAGATTACCACAAGAGGTTTAAAAAAAAAAAAAGATGGTTAAGGATACATGAAATAAAGGACAAAAAAAAAAGAAGGGGGAGAGAGAAGACATCAATAATCCTATTAATACTGAACAAAGTCAAATTCAAAATTAAAAAAAAACAACAACTAGGACACAGAGGGTCATTTTATTTATTTTGGCTTAAAGCTAAAGATTGCAGTGAAGATGTAATGTTGTATCTTTAAATAAGATGTCATTGAAGTGTATAAAGCAAAAACTATTTGAAATCAAGGAAGGATTAGCAGAAGCATAATAGACCAGAACCAGACTATATCAATTTTGTAGCTTTAGGAATACACATTAGTTGCAGATATTTATGAGCTGTTCCTATGAAAATGGTCTTAAAATGAGCCATAGGTAAAACTTTGATGAATTTCAAAAAGTAGAATATGAATATGTATAGGCTACATGTTTTGTAGTGAATCTAGAAATTAATATTAAAGTATTATACTAATAACTTTTATTTGCTTGGAATTTAAAAACATATGTTTTCAAAAGTAACTTTTATGTTAAAGAATATAAAATGTGTCATCACAGATTATCAAATAGCAATTAAGCCAGGCTGCAAAGCTGAACTGAGAGGCAAATTCATTCATTCAACAAATATCTGAGCACCTACTCTAGGCAATTGAAACATGTTGGTGAACAAAACAGACTCAAAAACCCATATTAAATTTTAATCGGAAGTTAGAAAAATATACAAAACAAGTCTTAATGAAAATAGGAGGAAGTAAAATAAATACAAGTAATAATGATTATAAGGCAGAAAAGGCAAATATTAAACTCTTTCTTTTGCAAGTCTGATCTTGACAAAAGGAAACAAAATGCTAGTTTACTAAAAGTAGGAATGAGAAAGTGCCATAAAAATAGAATGAACTAAATCTTTTTGAATAACAAGCCATAATTATATACTATGTTTATAAATTCCTAGTCTTTTTAAAAAATTGTTTTGGCCTTACCACATGGTATGTGGGATCTTAGTCTCCTAACCAGGGATCGAACCCACGCCTTCCTGCGGTGGAAGCATTGGAAGCCACTGGACCACCAGGGAAGTCCCCTAAATTTCAAGTCTTAATGACTCATATCAAGGAAAGAGATTTGGGAAGTTGCCATACTATTACCTACAAAAAAGAATTCTAGACCTCATGGGTTTATAGATAAAATTCTCTGAAATGGTTGGAAAACAGTTTCTTTCTTATAAGAAATAGTTTCAGGGCATAAGGGCAGGGGGTGGGATTGATTTTTTTTTTTTCCCATTTGTTTTACAGATTTAGCATAATTCTAGTATAAAACATGTCTTGGTATTTTTTTGAAACGGCAATCCCCTAAGGCTTAAGCAAAATTTATCCCAGAGAAGAAAGTATGGTTCGTTATTTCAGTTAATACTACAATGACGGTTGATGAAATTTACTATCTGTGTTTAAAAATAGCTATCAGGCAGCTAACTTAAAGAGCAGATAAAACTCACGTAAAGAAGAAGAAAAGTTTATAGATGATAAGTGATAATAAACTTGCATATGTGAATATATATGACTATGTCTGGTGTGTTGTATGAAAAGCAAGGTGGCCAGTGGGGCTGGGGGTGCCCAGTGAAGATTCTTTGGAGTTGTGGTCAGAGAGATGGAGGGAGAGTGGATGTGTGCTGTGTGTGTGTGTGTGAGTATGTGCAGGTCAGCGTATCCCTGTGGTCAAGGAGATGGAGGGAGAGTGAATGTGTGCAGTGTGTGTGTGTGTGTGTGTCTCTGTCTCTGAGTGTGCTGGTCAGCGTATCCCTGTGGTCAAGGAGATGGAGGGAGAGTGAATGTGTGCAGTGTGTGTGTGTGTGTGTGTCTGAGTGTGCTGGTCAGCGTATCCCTGTGGTCAAGGAGATGGAGGGAGAGTGAATGTGTGCAGTGTGTGTCTGAGTGTGCTGGTCAGCGTATCCCTGTGGTCAAGGAGATGGAGGGAGAGTGAATGTGTGCAGTGTGTGTGTGTGTGTGTGTGTCTGAGTCTGAGTGTGCAGGTCAGCGTATCCCTGTGGTCAAGGAGATGGAGGGAGAGTGAATGTGTGCAGTGTGTGTGTGTGTGTCTGAGTGTGCAGGTCAGCGTATCCCTGTGGTCAAGGAGATGGAGGGAGAGTGGATGTGTGCTGTGTGTGTGTGTGTGTGAGTATGTGCAGGTCAGCGTATCCCTGTGGTCAAGGAGATGGAGGGAGAGTGAATGTGTGCAGTGTGTGTGTGTGTGTGTGTGTGTGTGTGTGTCTGTCTGTCTCTGAGTGTGCTGGTCAGCGTATCCCTGTGGTCAAGGAGATGGAGGGAGAGTGAATGTGTGCAGTGTGTGTATGTGTGTGTGGGTGTGTGTGTGTCTGAGTGTGCTGGTCAGCGTATCCCTGTGGTCAAGGAGATGGAGGGAGAGTGAATGTGTGCAGTGTGTGTGTGTGTGTGTGTGTGTGTGTGTGTGTCTGAGTGTGCAGGTCAGCGTATCCCTGTGGTCAAGGAGATGGAGGGAGAGTGGATGGGTGCTGTGTGTGTGTGTGTGTGTGTGTGTGTGTGTGTGTCTGAGTGTGTGCTGGTCAGCGTATCCCTGTGGTCAGGGAGATGGAGGGAGAGTGAATGTGTGCAGTGTGTGTGTGTGTGTGTGTGTCTGAGTGTGCAGGTCAGCGTATCCCTGTGGTCAAGGAGATGGAGGGAGAGTGGATGTGTGCTGTGTGTGTGTGTGTGTGTCTGAGTGTGTGCTGGTCAGCGTATCCCTGTGGTCAAGGAGATGGAGGGAGAGTGAATGTGTGCAGTGTGTGTGTATGGGTGTGTGTGTGTCTGAGTGTGCTGGTCAGCGTATCCCTGTGGTCAAGGAGATGGAGGGAGAGTGAATGTGTGCAGTGTGTGTGTATGTGTGTGTATGGGTGTGTGTGTGTCTGAGTGTGCTGGTCAGCGTATCCCTGTGGTCAAGGAGATGGAGGGAGAGTGAATGTGTGCAGTGTGTGTGTGTGTGTGTGTGTGTGTCTGAGTGTGCAGGTCAGAGTATCCCTGTGGTCAAGGAGATGGAGGGAGAGTGGATGTGTGCTGTGTGTGTGTGTGTGAGTATGTGCAGGTCAGCGTATCCCTGTGGTCAAGGAGATGGAGGGAGAGTGGATGTGTGCAGTGTGTGTGTGTGTGTGTGTGTGTGTGTCTGAGTGTGTGCTGATCAGCGTATCCCTATTCCTACCACCACACTCGTTAGCCTCGTTCTCAAAGTCAAACATTCCCAAGATGGAATAAAAAGCGTTTAAAAATTTTTGAATTTGCGTTTCAATGAGCTAAAAATAAATTTAACATGTACATATGGGGGATCATCTGAATTACATCATAAACCAGTCAGTACCAACCCTTTTATCCATCTGTGTTTATGATGACATTGTATCAGTACAAGATGATGAAGTACCTTTTCATGAACTTTTCCTTGAACTTCAGTACAAGAACATAGTGTTGGGGTCCAGAAGTTCTTAAATTCAGGCACTTGCCTACATATACTATACTATTTTTCGATTCATCTTAATGAATCAATGGATGACAATAACCAGGAAAAGTTTAGAAGAAAGAGAAAAGAAAGAAAACTTACCCTGCCAATTTTTAAAGCATATTTTTACAAGCCACCAGAATTCAAGAGCATGCTACCAAAGGAAGCTAGCCCAATTGAAGAAATGCAGGCACTGTGATGCTGTCATACTATTTCTGATTGCTGGAATATGTTACTTTAGTGACAGGGCTGGCAAAAGTTCAATGAAATGAGTACCCAGTGGTGGGGGGATTATGAATGAGTATAACCTTTCTAAAATTCAATTTAGTATTGTGTACATACTGTGAATACAGTATCTTTGGGAGGAGTTCATTCTAAGGAAATAATTAGAAGCACAAAAAACTTTATAAGCAGGGATTTCACCATGGTGTTATTCAAAAAAAGAAAAGGGGAAAGTGTTCTAAGGGTCAAATTAGATTTAATTTTATACATAATGCATAATATTAACCACCAATCATTAAAAAATATACACAGGAATAGATACGTAGACACAAAAGGACAAACAAGATGTGAACATAAAACTTCAGAAATATGATGTTATTTACTAATGAATAATGAATTCAGAGTTTGTAAGTATAAAACTAGCTACCAAATAATTACCATTTGATTTTTTTTTTCCAATTTTATCGGGTTAAATGAGAAACAGTTTTTAAAGATGATGATAGAGCCATTTCAATTAGACTTCATTCATTCTATAGATAAGTTATTGAACAGTAAATATGAAAGCATTAGTTAAGCACATTACTTTAATATTGAGGATATAGGGGTCCTTGCCCTCTTGGTTCTCCCGAACTGTTTGGCAGATAGCTGTAAGAAAAGCTCATTTATAAATATAATTGGCCCAGAATATTCCAGATTATATGTGTTTTGTTTAAAAATTACATTAGTTAATTATGTGTTATTATTTTTAATTTGTATTCCTAAGGAAAGACTGCCTAATGGCATTTTTTACATATTCTCTTCAATCTTCCGTATTATTACCATTTTGGCTTTAAAGTCACAGGAAGAACATTGTTTGTTTGTTTGTTTTTAACTCTTCTACAGACGGCAGGAGTGGGAGAGAGGTTGTCAGTGAGCTGAGTGAAAACAGACCCATTGACAAGCGGGTGGGCCCTGCAGGTGTGGGTATATGACTAAAGGCATCTGTCTGTCGGCATCCCATAAGTCTTTTTGAAAATTGAGAAAATACATTCTTGCGAAGTGTTGAAAGATAAATCTCAATTCAGAGTACCACTCAGGGCACAGAAGCACTCTAATGTTTTGCTGTTTACATAGGTGCTCCTCAGCAGGTGGTGACACAGATCATCAGAGGGCAGCCTGTTTCCACTGCAATCTCTGCCCCTAGTACTGTTTCCTCCACACCTGCACAGAAGGGGTTAACTTCAGGAACATCCACCCCGAGTCTGCAGCCTTCAACCTCACAGCCGCCTCGTCCCCAGCAAGGACAGGTGAAACTGACCATGGCTCAGCTCACTCAGTTAACACAGGGCCACGTAAGTAGTGTGACTTCCCTTTTAGCTTTAGAAACATCTGCTGTAAGTTTTAAAACATGTGCTTATTTTCGGAGGTTTAAAAATGTACTTGTTTTAAGAAATGGCTGCTTCCTGGAGTCAAAGAAAAGTACTTTTTTAAAAAAAATTTATTTATTTATTTTACTCTACGACATTGTATTGGTTTTGCCATACATTGACTTGAATCTGCCATGGGTGTACATGTGTTCCCCATCCTGGACCCCCCTCCCACCTCCCTCCCAGAAAAGTACTTTTTAAAGGCAGAATGTGATACCACTCAACTGTCCAGAGTCCTGAGATTCTGTGCTATAATAGCAAGGTATTTTATTAGTTAACTAATTTGCTTTGGAAAAATAAAATTTGAGTACATTATGCTGTTTCCTGCAACACCCAGTGTTACTATCAGTTCTATCAGTTCTTCAATAGTAATCCATAGAGTGAGTGTGGTTGCCATCAAAATCCTGAGAGAGATGTTTTAAAGCTTGACAAGCTGATTTTTAAAAAATTTATATGGAAGTTCAAAAGATCCAGAGTAATACTTTTGAAGAAAAGGAAGATTTGCACTGTGTAGTAACCTGATCAGAGAAGGCAATGGCACCCCACTCCAGTATTCTTGCTTGGAAAATCCCGTGGACGGAGGAGCCTGGTAGGCTGCAGTCCGTGAGGTTGCTAAGAGTCGGACACAACTGAGCGACTTCACTTTCCCTTTTCACTTTCATGCATTGGAGAAGGAAATGGCAACCCCCTCCAGTGTTCTTGCCTGGAGAATCCCAGGGACGGGGGAGCCTGGTGGGCTGCCGTCTGTGGGGTCACACAGAGTCGGACATGACTGAAGTGACTTAGCAGCAGCAGCAGTAACCTGATATCAAGACTTTAAATTATAGTCCTTCACTAATTAATACAGTAAGGTTCAAACACAAGGATAGGTAGACCAGTCGGTACAGAACAGTAAAAGAGGACCCATATGTATATGTGGACACTTGATATATGACCTGGATGGCAGTGTGAATCATTAAAAGGACAGACTTTTCAATAAAGGGTCCTGGCACAATTGAATATATATGGGAAGCCATGAACTTGAACCACAACCTCAACTCATAAGCTCAGCTCCAGGAAGACTAAAGTCCTGGCTGTGAAAGATAAGACTGTAGTACTTGTCAGAAGGTAGGAAAGGCTTTCTTAAAGACAGAAAATACTCACCATAAAGGAAAAGATTTATAAATTAAACAAAATCAGAAATAAGAACTTTAGTCCATCAAACATAAAAGAGTGAAAAGAGTGAGGGGAAGGTATACATATAGCCAGCCAAGGATTGTTCTCCAGAAATGAAGAGTTATTACTACAGGTTAAGACGGAAAAAATCCAGATAACTTGGTAGAAAACAAGAATAGACACCCTTGATGAGAATAGAGGAACTCTTAAATGTCCACAAATCGAAAAAACTGCTGAACTTTGTTAGTAATGAGGGAAATGTGTATTAAAACTATATATGAAGAGATTGGTATAAAGTAAAATGTCAGACAAAATCAAGAAATAGCAAAAACATGGAGTAGAATGAGCTCTGATACACAACTGATAATAATGTAAATTGGTTTGGCCACCTTGGAAAACTCAGTACATTCTAGCAAAGTTGAAGACACAGCATGCCCCAGGTCACAGTAGTTGCCCTCCTAGGTATGTTCTCTCGAAAAGTTCTTGTTCATCTGAGCGCCAGAATAATGGACATGAATATATACAGCAGCCATCAATTAGATCAGTAAAGTGAAGATGCCTTCCTACAACAACTGAAATGAACTACCACAATGTAGAACTACACTGTTGAGCTAAATAAAGAAGCAAGTAACAAGCAGACATACATTATGATCTACTTGCCTAAGATTCAGAAACAGGCAAAACTAGCCACATTGTGTAGAGTTAGGGGGCTGCTGCATTGCCTTCCTGGAGGGGGCACCAAAGGGCGAGCTTCATATTCTTTGTAAATGGTACTCCTGAAGTCATGAGCCTGTGGCCCCATAGAGATCTGTATACACCTCAGTGGTCACAACACGATGAAATGCAGGTACTGTATCCATGAAATTAGTGCTTCCCTCTAGGGCAAAAGGAAGAAGATTAAGATCAGAGCAGGTCACGTGCAGAGCTTCTTGGATACTGGCAATGATGACCTGAATGCTGGGTTTATAGATCTTCACTTCATAATTATTCTTTATACTTTGTGTTTTATGTAGTTTTGACTGTGCACACAAAAAGGATTTTAGAAAAGTAAAAGTAAGGGGCTCATGAGTAAAAGTGCATGGAGCTGAATAAGTGAACTTTGTAGTATGAGTTTTGACTGTTGGAGATTTGGGATGGATTGGTTTTACGCTTGCTTTCTAATTCTCCCTCATGCTCCTGGTGGTTGAGGATTAATAAGTCCTGGACAGAAGTGGTAGTACATACGGAGCTTTTAGATCCTGGTCCCCATTTTGGTGACAACTCAGACATTAGTGACCTTCCTCATGTGGTGTTTGCATTCCATGTGTAGAACCTAAGCTTTCTATGCTTCAGCATACGCACATTCCATAGATTGTTTGGTACAAAGTGAAAAAACTGAAACTAGGACACCTGGGCTGCTCACTGTGTCTCACCTGGGACTTGCTCTCTAATTGTAGGCAAGGGACTTGAACTTTCTAACTTGAGTTTCCTAATTGGTAGGAAGAGTGTAGTAATATTTTCTCTCCCTACTCCACAAAGTTACAACTCTTATTGTGAGAATCAAATGAGGCATGTCTAAAGTATGTATGAAGATGCTTTGAAAGTTACAAAAGAATATGAATATAAATAAGGTGATTGAAACTCAGAATTTTGTGGAGACCTTAGTTAGTCATTTCAGTGCTCTTATTTCTAACTGGGAGATTTAGATCCAGATAAGTGGTGTTACACATTGATGGATTCCTTGGCTGTCCATGTGCAGAACTCGGACTGGAACTCTGGACTGTTAATTCATGTTTTTTCCCACTAATCATCAGTCTTTTAAAATAAATACTGTTCTTTTAGCTTATCTGTATTTATCTTGGTACTGTTCTATAGACATTCAAATACATAGTTTCATTATTTTAAAGGATCTTTTCAATATAAAAACAGTATACTTACAGATTGATGCTTTTTGTATACTCTTTACATGTTAGGTGTTTTTTTCTGTAGGGTGGCAATCAAGGTTTGACAGTAGTCATTCAAGGACAAGGTCAGACTACTGGGCAGTTGCAGTTGATACCTCAAGGGGTGACTATACTTCCGGGCCCAGGACAGCAGCTGATGCAGGCTGCAATGCCAAATGGTACCGTTCAGCGATTTCTCTTCACCCCGTTGGCAACCACAGCCGCCGCCACCAGCAGCACCACCACCACGGTCTCCACCACAGCAGCAGGTAGAACCTGGGAGTCGTCAGAAGTGCTGCTCGTTGGTGTCACAAGTTGCTGGGTGACAGAGGAGGCAGGACTGGGGCACACCTTGGGAGGATGTGCCCCAAGCCGACGAGCGTCCACAGCTGACTGGTCAGCCTCACAAGAGCTCGACCAGGTCTCTTGCTCAGACAGACTCCCTGTCACCACCCCTCCACCCCTTTAAGAATTAAGGAAGGAAAGCAGGGGATGGTGCACAAAAGTAAAGTTCCATGGTGACTGTGCCCCTCTTACTCTGTACCAAACCTGTAGGTGCTGATTGAATCACGGACTTGCTCGCAGGGCAGATGGGTCTCTCCAGCTCATAAGCTAGGGCTGAGAGCTCCAAAACCTGAGAGCTTCCCCTGCAAGCTACTGTCTTTCAGGGACCCCATGCCATAGGAGAGGGACATGGGTTGCTTAGCCTGGGCCACAAGACCGGACTGATGTCCAGAGACTGCGCTTTACTTTTGGAAGCCAGCCCTCTGGAGACTTAGCAAAATGTGTGGAGGGCAGCCGTGAACATGGCCAGGGTTCCTCGATTTAGGCGAGTCCTGACCAAAGTATTTCTAGATGGAGCATTTCCCAAGCTTCAATCTTCCGTCCTGACATGCAGAATTTTCACCTTTAGAAAATCCCCTTCAAAAAACAAAAAAAGAAAAGAAAATCCCCTTCAAATTCTTCTTAAACCACAGTCTTATGTTCTGGAGTCATAAATATTTGCTCTTGCTTTTTCACAGGTACAAGTGAACAAAGACAGAGTAAATTATCGTCCCCGACACAGGTGCAGCCAGCCAAAAGCCTGCCTCCAGCTCCGTCGAGCGTGAGTCCTCCAGAAGTCCAGCCTCAGCCTGCGCAGCCCGCTCAGCCTCCAGCTCAGCCTTCAGCTCAGCCCCAGCCCCAAACCCAGCCCCCAGCCCCAGCTCAGCCTGAAACTCAGACTCAGCCTGAAGTTCAGACCCAAACAACTGTGGCCTCCCATGTCCCTCCTGAAGCACAGCCCACCCAAGCACAGTCCTCCAAACCCCAGGTTGCAGGACAGTGTCCGCCTCAGAGTAATGTCCAAGGACAGTCTCCTGTTCGCGTCCAGAGCCCACCACAGACTCGAGTACGTCCATCGACGCCATCCCAAGTGTCTCCCGGACAGCAGGCCCAGGGTCAGACTACAGCTTCCCAACCGATTCCAATCCAGCCACATACATCTCTTCCGACACCTTCCCAGGGCCAGCCACAGTCACAACCCCAGGTACAGTCTTCAACTCAAACTCTTTCACCAGGACAAGCGTTAAGTCAAGTTACTGTTTCATCCCCGCCCCGTCCTCCGCTCCAAGTACCGCAGCCTCAGCCCCAAGTCCTGGCTGTGCCGCAGCTGCCACCACAAGTCCAGGTTCTCTCCCAGATCCAGTCACAGGTTGTGGCTCAGATACAGGCTCAGCAAGGTGGTGTGCCCCAGCAGATCAAACTCCAGTTACCTGTTCAGATTCAGCAAAGCAGCCCTGTGCAGACTCACCACATTCAGAATGTGGTTACAGTGCAGGCAGCCAGTGTGCAAGAGCAGTTGCAGAGGGTTCAGCAACTCAGGGATCAGCAGCAAAAGAAGAAGCAGCAACAGATAGAAATTAAGCGGGAACACACCCTCCAAGCTTCTAATCAAAGTGAAATCATTCAGAAACAGGTAAAGTTATTAAGTAAAAGCAGCATGTTCAGTAGCTTGAATGATTGTGCTGTGCATTAGACGTAGTGTTTGGTTGTGTTAGCTTTCCGTAAACGAGACACAGAAGTCATTGTCGCTTCAAGTTAGAAGCAGCACTGCATTGACCAGAACGTATCACATGATTTATGGTTTGGAACTCTGTTGTGTATAAACAGCCAGTACTTACCGGTGAAAACTACCCGTATTTTGGGAGAACTAAGATGGAAAGAATGGACATAGGAAGTTTAAGTATCTTTGAAACTTGAAGGTTTGACTAAGTTTTGAAGCCACTTGAGGCATTGTGGCAATTTGTTTGAAGGTATTTGTAATTGTCCTTCCTTAGTTTGTGTGTGGACAAGGAAATGGCAACCCACTCCAGTGTTCTTGCCTGGAGAATCCCAGGGACGGCGGAGCCTGGTGGGCTGCCGTCTGTGGGGTCGCACAGAGTCGGACACAACTGAAGTGACTTAGCAGCAGCAGCAGCAGCAGCAGCAGTTTGTGTGTAGACTAAGCAAATTTTACAGACACATTAAACTCATTTGTATTTCCAAGTCATAGCTTTGTTTTAAAAAAAGAAGTTTTAAGTACCATTACTCCATAGCAGAAATAAAAAGCAACCTTGTACAGTAGCCTCGTAGTGAAGTAAGGCAATTTAGATGAATTAGAGTTATTCTACTTGAAATAAAGTTGCATGTATAATAAATAATATCCTACACTACTGGAGAAGGCTTTCTTTGCATCTGCAGCTTGCAGTACTCCGCACTTGTCAGGAGTTTGTGTGGATTTCAAGTGTTCCCATGTCATGAGAACCCAGTTCCTGGGTCTCCCATTTTCAGTCCATGAAGCTCACTCACCTTCCCTGAGCTTTATCCTCCTTAAAACTCTCTTTCCAGCCACGCAGGGCTATTGTAATGATTAAACTAGGTCATGTATATGGAAGCACTTTTCTTTCTATTAAAATATATTTGACATGTGGCATTGTATAAATTTAAGGTGTATGACTTATTTGATACATTTGTATCTTACGATTGCCATCATGGCAATAATTAACTCCTCTGTCATGTCACATAATTTTATTTCTTTTTGGTGATTGGAATAATTTAAGATCTAGTCTCAGCAACTTTGATGATTGTGATACTGCTGTTAGAAGCGCTCGTTAAGCAGCAGAGGGATTTTGAAGATGATGGGAATAATGTTATAAAACGAATGTCATCTGCAGTATTTTAAAATGTATTATTTTCCAGCTTTCAGTACTATATGGTCCATGAACTAAGAATTATTATAATGTCTGTCTTTGCCCTTACTTCTGTATAAGGTGGGGATGGGCTGGAATGGGGTGATCTTAAATGCCTGGGAAGGAGAACATAACATTCAAAATGTGATCATTGGAGGATGATAGCTGGGTTAAAATTACAACTGTATTAATTCTTTACTCTCAGACAGCTTAGTAAATTCTTTGTATCTCAGTATCTCATTTATAAAAACGTCCCTGCCATTCAGCATTGTCACAGTGAATGAACGAGGTAATGTCGGGTGCTCCACTTGGTGCGGTGCTCAGTCCGCGGTAAGCACCTGGGGCGTACTGTAGCTCTGAGTTTATTTGTACTATGATACAAAATTCTTAGTTTCTTTGGGAAACACATACACACGTTCAGATTTCTACTGTTGTTACCCCTGTGCTAACTTGTAGTCATTATAAAATACACATTTTTGGATTTTATTCTGTCCTGAAGGTGGTGATGAAGCATAATGCTGTAATAGAACATTTAAAACAGAAAAAGACCATGACTCCAGCTGAAAGAGAAGAGAATCAAAGGTAGGGAGAAATGTTTATAACACATTACACAGGCTCTCACTGTACATCAGTCTCTTCTCTTAAAGTGTGCGCGTGAACGAACACACACACACACACACACACACATACACACATGCACGGGAGTTTTGAGTTTGTGTTTTATCCTGATTGGAGTTTATTAAATCAGAACACTCAGTACTAATAGATGCTTGTGACTGGTTTGAAGCACTCTTTGAAGCTCTCCAGTTCCAGAAAGTTTGTTTATAGAGACATAGAAAAATTATGTCTTAAGCTTTTCAGAATAAAATGCCCAGCATTACATAGGTTGTGTATTTCTCTCTAGAATGATTGTCTGTAACCAGGTGATGAAGTATATTTTGGATAAGATAGATAAAGAAGAAAAACAGGCAGCAAAAAAACGGAAGCGAGAAGAGAGTGTGGAACAGAAACGTAGCAAACAGAATGCCAGCAAGCTCTCTGCACTGCTCTTCAAGCACAAAGAGCACCTCAAAGCTGAAATACTGAAAAAGAGAGCGCTGCTAGACAAAGATCTACAAATTGAAGTGCAGGTGAGAAAGTGTTTTCTGTCCTCCTGGGTCCAGTGTTCAGCATCGGAGTTTACTCTTTTTTTCCCCCTTTGAAATTGTGATTAAACTTAAAATCTGAGTTTGTTTTCTAGAATTTACATTTTTGTTCCTAGAATAAGTAGTAAGCAGTGGAACATATGTCTTTTAAAATAAGATCCATGTTTATGTATACATGTATATTCTAATCTCTAAACTAGCCACTTGGAGAGGTTTAGACTTTTGATTAAAACATTTGAGGATCCTCTTGGCTGTAGTTCTTATTGTCTGCAACATAGTCTTGCCAAAAGTTGCCAAGTTTCATGAGAAGAGTAGACAGAGAAACTGTGAAATAATGTTAAAGAAAATATTAAGTGGAAATAAGGCCAGATTTCTTCTTGTAACTGATCCTGCAGGCATGGCTAATCCTCTGTATACTTGGAGAATTTGGTGAAAAATGAAAGAAGACATTACCCATATATATTTAAACAGTTTTTTAAACGAGAAGTAGGCTATCTAAAGCATCTCTAAAAATGTCTTGTACATTTTAAAAGTAAGAAACATTAAACACTGGTCGTCCTACTAATGAGCATTGCACATAACTCTGAGACATTAGAGATCTTTGCACTGAAGTCAGAAACTGGCAGTAATTCCCAGAATCACCATCATTACTCAGCATCTCTGGAAATTCTACCTAACATGTTAAGCAAAAAAAACCCCAAAAAAGCAAAACAGAAGATAAAATTTGTTATTGTGTATGGTATGATTATATTGAAACCCCAAAGAAAAATTACTAAACTTTAGGAGCGAGTTCAGTAAGGTAGTCACTACTAGATGAATATTGAGGTGTCACAACCATTGTCAAAGGAAACAAAAATAAAAGAGCCAATAATCTGTGGTGATCCCCCCCAAAGATTATCATTTTAAAATAACTTTAGGATATATCTTACATATATTATTTTTAATATATGTATTTACATAAAACACATTTTAATCAGAATCACACTGTAAACAGCATGTACTGAACATTTTTCTGCATTCTCCATACTACGCTGCCATTTAAAGATGCTGTTACTACTGCAGATACTCTAGTACAGTTACGATGTTGTTTCTGACAGTGTATTGCTTGTCTAATGAGGGAGAAAAATTGTACTTAAAATATTCAGCATTATTTTAACTAATAGAATTTATTGCTAGGATGATTGCCGTTGAAGAACAACTTTCAAATTGATGTGTACTAGTATATTTTAAAGATTATTTTTAGTTATAAAGCTGTTATTCTTATTGTCAAGATAGGCAGTTGGTCCTTTATATCTACCTGTTCTTATGTCATTTATGATTGCCTTCTTTGAACAAAATAGACTTCATTTTTAAGAACGGTTTTAAATTTACATAAAAACTATGCAGAAAGCAGAGACTTCTCATATATTAGTGCTGTCATAGGAATGTTCTTGAAGGGGTGATCAAAGTGTGTACCCTTTATACTGTCTAGACAATCTTAATTTTCCTAAACTCCATCTCTTTATGTTATAAACACATCATGTTATTTAGGAAAATGAAACTCTTTAATCATCATTTCTAAGAAGTTGTAGCACTTAGTACCACAGGTGTGCCTATAAAATATTTCACATGGGAAAAAGTGGAGATTGTAATTTATGCAAAATTTCATTTGAGAAAATAGCTCTCCTTCAAGTCTTAAATTATAGACATAGAAGCACAGTAAATAAGGGGCATCTGTCTCATACTCTGCTGGTCAGGCCACGTCTGGAGGGTCACATCCCGTTCATGTCCAGTATGTCCAGTCTCACTCTAAGGGACAGAAGGAGACCAGCTGAAAGAAAGCAGCCAGCGAGTATGGACACTTGAAACCACGTCCTGAGCGACGACTGCAGGGACCAGGGCAGGACCCTGGCGTGTCAGAGGGGCCGTTCTTTTTATACACGTGCTCATCTTTCTGTCAGACCTCCTTGGAAGATAACTCCTTTCTAGTTGCTGTATAATCATCATTTTCTGTATCTAGCTGTCTGTTGGGTTTAAGGTAAAGTAAGAGCCCTCTTTTATGGAGTTAGCAAGACGCCCTCGCCTTAGACTGAACTAGGGGACTCCTTGGACAAGGGAGGGAAAGTAAGGTCCTCTGGCCAGGACGTTATGTAAATGGGTTGATGGTCTGGTATTTTCTTTAATTGACAACAGGAAGAGCTCAAGAGGGACCTGAAAATTAAGAAGGAAAAAGACATGGTGCAGGCCGCAGCAGTAACTGCCACCTGCCCCGCAGCCCCACCTGCACCTCCGGCCCCTCCGCCTTCGCCTCCGCCTCCGCCTCCCCCCCAGCACCCGGGCCCCCTGGCCACGGCCACGACCACGCTGCCCGTGGCTTCCCAGAAAAGGAAGCGGGAAGAGGAGAGAGACTCCAAGTCCAAGAAGAAGAAAATGATCTCTACTACCTCAAAGGAAACTAAGAAGGACACAAAGCTTTATTGTATCTGTAAAACGCCTTACGATGAATCTAAGTGAGTAGATCTTTTTGAGCTCTAGTTTATTCTCTTAAAAGTGTAGCTAAGTTTCCAGTTTTGAAGAAAATGAGGCTATCAGTAGCAGTGTAAATGAAAATAGTTAAACATAAGGGTAATGATATTTCATTTGTGGTCTTGCATCTGAAATTCTTAACCTTAACACTAGAATAAAAATTCGTTGTTGTTTTTTTTCCCACGTGTTCATGATTCATGTTTGTCCTTCATCATATTCTTTTCTGTCAAAAATAAGCTTTCTGTTGCTCCTTTGCTGTTTCCTTTTCTCTCTGGAGCAATTCCAGATCAATCAGTAATGCTCTCTCTGAAGAAAGAGGTGTGTTACTGTCACCACCCAAAGTTGACATCATCCTGTCTGGAATCTTCAGAACCCCATGATTACATCCAACCCTAGAGACAATCTAGACTCAACTGGTGGAAAGGGCTTTGAGTTGGAGTGGTCTGGGATTTTTATCATTTAATTTCAAGTAATTCTATCTTTTTGCATTACAATACTGTGATCTTTTTGTCCAAGTTCCCACTTTCTGACTGGGGACAAAGTCAGAAAAATACAAAAAGGAGTTCTTTCATTCCTTAAGTACGACACTCAAAAATTTGATAAGCATGGCAACTGGAAGCTGTTTTTGATAGTTGTTACTTGTATTTGGTTATATACACAAGATTTTAGAGACATTAATCCATAAATGTAGTTACACTTTTTTTTCTATCATTTTTATCACTCAACTAGGTATTTAGCTTCCATTTTCAACATTCAGATGCAGGCCAACTTTTTAAAACCAAAATTGACAGCAGTATTAATTTTACAGTGCCCAAAAGTTTGATTATGCTAAAAAGTGTGATCATTTAGAATTAGGAATGCTTAATGTCTCCTGTAAGTAGATGCCTAATCCATTTATAAAATAAAATTGTCTCTTTAATGATATTTAAGTTGTAACAGTGGAACTACTTTAGTGATGCTGTTTAAATTATAATGTTTGGAAGTGCTAAATCAAAACTTTTTGTTGGTAGATTTAGCTGTGTGTTGAATTAAACGCAGATCAGTATAGGCATCTTCACTTTTCATTGTCTTACTTTATGAGAAATTAGATGTGATATAAAAAGTAGAACCCTATTAACTGGTTTTCCCCATGGTTCAATACACGTGTGCCTTCCTTTAGGCAAATTATACTAAATGATTTATAGAACAAAACAACATGATTTACTTTCTTTACAAAAATCTCTGCTTATGGATTTTCCTTAAATAACAAGACACTTTGGCCTATTTAAAATATTCACATCACAGAAATTCATTTCACGCACAACTTTTAAATTGCATAAAATACGGCACACATGTACATATGTTCATTGTATTAAGATTATTATTTTGTGGATATTTCATATTCTTTACTTTTTTTCATTATTAACATTTCAGTATACCAAGTTCGTTCATTCCCTGTTCTAGTTGGGAAGTTTTTTAAGGAGTATTCTGTGATCTCTTATACCAAACTAGGCTGGTTTGGGAATCTAGTGAGAAAGACTAAAACCTGAAACTCAAGTCCTGAGCTTACTTCCAGAACACACAGTACACAACCTGGAGAAGGCAGCATACAGGAACACCCCAGGGCCTCCACCTGAGGCAGTGACGATCATGTGAGGGTTGTAATTCACACAGAAAGTTGGTAATAGGATACACCACACAACTGTCTTTTACTCCTTGATGTTCGAAAGCAGGTTAGTTGGAAGCTTGAGGACTATTTCGATTCCTCTAGGTGAATCTGCCAAGAAACACATTGGGTAGAACCAGTGGTATCAGCAAGGCCGTTCTCATTCCCTGCAGTTCACACTCATCCTTGCCGTGACTCTGACCAGGCATTCCTCCAGAGCACCCGTCAGCACTGAAGATACACTATGTGTTTGTCATAGAGATAGTCTTCACTATGCTATCTGGGATCTTACACGACAAACACCTTGAGGTTGAATAACTGTGGTTAACTACAGTGACACATTCATATGGCCCCATCTTGTAGACCCTCTTGTTTTTAGATTAACTTGGTTTTAAGTTAACAGTCCTTAATCACTCTCCACACAGTGTATCCCTGGTTTGGAACTGAAGTAGTTTCTCACCAGCTAGTTAACCTGGCCGCTGTCCACATTGTCACACACATTCTACTAACTGAAAAACTGGCCCATGTCATAATCTATTACAGTTAAATTCCAATATATATTTAGAAAACTTGGTAGAATTCCTACATGTACCTTTTTAAATTTTCTTCTCCATGTCACATTTTGACCATTTTATCTTCTGCCCCTGGCTGACCTCCTGCATGTTCCTTGTAGTGTAACTTCTACTTGGTGTTTGCGCTTTGCTTTGTTTTCAAATTTAAATCGTGAGATACATTTTCAAACCTATCTAAGAAATAGCCCTGACTTTGAAATGGCTTCTGTGGCATAGGTTTGACAGATGTAAGTCTTTGATTCTTTGGCTTTGGTTTTTGTGCCTGTGACAGTTTTACACACATTCATTAAGAGGGAGACATTACCATCGGTGTGTTGTTTATTTTTTCAAATCCCAGTGTGTTTTTTTTTAAAGACCCGCATTTCACTCAACAGTATATTTGTTGAAATGGATGTGAGCGACTTTTATGTTTCCACACTTGATACAGCGTCAAATGCCGCAGTTTGTCAGGGTTAGAATGGCTGGATTCAGGATGTTTAGCTGACTCATTGCAGAAAGTTACCCTGTAAGAAAGTGAATCAGGACAGGGAAGACAGATTTACGTACCATGCAGCTCAAAATGACAACTACATTGTCATTTTCATTGTGAATGCTTTTAGGTTCTATATTGGCTGTGATCTTTGTACTAACTGGTATCATGGAGAATGTGTTGGCATCACAGAAAAGGAGGCTAAGAAAATGGATGTGTACATCTGTAATGATTGTAAACGGGCACAAGAGGGCAACAGTGAGGAATTGTACTGTATCTGCAGAACACCTTATGATGAGTCACAGTGAGTTCTGATAAGAGCATCATATTTAATAATTTAGGAAGCCAAATTGCTCTGACTGGTTACTTATTTTATTTTAAAATAAAAAGCAAGATACTTTTCTGCATATATGATACACTTACATTACAAATTCCTTTCCAATTTTTTTTTTTCTCTTCTTCCTCTTTACCTCCCCTTCAAACTTTATGCTGCTTCATAGTGAATGTTTGAGATGCATTGGGGAATATGTGGTTTAATGGTAGACTTGATTCTTCAATATGTAATGCAGAAATTAATGAGATTAAAATAGCCTGACTTGTTTGGACTTTTATCAGTGTTTTGAAATGGTGCTTTATTGCAGGTTAGTAAAACACTAATTCGGGTATAAGCTCTGAGACTCTGTTATTAGCTTTTAGGATTTTGAACTCCCAGTTGGGTGGCCAGTACCAGCTTCCCATTTGATACGGTATTAGTTGAAAGATTTTTGTCTTTATTTTGTTTTGAGCTTTAAAGTCAATTAAATGTTCTGCTTTTTTCTTTTATCATATTGGTTCTCCAATTTTGACAGTGTTCTTAAACCTTTAATGCTTGTTCTTAACATCAGAAATACTAAATTAACACATTGGAATGTCAATCTTCAGAAGTATTAAAATAATTATAATACTAAAACTATTTTATATCCCAGGGTTAGAATATTTTCAGATGCATGTTTTCTTCTTATTTTTTTTTAAAGTAAATTATAAGTCATGTCATCCCATCTGTTTTGAACTCACATTTCCATTTCGGATCTTGCAGATTTTATATTGGCTGTGATCGGTGTCAGAATTGGTACCATGGGCGCTGCGTTGGCATCTTGCAAAGTGAGGCAGAGCTCATTGACGAGTATGTCTGTCCACAGTGCCAGTCAACAGAGGATGCCATGACAGTGCTCACGCCGCTCACAGAGAAAGATTACGAGGGTCTGAAGAGGGTGCTGCGATCTTTACAGGTGAGAAGCTACTCTCTGTGCAGCATTTAAAGATGAAGTCAACCAGTATGACCTAGGAAACACTTCTGGGCTTTGACCTTTCCAATCTTCAAGGACCTCATTATTTACCGACTCCCAGCTGAAGTGCTCCACAGAACTCAGTCCTCCACATGCCATTGTCATGAGGTTTACCAGATCCACACGTTAGCTCAGCTGTTATTTAGCTAATGCTCATGTTTAAAATGACTGATTTTTTTTTTTTAGCCTACATTTTATTTTTTAAAAAAACTACCTTACTGTTAATACCATCAATTGAAAAGCAATTTGATTAAATTCTAGTGAGATACAAATGCTTATCTAAGGCTTTGAGGCAAAGCCTTCCCTCCCTTATTAAAAATAAAAAGGAGATGGGGTGCCTTATAAGATTGGCAAGTATTAGAGATGTATTCCAGACATAGCGCTCGATCAACACTGTCTCCTGTTGTCATCATAATCAGAAACATTGAAAGAACCGAAGCAAGAACAGTAGTCTCATCATGTGGTTGCATCTTATTTAACTTCATCTCTCTGCCACATCCTTTGCCTGCAGAGGGAACCATTCCCCACTTGGAACCCCTCCCACTCCAGTTTACTAGATGTGATTGCAGTGGCAGCATCACTTAAGTTGGCAGGTCATCATGTAGGGACCAGAGGACAGATTCCTTGACTTCTAAGCTAGTGTTCCACCATCCCCCCTCAGGGCAAGGTCCCAGGCCTCTGAGCACCATTATTACAGAGCATGTTCGTCTGAGATCATTTGTAACTGGAGCAAAAATCGTCCCAAGTATAAATAATTTCATCCATCAAGTTGAAAGCCGACTGTCCAAGGCTGACTGATGCAGTAACTCAGATGGGAAGCTTAGATGAAATTTTTTTTTTTACCTGACAGTAATGATGCCTTTTTTCTCATCAATATAGGCCCATAAGATGGCCTGGCCTTTCCTTGAACCAGTGGATCCTAACGATGCACCAGATTATTATGGTGTTATTAAGGAACCTATGGGTAAGTCCTTGAGTAGAACTTCAAGTTTCCTCAGAAGTCTAAGCAGCTATTTCGTTTTTCATCCATGCAACTGATACATCATGTGGCTGTGTTGAGCAGGACTGGTGGGAGTCTAAACTGGTATAGTCAGTGGTAGGATAAATGGGGAGTGCATGTTATAGTTCAAGGATATATACCTTTGGACCCAGCTTCATCCCTTAGGGTTTATATGTGCACACATGTTGTTCATCCCAGCAGTGTTTATAATTGCAAAAATACTGAAAATGCCATAAATGACTGACAGGAGAGGAGTAGCCAAGTCAAAGGATGAACATAATAATGTGTAGCTGTATAAGGAGTGAAATCCGTGAATAGATTGAGGTCTTTTTGAACCTCTCATCTTTCCTATCCCCTCTTCCTCATCTTTTCCTAAAGGAGAGCAAAGGTAGAAATCCAAGCAAATACGGCTTCATTGCCCATAAAATGAAAATAGTAATAAGGAACAGCTGCAAGTGACTGTATTAAGATGAACAGCTACAGGTGATGATTATATTAAAAATAGTTTATCTGCAGAAGAAGTTACAGAAGTTAGAACATACATAAAAGTTCCAGAACTGCCAAAAGATTGATTCTAGCTGATGAAAATATTCCAAGAGCAGCTAAGCCTTTTAGATGCATGCACTTTAAACCTATTCCTCCCTGAATACTCTTACATTTTGGTATGTCGTGTGTGTGTGTGTGTGTGTGTGTGTGTGAGATTGAAATCATATATATTAAAAAGGGGGGGGGGATTTGAGATCAGGTAGTAAATGTGTCTGGCATTCATCTTCCTGTCATTAATCTTCGTATATCTTCATTAATCTTGAGTAACAATTTTAATGGCTTTATATAGTCTGTAAATTGATTATGCCTTAACTTATTTAACCACAGTTCTTTTCTTGAAGAGCTAGACTGTTTTCCTTTTTTTTAATGCCAGCCAGATAAACAGCATTTTATGTCGGTATGTACATAAAGATAATACAGGTCTCCCAAATATACTGTTGAAAGAAATATGAAAGTTAACAGAGTAATCGCTAGGTTTTAAGCTGTAAGCAAGTGTTGTTTTCTCAGGATATGTACATGTGTTTAAAGGTGCATAGAAAATGTCTGGACAAACACTGACTAATTTGAAAATAGTTTCTTCTAGGGGTATGAAGGAGCCAACAAGGTCAGGAGCTTTTATTTTCTTAAATGGAGTTATATATATGGATCATCATGTTTTATAACATATTTTGTAAACTTGTCAGTCAGTAGCTTTGTCACATCAGCCATGGTATAGATCCAGATTGTTTTTAATTGTATGAAGTTAAGATAATTTATTTAATCACCTCCCCCAAAATAGATTTTTTTGGGGGTTATATACAATTTTTGTTACCATAAATGACACTTCTGTAAAACATTTTTGTGCATCTACGCTGTTCTTGTTTGTTTTCTTAGTAAAAATTTCTAGAATCAGAATTTCTCTGTCAGAGGATATGTATACTTTTAGGCTTCTGAAAAGTATTTTCAAATTAGGCTTCAGCAGATTGAACCATTTTCCACTGATGGCATATATCTGTACCCTTTTCTCTGCACCCCTGAAGGCACTGAGCATTATGACTCTTTTGAGAAGATTTTTTCTTTGCATATATTTATTTCAAAATGATAGGTTTGAGGTGCAAACACAGATGTTATGGAAATGTAGGGAGTAAAATGTAAAATTTACCACCACTCTCATCCTCCTTTAAAGGTAGTCTGTGTTATTGGTCTGATATTATAATTTTTAATTTAATTTAGTTTCTGCTAAAATTTGGACGAAAGAAGAACTCTGTTTTTGCCTGTCTTCAGTAACTAGTGATGTTCTTATTGTTTGAACTTTTTCTCTATGAGCTTCCTATTTATATAGTTTGCCATTTTGTTCTTGAGATATTCATACTCTTGTCAGTGTTATTTAAGGGGTATTATATTCTAAGGATATTTAAAGTTTTATGGTAATTTTTGGTCATAGTTTTTAACATTTTTTAATTCAAATCTATTAATCATTATGAATTCTACTTTGAGAGTTGTATTTTCAGCCTTTTTCCCTACCCCAGATATATAAAGACTTCCCTATATATTCTCCCAATACTTTTTTTTAAAGGAATATCAAATTAATTTGAAATCATAAAATGTCCAAACCCTACTCACATACTTTGATACAGTCACTCAGTCAGTGATTGCCTAGAAGTTTAAAAAAGTCTGAATATGGTGCTGTCCTGGTGGACTGTGTTAGCATTCACTCTTCCTGTGCAGCTTACATAACCTGCACAAAATGGATGTGCCCAAATCTTGTTTGGAAGTGTATCAGACTGGGTCCTTTTTTATAGTCGTTCCTGTTTATACTTTTTCCCTTACCTGCATACACTGGCACTATCAAAGATGTGTATGTGTACATATTAAAATATATGTATAACATAAACTTGCCATTTTAACTGCTTTTATATGCATGGTTCAGTGATTGACTACATTCATTTTTGTCCTTAAATTTTAATCCACCTAGGATTACTTTGGCATATAGTGTTGGCATATAGTGTGAGACAGAATTTTTCTTCAAATATAGGTAGGCAGTTGCCCCAACCCAGTTTATTAATGAATTCTTCCTTTCTCTATTTACTTGAAATGACATCTTCAACATATGTGAAATTCATATGCTGACTATAGTCAGTTCCTGTTTTGAATTCAGTTCCATTAATGTTTGTATCATCTTGGACAGTGCCACACTTTTCATTATCACAGTTTTATGATTTTTTTAATTCTCACAGATTATATCATCTCCCATTACTTTTATTGTTCAAATGTTTCTTAGATACTCTTGAACTTTTATTTTTTGAATGAACTTCAAAATTATTTTCTCAATTCTAAAATAATTATTGAGATTCAGTTTTGAAATTGTGTTTATCTATCAATCCTAGTCTTGTTTGTCAGAACTGCAGGCAGTATTCACATTGAAATGACCTTAAGGTTTTGAAAGTCTTTTACATTTTGTGTTTTTAAGACCTTGCCACTATGGAAGAAAGAGTACAAAGAAGATATTATGAGAAGCTGACGGAATTTGTAGCAGATATGACCAAAATTTTTGATAATTGTCGTTACTACAATCCAAGTGACTCCCCTTTTTACCAGTGTGCAGAAGTTCTTGAATCATTCTTTGTACAGAAATTGAAAGGATTCAAGGCTAGCAGGTAAGCAGAGGTGTTCAGTGCTCTGAATCAATTCAACTCCTAATGAGAAGTGGCTAGATTTGTGTATGATCTGCTTAAAATTAGAGGCACTTTCTAAAATTAAAAAACATTTATCAAATGCTTAAAGAATGTAAGATGTCTTAAATGCCACGGGGCACATACAAAGATAGTAAGAGTTCTTGCTCTCACTGAGTTTACAGAAATATAAAAATAACTGTTCTGTAGGATAGAGTAAGGGGAAGACCATAAAGAGGGGATCTTAGCGCGTCTCATTAATTTATATTTGTGATGTCTTTGAAATCATAAATTATTTTATTTTTCTGGGTTTTTTTCCCTTGGGCAAAACTAGACTTTAATCCAAGTCCACAGACTTTTTCTTCGAATCTGTGAAAGTTGCTCAGTCATGTCCGACTCTTTGCAACCCCATGGATTATACAGTCCATGGAGTTCTCCAGACCAGAATACTGGAGTGGGTAGCCGTTCCCTTCTCCAGGGGTTCTTTCCACCCCAGAGATCAACCCCAGGTCTCCCACATTGCAGGTCCTTCTTTACCAGCTGAGCCACCAGGAAAACCCCTTTGAATCTGTAGTAGCATATTAAAAGCATTGAACAGCTTTGTATGGTGTTCAGGTCCTATGACCTCACGCCTTCTGTTTCTGACCTTCAGTGCCTGCCCCTTTCCAAGCCCGTGACTTTCTTCTTCCCAACAGAGGCCCATTTTCCTTTTCTTTGAGAGTGGCCACCAGTCTAGTCCTGGGATTCATTGTTCACTATCTCCCATCCACCAGCCCACTGGTTTGATCCTTCCTAAATAGTCGGAGGATCTACCTTCCCTGGCTGACTCTCGGCTGGACTGGGGCCTGAGCACCTATATTATCTACTGAACTCCCAAGGAACTCTGCTTACCAAAGTGTAAGGACCTCTAGTCATTTTTCTCTTAGGAGAGTCTTCAGGGTGTTTTGTTTCTCTCCTTCTCCTGTAACAAGGTAGATTGAGACCTGTACTGTAGAGCCAGTCTATTTAAAGGGAAGGATAGGGACAACCCAGTCACCTCAACAAAAGACTCACAAACTATAGGCAAGGCAGGACAGAAAGCAAGTAGGGAGGCTCTGTGAACCACAAACCAAGAGAGCTACAGAATATCTAAAACCTTCCCGTTTTTATTGTTGCCGGTCTATTAACCCATTAGCTGGAAAACTCAAAGTGAAAGAGGACTTACTGAATATGACAGAGTCCCCAGAAAATAATAATAAAGGGAGAAAAAGAGATAAATTCAGAATGATGAAAAGAATATGGTAGAAGTCAGTCAGCTGATGAGGTTTCAGCAAATCATGAAATAGATCAGACGGCAGCCTGCCGTAGCCAGGCTCCTCAGCAGCCGTGACAGCCTGCTGACTGGGGGGACACCAGACAGCCTTCAACACCAGAGTCTGAGATGGGGTCCAAGGCGAGAGAGGAGGAAGAGAGGAGGGTTAAGTGAGGATCTGCATCCAGGCTTGGCACCCTCACTGACCCCTGTGTGCAGATCTTGCAGGAGGCCTGAAGAACTGGAAGAACACTGGGCTTTTCTCCACAAAGAAACAGAATAAACCATCAGCAGAGAGAGCAGACAGAAGAGAATGGGACCCAGAGTAAAATCCCCTGATCCCTGAAGGATCGGCTCCCGTTATTCTAACACTGGGGCTTTCAACAGGGTAATTCGCTCACCCTCACCCTACAAGGGATAGTTAGCAATACCTGGAGACACTGCTGTTTGTCACACTTGGAGGTGGTAAGTGGTACTGGCATCTAATAGGTAGAGGCTGGAGATGCTGCTGAACATCCCACAGTTGCATTGGACATTGCAGCCTTTACAGCAAAGAAGTGCCCAGTTCCAGGATGTCAGTGGTGTTGCGATTGAAAACTCTGATCTAAAGCAAAGCCCGCCAGTCAGTAAGCTGCATGCATATGCACAGGGTTCTCCAGGCACCCATCAAGTTTGTGAACTTACTCTTCAGCGGGAACAGTCAGAGATGGCCAGATATATAAGGAAAGCCTGCAGTGCAAAGGTGAAAGGTCAGGGTGTAACAACAACAACAAAAGATTCCTGAGAAGTCAAAGGAGAACCTGAAAAAGCAAAGCAAGCCTCTAAATTGTGTCCCAAGAGAAATTTTAGAAGATACTGCATATATAAAATGGTAAACAGGATATTAGAAATAAAGAATAATCTGAAAAAAAGAGTAACTAGAAATTTTACAAACTTATTGCTCACATTGAATCAGGGCACTCTCAATGTAAAGAACAGAAAGACAAGGAGGTGAAAAAACATGAAAGAAAAAAATTGTTATGGAGTATCCAGTAGTCACTTAATGGAAATTTCAGAAAGAAAGAGCAGAGAAGACAGAGGAAATTATCAGATGACTACTAAGAAGAATTTCCTGAGCTGGTGAGAGGCACACAACGTTGTATCTGAGCGAAACTGTTCGTTCAGCAAATGCTTGTTGAGCCGCTGCTGTGCGTCAGATACTGAATATAGCAGCTACATTCCCACTTGCCATGGCGCTCCCGTTCTGTGGCACAGGGAGGCGAAGCCGGGCGGGGGCTGTGGAGGGAGGAGAATGGTTGGTAAACGTGTAAGCCAGCCGGACAAGTGGGACAAGGTCCATTCCACGTATCCATAACTGAAATTTCCAGATGCCAGGGATAGAAGAAGCTCTTCTGAAAGCTTCTAAAGAGGTTAAAATTCCTGTAAAGTAATAGGAACTAGACTGGTATCAGACTTTTCTCTAACAACACAGAACGCTAGAGAGTAATGGAAGAATATAATTAAAAAGTTTGAGGAAAAATGAAATCTGTGTCCAGCCACAGTCTCACGTAGAGGTGGAATAAGTATGTTTTCAGGTCATATAAGGACTCAGAAAGAACTTCTTTCCCTTGCATCCTTTCTTAGCAAGTTATTTTAAGATATGCATTAACAAAGCAAAAGCAGCAAATCAAAAAAACAAAAGACCTTGGATTTCAAGAAAGCTACGAGAATGACTCTGACCCCGAGTGACATTTGTCCAGCAGACCCGTGCAGCTGGCACTGCAGATTGAAGCAGGAGAATGGAGCACTCCCAGGAGGGATGTGTCTGGAAGGAAAAAATGATTCATACATTAGATAACTTAAAAATGTAGGGGGGGGGGGGAATGAAAGGCAATCAGAAACTCCATGAAAGGAGAGAAGTTTTATAGGTTACTAAGAATGCCCTCTTAGGGAAAGTAGGTGCTACAGAGAAAAATATTTATATAGTCACAATAATGTAAATGGCACATTGATTTTCAACTTTTATAATCAGTCTGCAGACAAAGCGTGGAAAGATTTAAATTACTGAGAAATAAAACTTGTACTCAAGAAGGGAGAAGGGAAAATGGTTACACAAGCCCAGTTCTCATTTGCCATCTCAGAATTTAAACAATATGAAGTTGATAAAGTAAGAAATACCAGTGTAAGAAATCTCCCTACCCAAGAACTGAAAGTTCCAAGGAATTCTCCTCAGGCAGCCCAGACTTCAGGGTGAAACTAACTGTAAGCCCTCTCTGCTTTGTGCTTCCTGCCTTATATAGTTTATACTCCCAACTGAATTTCTGAAACTGCTTTTTTTTTTTAATTGAAAAGGCTTTAGTTTAGCCTTTGGTGGAAGCTGGGGGATTTGAATCCCAGCCGAGTAGGGGTGGCAGCAGCTGCTGATGAGGTGGGCCTGCTGCAGTAGTGGAGAATTGGGGGAAGAAGCAGAGACCCAAAGACTGGGTCCACTCAGGAGAGCTTCCCCGCTGAGTACTTTCTATAGCTATTTAATTAGATTCTAGCTTATATGATTTTTATTGAAGAACACAGAAGCCAACAAGTCTTGCTTATGTTAAAAAAAAAATGTGAAGTGATATTAGGGAACTTTTGTTGAGTTTAGGGCAGAATGAAACATATATGTAGCCAGTCTTTGAAATTTTATTTGTTTATGGATTTCCAGTGTCTCCTTTGCCATATTTTCCTCATTTTTAATTCGCAATCTCCAGCATTATTTTCATAACTGTTATTTGTTACAATTCATCATTTTTATCATCCATGTTCTTTCTTTTCTTACAGATTGTGATATCTTTAGTCTGAATTTTTAACTGGAATCAGAACTGGATGTTGGGGTCACTCTTTCTTTTATTGTACCACGTGATTACCTAATTCAAAATTGCCCCCCAGAGTTCAGATTCGTTAATATAATTTTTTAATGTTTTTAAAAAAAAGATGTATAGTCGTAAACAGTTTATTCTAGCAGCCATGTTGAACAATGTATTTAAGAATTGTAAACTCCTGGAAGACTGTATTTATATACACTATTGCAATAGTACATACTTGATAACTGTACAGTAATTTGGTTTACTAACAAAAGTTGTTAATAAAACTGTGAAACTAGAAAGGAGACTTTCTGAACTTTAATAGAAAAAACTGTGATTTTAATACTGTTATTTCTCTCCTTTTAGTATTATTTTCCTTCATACTTCCCAACTCAATGTAAATAAGCACACGCATACATAGGTATACACATCTTTTACCACAATGGTAATGCTTCTGTAAATGTTTCTATTTGTCCCTTTGGCTAAAAATGTTGTATTGGACAAATATATATATTATATATATATATATATTCCTTTTTAAAAAATATTGCCTTTTTCCAGTGAATTATCATGTTTAGTGTTCCATGAAAAATTTTAATATTATAGGTTAAAAATTTCTTATTTGTTTTCATATATTTGCTTGCCAAGGGTGAATGAAAGAACATGGCTGCTTTCCCCAGACAGACTGACCTTGGCATCCACATAAAGCATCATTGTTTTAAAAAATGAAGGGTGCTTAATTGTTCCCTTTTTTCTGTATTCTGTAGGTCTCATAACAACAAACTGCAGTCTACAGCTTCTTAAAGTTCAGCGTGTTAACCTAACATAAAACACAGCAAGAATCTGGTTGTCTGAACTATTTTAAAATTAAGGAGCCAGATGTTTTTAGTCAGGTTATCCTGACAAGACTTGACCTAAACTTCGTTTTTATTGGTCATAACAGTCCAGTTATATTCTTGGCCAATTTTGTCCAACGGACAAGGGAAAAGCAAAGTCAACGACACCATTATCTTGTCAAGATCAAATGGTTTTACTATTGTGGCAGAAGCGGGAAAACTTTGTTTATTGAAAAAAAAGAAAGCAAGAAAAAAAAAGATAATATGGGGTCAAGTGTAACTCCATGGAAATGCCACGTCTGCTCTTCAGTGAAGAAGCTGGTTTAGAGTCTCACAGAAAACTTTCGACTGTATTTATTTATTGTTGCAAAAAAGACGCTTTTTTATTGCTGCCCTCATTTGTCAGCTAATTATTTTTTCTTATAAAATCCAGCCCCGGTTACATGTAATCCATTCTGTATCTTATCATGATTCCTGTAGGTAAAAGTACAAGACGACCTCTAGATGTCTTTTCTTTCTATGAAAGGAGCTGCTATGTACACATGTGCACACACACATACACACACACACACACACACACACAACTGGGAATCAACAATGAGTTTATTGTTCATAGTAGATAAAAATTAAGCTTGCATAAAGGTTGGGCTAAGTGGTCCTGGATTACAGACTCTGTTGCCTTGAATATAACAGAACAATTTGTCATTTACTCTGCACCAGGCTAAAATGAGTAAAATCTATTTGAAGGTATCTTGTTTGTAAACATTTGTCAGATTCTAATTTTTTTTTCTTTTTGTATTAAAATTCAACTATGGATGTATATGAAACAAAATAAATGGAGATCATTTTTCTCCCACAGATGGTGTCTTTGAATGTGCGCTAATGATTCTCCGTAAGCCTTTGAGGGGAAAGGGAGGGCTGCAAGGTAGAAAAATAAAAAGGCAGAAGGATCTGATTGTACCTGGATTTCTCCAGGGCAGTAGTGCTCCTAAATTTTACAATTCCCAGCCCACTGTCATCATGTCAAAGAACAATATTCAGCGGTGCTAATCCTGTTGCATCAATTGATCAGACTGATTTTTTAAAAGATAATGTGACAGAATACACGTTGCCTTCATCTACACGTTTTATGATACCAGGCAGATTACCCTTTACAGACTGCTACTTATATTTTATGAAGGGCATTTTTTTTTAATGACTTCATCCTCTCTGTATTTGTTGGTCAGTTGAGTTGTTTGGGGTTTTTCCCCACATAAGAAAAAGTAGTGTAAGCAGTAGGGGAAAATGGAAACCTCAGAGGAAGGTGTAGTTTGCATGTTTTTCCTTTCAGTGTTTTAATCTTAAACGTTGTATTTCTACATTGTCATAATCACTTCTATGAGATCTGCCATAGTTGGTTTATGCAGCTTTGCAAAAATTTTACTAGATTTTGCACTAATTCATATTAGCTTTGTCCTACCAGGTTCTGAAATTTTATCTAATTGTTGTTTTTTAAGTTTCCTCTGTTTAATATCACCCTGCTATGCAAAACCTTCCCAGACCTTAGTTTCTTAAAAGAAAGACGTTACTGCAGTTCCAAATTATTTCTTATTACAGGCTCAGGTGTACAAGTTATTCTGGGTTAATTTTATCTAATGAAGCCCATTCCTTTTTGTACATAAAAATGTCACTTACAAACTAAAGAGACTAATTGTTCAACATTGAAAACATGGAAACAAAGTTTTTGCTTAAAATATTAACATGAAGGTAGTCAAACATAGGTTAAATTTTGTCCTTTTGCTTTAAAAAAAAATGTTACATATTGTATGCACTGTGCTGATGCAAGAATCCTACATTTTAATGAATTATGAAATTATTTTGCATCTCATCACATCACAGTATTTCTGTACTATTTATTCATATATATAGATATATATGGGCTTAATCACTTAAAACGTTGCGTCAAGAACTTTCCTATCTGTAGGCAATAGATTGCTATGTTTTTAACAGATTGTGGCAAATTTAAACAGCAATTCTTTTTGTACGTAATAGGACATTTCATCCTAGAAAAATAAAGTAATGTTTTTGACGTTGGATTTGGTGCAGTTTCTAATGAAACAGTGGTTGGTTGGTTAATATATTTTGTGTAGATGTTGATATTGCCAAATTGTATAAAAATGGTACATTTTGTGGGAATCCTTGGACCAGGAAGATGTTAATTTCATAAGTGTATTTAATAGTATAAAGCCTCTTGTGATTTCTATCACCATATAAATACATAGACATTTTATAGTTTTATCAACTACAGAGCTTTAGTCTTTGAAAAGTAATTTTTGGGAAAACACGCCTTCTTATATACACATAATGAGTTTCAAAAGCTGCTTTTCTATGAGTATTTGATAAGCTTCTGCTACTCAATAAAGTATACATAATACAACTATTTTGCTTTCAATTATCCAAGTACTAGAATGCACATTTGTTATACTGTTAGGGTTTTTCTACCCAGCCTTTGGACTTGTGTGTGTGTGTGTATATATAGATATATGTTTACTTTGCATCAACAGATTTCCTTGGCTAGAAGTATTTTCATTGCTTGTTATATTTCATCTGCCAAGTTCACAATCCTTGAAACCATCTCATAAAAAGTATTTTCGTAATATTGGTAAGGTTTTTTTCCTCCTACCCAAACTCTGCAGGATTTGTATTTTAGTTAATGTCCTGCGGTAGTTCCAAAAAAAGTGAACTTTCAGAGATATTTTCTAAAGTAAAACAATTACTTTTTTATATTTCAAGTGGCCTGGAGTGTTATTAAAGAGAAGCTGAGATTTGCTGTTGTTTGTAATCTACCTTCCTGGAGTCTGCAAATAAAAAGTTCTTTCCCTGTTTCTCTTCCTTTGTTAGGCAAACTCCCTACATCTTTGTGTTTCTGATACCAAAGCAGCGTGGTGACCTCTTAAATCTACACACACAGCCTCATGACTGAGGCCATTACCCATGAGTGTCAGAGTTTGTCCTTAAAATGAAAACGGTGGCCTCTCAGGAACAACGTAATGTCTTAACAAGTACTTGGGGAAAGGTTTTTAGTAAATTGAAATACAAAGTACTTCTGGATACTTGGAATAAGATAGCACAAAAGACATTTCTAGAAGATCACACCCAACTTGATCCAATTTGGACCAGATTCAACTAAAGAAATAAGTGCTATATATTTAAAATGATAAAGTCACCTGAAATTGAAGTTACCCGTTGTAGATAGTGGGTCAGTTTTCAGTAGTGGTGGTTGAGTCACTAAGTCATATCCACCTCTTTGCAACCCCATGGACCCCATGCCTGCCCAGGCTCCTCTGTCCATGGGATATCTTAGGCAAGATCCTAGGAGGAGTTGCCATTTCCTTTTCCAGGGAATGTTCCCAACCCAGGGATTGAACCCATGTCTGCTTGGCAGGTGGATTCTTTACCATTGAGCCACCTGGAAAGGCCAAGTCAGTTTTTAGGTGTTTGCAAATACCTGTGTTTGATGAACCTTAAAAATTATTTTGAGAAAAACAGTGCCAAGTGATGTCTTTAAGAGTTAAAAGCTAGTATAAAAGTGTATATGTTTTATGGACCTTTTCCCTACCAAAAGAAAAACACTTTTTTTCTGCTTGAGCTCCAACAGCTTAATCAGAGGAGGAATGTATTGAGTTCCTCTTGAAGGCAACAGAATATTGTGCCCAAGATCCTTTAGTCTCTGAAGCACAAAACCCATGTACTAAGAAAAATCTTATCAGTGGGACAGAAGGATTCGGAACTACAGTAGATTTGCAAGTAAAATTCAAAGATTGTGTCCAAAGTACTAATATTGAGATTCTTTGTAAACTGTTTTGCCTAACCTGGAATTACCAGTCTGTTCTTCACTGCCTCCCATCCATATCCCCACACATACCACTTTTCGACCCCACCTGAGCCTCACTTGTCTTTCACTGCAAACTTGGTCTTGAATGATGGCCTTAGTTTTAACAAGGCAGTTTCTAAAAAGTTGACATGCTTTTGTTGGCCACATTAACCATGTGACCTCTAAGGGACTTGTGTGTGTGATTGCAAAACTTCTCAGAAACTATTATCATAAATCTAATGAGACCCTCTCAGTCTTATATAAAAGTGATGTTCCCCCCTCTCTTTTAAACCAGAGCTATTTATAACACTTCCCTTTATACTCTTTAACATCTGACCATCCAACTAATCATTTATTTGGTCACATTGTAATCTTCCCCACCATGTTACTCAGGATCACCACTTAGCCATGTGACATTTACAAGTTTAGCTTTGCTTTTTGTGACCGGTGCTACTTCTTAGTTAATTTCTGTCCTAAAGAAAACTAATCCAGAAGCTCTTCGTTCATTGCATACTCTATAAATCTGTCAATGGCTCATTTAATAATGCAGTGGATTCCTAAGAGGCAATTCTAGGATAATTTTTAATAAGCTTAAGCAAAACTCATTCTCAGCAAACTAAAAATCCTTCAGTTAATGCTTTACCACAGAATAGAGCCTCTCAACTTTTTGCCTCCTTGGGACAAATAAGGTAACAGTATCTCATCACAGGCAGATATGCTTTAGGCTGTGAAGTCACTGTGCTGTCCTGACATCGTGTGTGTATATGATGCTTCTTTGAGGCCATTACAGACTGACAGCTTGAACTCCAGCTCATCTCCTTTGAGACCAAATGTGCTGTTTTTCTCGTCAGTGCAGTTCTTTATTTTTCTTTAGGCAGTCATCTTCAACCAAGGATTATCAGTGTCTCTATTCAGAGTTTCAAATTAACTAAAGCACAGCTTGGTCTTCTGGGGGGAAAAAAAACACTGTTAATGTCTTTGTGGGCTCAGATATAAAATCTATAAAATCAATAATAAATTCAGTTTGTGATTAAATATTTTTCAAGCTAGCTGGAAAACGTTAAAGATTCATATGCTTGCAGTTCAATACTGGTTCCAGGGTTTGGGGAGTGAGTTTGAGAAATGCTTTTTTCCCAAACCTGGGGCTCAGTGAGGCTAAAAAAACCAGGTGCATCCAAGATCTGATTTCACAGCAAGATTTACTGCTTTACAAACACAAACATGATACTTGGTCTTAATAGAAAAATGACATCAGATACACCCAGAATATGTTTGGCATTGGGAGAGCTGCCAGTATGGCACAAAACAGGATTTTAGAACCTGGGAGGCGTGAAAATAAACTGTATCTTGTATTTTGGTACATCAGGAAGACCTGTTTGCTTGAAATAAGACCTTCGGTACTCTTAAGTGGAAAACTTCAATACTTGTCATGGGCTCCAATATAGTGTTTGATCTAAATGTGATCTAAATGACATTTCATATGTCTGACTAGTGCACTTACTGTTATGTACAGAATTTAAAATGTGATGATTTTAGTATAAAATCTGGTTTGATACATGATATAAACTACTTGGAATTGTATATTTAAGATCAAGCAAATGTTTTTGTGAACTATTTCTACTGAAAAGTGTATTTAAATTAAAATAATTAAAAATAAACAACATGAAGCAGTGATCTGTTAACTAGACAGGTCAGTTAGCTGAGCTTGTGTGAAGAACTGGCACACCAGTTGAATAACCCCGCCATGGAGCTCAGAAGCATAGCCATTTAAGAAGCCTTTTGTAAATAAGACAGTGACTTCAAGATGAGAGTTGGGACTTAAATAGTTCCTAAAGGGACTGTGTGCCCTTTCTAAAGGAAAATCCCATTATATGATGATAAGGCCTTTCCTGTCTCGTTGCAGAATTTAAGTTTCAGATCCAGAAATGCCCAGCTTGTGTGTTTCAGATGCACTGGGCGTGAATTGCCCCTTGCACTTGCCCATCCCTTTTTCGGTTAAATCTTTTCACGTAGCTGCTGCTGCTCCTGAGTAGTCCATCTCCTGGGCGAAGGCGCCCTCTCAGGATCTGAAGCAGAGCTGTAGGAAGCTGCCTTCTCTTATGGTAGATGTGGCCCATCACAATATACCTGCTTCCTGAAGAAAAAAAAAGCCGAAATATAAAGGTGTAGTTATCTTTCAAGTGCCATGTAACAATAAGAAAACGTAACACCTTTAAGACATGCCTATAGCTTGAATCTATGATCTTGCTGCACTTGCTGAATCTCAAGACATTCAGACCTCAGACAACAGGTGGAGACAGCTGAGTGGCCTTTACAATCAGATTCTCAGGCTGTTAATAGCCAACACTAGGAACAAAGGTCCTAATCACAACAGTACAGCAGGATTTTACAGAGCACATTTCTAGAAAGACGTAGGATTGGGCATTACTCGCCCCCCGCCCCGGCAAAGACGACTATAAACTCAGTTTAAACAGCCCCTTAGGCATCCCTTCTGGCAACTGTGTTCGGTCATTCACTCCACTTGTCAACAAACGGTGACTTGCTTTGTGCCAGCGCGCACAGTTCCCATCCTTAACCAGAGGAGCCGGGAGCGGGTGTTCGCTGATGGAATTTAAATCAGCCGAAGTGATACTTGTATAAAGTCTATTCATTTTAGAATACCCCCCCCCAAAAAAATGGTACTGAGGTGACCGATAGGGACCGAGCTGTGGCATATACAAGTTACAATGTGGCATAAAGTGCATATTCAAAATGGTCCCTTCGGTCAGTTTCAATACCTGGCTTAAATTCTGGACATGGCTTCTTGCAACTAGAGGAGTCTAGGGCTAGTACGTGGACTCGGAAGAAAAACCCGTCTGGAGTGATGTACAGGCGGTTCATCTTGTACAGCCCGTCTCGGTCCACCAGGAGAGTCACCAGCCGGATCCCTGTGCCGAGGACGTCTACATCATGCACGATTCCGTTCAATGCTGCTTTCAAAAAACAAAGAGTTGGGAGACATGCATAGCGCTCACATCCTCTTCTCCCCCCAGTGCGTTTCTTACAAGTCACGAAATGGTCCACACAGCTCTGGGGCTTGCAAAACCGAGTGGGTGGGTTTCTCTAGGGTTTGTTTTAGGGGCCCCGAGGCACAGCCCGGCGCTCTCGGCTCGGAAAGGCTCGCCCTGCGGCCTGGGCTCGGTCGCCCGGGCCCGGGAGGAGCTGCGGGCGGGACTCACCGAACTCGCTGGTGCAGTAGGACTCGCGCTCGTCCAAGTCCGCCCTGCAGGCGCGCGCACAGTGCTCGGCGCCGGGCTCGGCTTCCTCCCCCTGCAGCTCGCCAAGGTGCGGCGGCGGCGCGGGCGCGGGTTCCGGGGGCGGCGCGGCGGCGCGCGGCCGGTTGGGGTGGGCGGGGCCGGCGGGGATCTCGGCGGCGCGCGCGGAAGGCCGCACGGCCGGGAGGCGCGGGGCCCGGGCGCGCGCGCGCCGCGGGAACTCCCCCAGCGCCGGCTGGCGGCGCGGTGACGCGCGGTTCTCGGCCTGCGCCAGGCGCGGGCTCGGCGGGCCGGCGGGTGCGCGCGCGGCCTCCCGGAAGCCCGCACGGTTCTCCGCGGGCGGCGGGGGCTTCCGGCGCCTCAGGTCTGACCAGGCACGCGGAGCGGCTTCGGCCGCGCGCGGCCGCCGCGGGGTCTCGGGGACCGGCTGCGCCCCGGGCCCAGGCATCTCCGCACTCGGGCCTCCGCCGGGGTCGGGTTTCCGGCTGTGGGGCGGCGAGGCTGTAGGGAGAGAAGAGGAGAGTCTGGGGAGGCCATTAGAGGAGGAGAGGCCGGGGAGGCTGAGACGAGAGGGCTGAGGAGGGGGCTGGTCGAGAGGAGGGTGGGAAAGGGGAGACTGAGAGGGGAGGGAAGGGGAGGGGGAAGGGGAGAGGCCGAGAAGAAGGGAGAGAGGCCGAGAGGAGGGAGGCGAGGTGAGGCCGGGGAGACTGAGGGAGGAGGAAAGACCGGCAGAGAAGAGGGTGCGGAGGGGAGGGGAGGGGAGGGGAGGAGATGGGGGACAGTTAACTGAGCCATACACCTGCGAAAGGGGGTCTGGAAATGAAGCCAAGAGAACGGGAGGGGGAAGAGGAAGGCGCCCCCGGTTAGGAGAGGAAAGACGCCCCAGCTTCTGATGAGCACGGGTTTCCTAGGCCTCACAGGAAGACCGAGATGAGGGTCTCGCCCTGTGAGAATGAGGACAACTAAGAACGTTTTTCCCACCACATGGGAAGATTTCATTTTGTTAAGGACCCTGTCTAAGTCAATAGCTTTTAAAATTACAACAGCCTATTTGTTCTAGGACTAAACACAACTGACATCTCTGGTTAAATAACAAACTCTTTTTGCCCTTTCTTTAATATATATATAAACATCCGCCTTTCTGCTGTGTACAGTTTGTTGAGAAAAGTACCGAGAGCAAACCCCAGGGGGAAAGGTCTCATATTACAGGTTCTCCTAATTGTTTAAGCGCCCCTGACAACAGAACTATTTGGTTTTCCCATCCATGTTGACACTGTCATCTTGGTCTCCGAAGAATCGAGCATTTGTGAGTGGATTTTTATCTGGCTTCTTGGACACCACTTATTAGTAAACCACAGCTTAGAAAGATGTTTAAAGCGTGGCTGGGAGGCAGAAGACCCCGGTTAAGTGTGAAAGCACACACATCCCTTACATGCACCCTCCCCCCCCGCCCCCCCCCCCGCATCATTTTCGTGGTAAAGAAAAAGCTCCTAAATGGCATGGCATGAAAACAAAATTTTGAAATTATTAGTGATTTTTCCCCAGCTCTGCAGGCAGGTTGGTGAGCAAACCAGCCAGCTTAGAAGCTGGGCAACTTTCCATGCCCAGTTACACAATATCACCTCACCCTTTTGCCTGGGTCCCAGTGCCCTCCAGACGGGCACAAGAGCCCGTCTTTATTTTTCTATTGTTTTAACGGCTGGTTTTCAGTATTTCTGTCCTCTGGCATTGAAATGCTTGGTCTGCTCCTTTGCAGTTCTTGCAACACTTCATTTAAAGTGATTTATCTTGCCAAATTGACAATCTTCACTTCAAGTGATTTATCTTGCCAAATTGACAATCTCCTTTAAAATCAGCTTTCAGCCAGCAATAATCGCCGGTTATAGTTCATGTTTTTGCAGAGAGGTTGATTCTGACTCATTATGTTCAGCGTTGCCCATACACAGCTGAATAAAGTTCTGGTGGATATCCAATTCCTGACTGTCAACTGTTGACCTCACAACTGCTTCCCCATTGATATCACCATCTGTTGTCATGGGAAAGATTGTCTGATATTTGGGTTAAATGCCACTGAAGTCATTCAATTTCCATGTGGAAAAATAACCCAAAGTAAATTGCCCTGCGAGGTGCGGAAGCTATTTTTCCCGGAGATAGTGAATCGAACAGAACATCTACATAAAAGCCAAACAATAACACCTCTCCGCAGAAAACCTCGTTTCTTCATTCTCTCAGTATTTTCCATCTCATGCATGCAACTGTGAATATGTTTTGTGTGTTTTAAAGACTCAGGTGTGCCAAGGCAATTGGTTGGGGCTGCAGGGAGAGAGAAGAGAGGTCCAATTTCGGTTCCCTCCGCCCCCAGCCGCGGCGGGGCGCACCCAGCGCCTGAGATCGCCGGCGGGACGCGGACCCGGGCGCAGGGCGGACCCCGAGCTCCTGGGGCGCCCGCCGCCCGCCGCGTCCCGCGAGCCCAGCCCGCAAGGCTTCCGAAAGGCGCGCCACGACCCCTTTTGACACTTTCCCTCCTCTGTGATGGAGCAACTACTTAACATGCAAAGTTTTCTCCAGCCTGCCAGGCTCGCTCGAGATCATTTCAGTAGCTGAACAACTGGCTTCATTCCGAAAAGGCTGCCAAGACACACACAATCTTGGGGACACATTTTGCTCCTTTCAAACACGAACACGGACCTGGAGTCTCCTCTCTGGTCAGCCCTGACCCCTTTCTCGTCACTCCCTTCATCGCGCCCCCTCCGCACCTCGCCCCCGGATCCCAGCCCCTCTCCCAGGGCTCAGCGTCTCATCGATCTTACCTTTTCTCTCCGCCACTGGGGCTTCGGGAGAAGATCCAACGATCAAACAGAGGAGCCAGAAAGCTCTAGCTGTCATGTTTGTAGACACGGTTCCCAGGCTCTAAAACTGAGCCTGGGCTTTTGCTCTTTCTCTCCCCCCACCCCTTCTCCACACCCCCACCCCCGTTCATGCTAATGAGGGGCAGCCTTTGGGGAAACGGGAATCACTCACTGAACAGACCATTGGAACAAAACCGAGCTGCAAGGATTTCTCCCACCTCCTAAGGGGGAAGAGCACGTGGCCTCTCAAAGTTGTCCCTGGGAACGTCTGTCCTGCGATCTGCGGGTAATGAGAACATCAAATCCGACACTTTAAACCCTTGTGGGCTTGCGGGCTGGGGCTGGGTGGAGGAGCCAAGTCGGGTGGCAAGTGGAGAGAAGGGTGTTGAGGGGCTGAGGGACTGGGTGTGGGAGAATGAGTGATAAGGAGATTTTTCTAGATTAAGCCAACAACAAGTAGGCAAATTAAAGCCTAAGACAGTTTGGGCTTGTGGGAGGGAGGAGATTCCAGGTGACAGAGAATTCATCCCAGAATGTGTCATCGATTCTGAGATGAACTAAGTCACTACATCCCAGGTTTGATTACACTATATGTGTAATATTTATATTCTGGAATCAGAAAGGCCCAAACGCCCTCATAAAATATTAATAGCTTTTCTTCTCTCTCTCTCCTCCTTCCCCTAATTGAAATTGGCATCTAGTTGGCTAGATTAATCAAGTCTTTCAGCCACCAGGTGCTAGAGGATGGTGGTGGTGGTTTAGTCACTAAGCCGTGCCTGCCTCTTGCGACCCCATGGACTATAGCCCACCACGCTCCTGTGTCCATGGGATTTCCCAGGCAAGAATACTGGAGTGGGTTGCCGTTTCCTTCTCCAGGGGGTGTTCCCAACCCAGGGATGGAACCCGCATCTCGAATCCATGTTTCCTGCATTGCAGGTGGACTCTACCTCTCAGCCACCAGGGACAGTGAGAAATCTTCCCCAGCTCTCTGATGATGGCTCACCTCCTCAAGAAAGGTGGGTTTTGTGTTTTTTTCTTTCTAAGAAAAACTCATTCACTACTTAGATGTGAATTCTTTTTTTTTTTTTTTTAATATTTATTTAGCTACACTGAATCTAGTTTGCAGCATACAGGATCTTTTGATCTTTGTTGTGACATGCAGGTTCTCTTTTAGTTGAGGCATGTGGGATCTAGTTCCCTGACCAGGGATGGAACCTGGGCCCCCTGTATTGGGAGCTCTGAGTCCTAGCCACTGGACCACCAGGGAAGTCCCATTGGGTCTGAATTCTTGAATGGCTCTGTAAATTCATCCTGAGCTAAGAACCCTATCCCTCAGATTGAACTGAAACAGCATTCACCAAAGAGGGAAATAAGCTCACCTTAGTAAACCCACAACTTTCCCGATGTGTATCTCATTTCAACAGCTTCACATCCAAGAGGAAGGGGAAGTACGTTAAGATGAAGGCATTTTTATGGTAAGCACATGAGCCAACAGTGAGATGCAGCTGCTTAAAAAGTTTTGCTTATTAATATCTTATGTCTCAAAAATAAAAGTGCTAATGAATCTGTCAGATTCACTGGTGCAGGGCAGGGTGGATATCATGTTTTCAAGAAAGACACTGGACAGCTAGAAGGAAAACAGTAGGGTGCTAAGAGGGTTGGACTCCATCATGGTCAAGTTCTTTGGGAAGAACTGAGGATAGGCAGGTTCACGAAAACATTTTTTATATTTTGGGAAAGAACTAGTAGGTAGAAGTTATGAAGTGACAGGTTTAATTTCAGTTTAAGAAAGACTATTCTAACAACTGAGATCTCCAAGAAAGGGCTGCTTTCAAGGGTTGTAACAATGAGGTCCTGGCCACTGGGGATGTCCAAAGAGAACATGATTCAGGGATACTGTAGAACATGTTCCTAGATTAGGTGTGTTGTGGATTGAGGGGAAGAGTAGCTAAATGAGCTCTAGGGAGGAGTTGTCTGTCTGGTCACAGGTTGACAATATGTTGGGGGGGGGGGTCACTATATCTGAAGTCTGGTCCTCAAATTTTCTCAGTTTGAAACTCACTTTTGTCAATAGATCAGATTTGTGGAACCATCTCATGTTAACCAAACTCATAAAAAGCAGGTGTATAAACCAGAATATCGCTTATTATTTTGTAATAGGGAGGAGATAGCAAAGGTGAGTCAGAGGGTCTAATTATTAATCAGAAGTTTCCCTGTTGAAAACGAAATCAAACTGCAGTTGAAGATGGGCTAATCTTTCCTCATTCAAGTTTTAGAGGAGCAAATTCTCTGTTTCCTCCAAAAGAGTATATCTCTTTAATCACTACAAGGCTTATGTACATCAGAGTCAGTGTCTCCAGATTCTGGCCAAGATCAAAAAAACATTGTGAGCTTTGTGCTTTGGGTTTACAGTTTGTTGGGGGGGAGAGGGGGCAGGTACGCCAGGTCTTAGTTGTAGTGTGTGGGATCTTCAATCTTCACTGTGGCATCTGGAATCTTTTAGTTGCATGTGTGATGTTTAGTTGCAGCATATGGGCTCTAGTTCCGAACCAGGGATTGAACCCGAGTCCCCTGCATTGGGAGCTTGAAGCCTTAGCCACTGCACCACCAGGGAAGTTCCTGGGGGTTATAATTTACAGATGTCATTAGACTCCTTTCTTTCACATACTCTTTCTTTAAGTTAAGTGGAATAAAATTAATTAGGCTTAAGCTTTCTCAGTTGCAACCACATCTCAGACATAGTTGCCTGAGATTATGTTCAAGTCACCCAGATCCAATTTGGGGTGTTCCCAAAACTCTTCTGTTTCAGGAATGTTGTGAATGCCCTGAAGCCCACACCCTGAAATGTAGAGGCAGAGAGCTGACCAGAAGTCTCCTAGAGGCTCCTGGGGTGGCACCAGCCTGGAAGAACTTGCCAGGGTCCAAGGCTGGGTCTTGGGCAGCACACCACTTAAAGGCGCAGAAGCCATATTAATGGTGGAAAGCTCAAAGAGACCGAACTATGTAAGCCAGAACGCCATTTTATTAATTTACAAAAGATAGACTCAGGCAGACCTGCAGTCTGTGTCAGCCTGGCTAGCATTCTCTGTCTATGAGCAAGTCACCTGGGAAGCCCAATTATCATCAGGGTGGTTGGTAATATAAACCAGGGTACAAGGAGTTCGTTATCTGATTGGAATGTTTAAAAGTATTGGTTTCTCACAGTGTATAATGCCTATCTCTCCATGCCCCTCTTCCACGTGTGAGATGAAAAAATCTAAAACCCTAACTGCCTTCCTCTCCCCTGCCAATCTCTCGTATTTTGAGTGTATCTTTCCACTTTGCAAATATTTGTTGAGCATCTACTGTGTGTTGAATAATAAAGAATTTGTGCCAGGTTCCTGGTACAGAGCTTCTAACTCTTGGAATTTCCCAAGTGAAGGAAACATCTTAATTATTCATGAGCTTCCTGATCACACCTGAGTTCATGCTAATGAGTTGACTCTTGGAGGGCCCCTCGATAACTTAGGGCTGGAATCTGGCCATCAGAAACATCAACCATAGAATTAGAGGGTTGGGACTTTGAGCCAGCCTGACCTCCAGGGAGCAGAGGCTGGAGATTGGGTTCAATCGGATGGTCAGTGTTTTAATCCATCATGCCTGCAGAATGCAGTGACAACTCAGTGGGGCTTCTTGGTGAATGACCACACTGATGTGCTAGGAGAGCGGCACAGTCTGCTCCATGGAGAGGCAACCCCAAAGCTATGCATTTGGGACCCTCCTAGATCTTGCCCTATGTGTCTCTTCATTTAATTGGTACTGATTTGTCTCCTGTCTAATGAAACTTTGATCATAAGTTATAGCACTTTCCTGAGTTATTGTAGAGAATTATCAGATCCGAGAGGAATCATGAGAACCCCCTAGGTTTGTATCCAGCTGTCTGAAATAAGGGCAGTCTTGTTCTGGATCATCTGCCCTTTAACTAGTGAGGTCTGCATTAACTCTGGGTGGTTTTTGTCAGAACTGAATTACAGTTCACCACTTGGTTTTCAAACACTGTGTGCCACAGGAATTCCCTGGCAATCCATTGGTTAGGACTTGGTGCCTTCACTGCTGGGGGCCAGGTTCAATCCCTGGTTGGGGAGCTAAGAACCCGCAAGCCTTACAGCATGGCCAAGGGGGAAAAAAAAAAACAAAACAAAAAACCACACTATATGCCAGGAGTTTTAGAAGCCAGAAATACCCATCATCATCATCATTTTTCAAAAAGAATATAGCACTATTGCTTTGGCTCCCATTTGGTAAGGACTTCCCTGGTGGCTTAGGATCTGCCTGCAATGCGGGAGACCTGGGTTCAATCCCTGGGTTGGGAAGATCCCCTGGAGAAGGGAATGGCAACCCACTCCAGCATTCTTTCCTGGAGAATCCTCATGGACAAAGGAGCCATGGGGTCAAAAAGAGACATGACTGAGCCCCTAACACTTTTCGCCAGATAGACCCAGAAGGGCAGGCATTGCAGGCTGAAACAACAGCACATGCAAAGGCATGGGCGTACAAGAGAGCATGTGAGTCTACCCAGGCCCAGAAAGCATAGCAGCTTCTGAGGAGGGAGTCCTGATGGGGGACGTTGCTGAGAATCTCGATGACTATAGACGAACATTCCACGGACAATGGTAACTAGCTGCTTTATGTATTTAATTTTAGTTTTGGGCTGCTGCTGTGCATGTGGGATCTTAGTTCCCTGACCAGGGATTGAACCTGGGCTATGGCAGTGAAAGCGCCCAGTCCTATCCACTGGACCGCCAGGGAATTCCCTAAATAGCTGCTTTTAAATCTTTATTTTGTTTTCTTACCACTCTCCATTATTGTAATGAAAAATTTGGAAAATAAAGAGTAGACACAAGAACTACTACCATCACCCTCAGTAACCACTGCCATAATTCCATGTTTTTCCTTCCAGGCTCTTTCTCAGATACCATTTTCACACAGATGCCTTCAGTGGACCAACACTATTTTGGATCCTGTGTTCACATGACACCATGGCAAGGGCACATTCCT